TCAAGGAAATTAATAAAAGCTCAAGAAGTTCTTATAAATCCTTACAAATCTTACTTTTTTTTCATGATTAATAATGGAATGGTACACCCGCCTGCGCTAGCGGTTTACGCTGGCGGGGCACCAGTGGAGGATGATAAGATGAGATGAAGTCAAGTCAGTTTGCCCATCACGTTTAAATAATCAGGAGTTAACCACGATGGTTTCCAGGTGGATCCACGTGGAGGACGACCTAATATGGTACATTGCTACCATTGGACACTAGACGCCATTACTAATAATCCCATTCCCCCTACAAACATTTATTTATTCTGATGTATATTCTCTATTACTGTAAAGTTTTAACAAAATCCGTTTAGTAGTTTTTCCGTGAAAGAGTAACAAACATCCATCCATCCATCTATCAATCCATTTCTTTTTATTGAGGGGTCTGAGCTATTGTCAGCACTTGACAATAGCCTGAAGGATATTCTTAGGAGTGATGTTTATTGAGGGATCTGAGCTATTGTCAGCACTTGACAATAGCCTGAAGGATATTCTTAGGAGCGATGTTTATTGAGGGATCTGAGCTATTGTCAGCACTTGACAATAGCCTGAAGGATATTCTTAGGAGCGATGTTTATTGAGGGATCTGAGCTATTGTCAGCACTTGACAATAGCCTGAAGGATATTCTTAGGAGCGATGTTTATTGAGGGATCTGAGCTATTGTCAGCACTTGACAATAGCCTGAAGGATATTCTTAGGAGTGATGTTTATTGAGCGGTATGAGCTATTGTCAGCACTTGACAATAGCCTGAAGGATATTCTTAGGAGTGATGTTTATTGAGCGGTATGAGCTATTGTCAGCACTTGACAATAGCCTGAAGGATATTCTTAGGAGCGATGTTTATTGAGCGGTATGAGCTATTGTCAGCACCTGACAATAGCCTGAGGGATATTCTTAGGAGCGACGTTTATTGAGCGGTATGAGCTATTGTCAGCACTTGACAATAGCCTGAAGGATATTCTTAGAAGCGATGGTTTTTATCTCTTCAGGATAGAGTATATACTTTCCAAAAACCGATACAAACACTCATAATAACTTCCAAGGTAGGTACAAATTACTCGCTGCCAGTTTTTACGTACATACACTATTTCTAAGTATACCTTTCAATGCCAAGTACGATTACGACACTGAATAAATAATGATATATTGATCAGTACAATCCCAAAATGACATGATGTAACAATAAAATAAGTGATGGCTGTCTGTAAATCTTAATCTTACTGATATTATAAACTTTTTTTCGGACTACTCTAATGCTGTTGGCTTTACAGCTTCACCGGACGATAGGGGGCGAGTGCAGATGGCACTCCAAACCAAAGGGAGGACTTATGGAGCGGCTGAAGGCCAACTCTCGCCTGATAGATACAACTTTAGTCTGAATGCACCGCTAGGGGTTTGAACCTCGGCTCAGACCGTAATTTCGATCCCCATTTTTATGTTCTTTATGTGTATTATATATATATTTCTGACGACCTCGGTGGTCTAGCGGTCTAGCACTACGCTTTACGACCGATGGTCGCGGGTTAGATTTAAAAAAAAATCGCACAAAAGGCAAAACATTTGTATTCATGAGTATGATTGTTTGTATCGGTCTGGGTATTTTCTATGTACAATATGTATGTATTTACATAGTTAAAGCACTAAAACTAAACAAAAAAATGGTATCTATGTATATATGTATCAGTTGTCTAGTACCCATAACACAAGTTTTAGCTATTATAACTATTCAAAAGTGCTTAGCTTAACTTGAATAAAGGTTAGATTAAGTGTTGACAAAGTGATTTTTTTAAGTGCTGTGTGAATTGTAATGACTCAGGACAATGAGATTATTATTATTATATTATTATTATATTATATATAATACACATAAAGAACATCAAATATGTATATTAAAAATTTACAAAAATATATATTTCTTAGAGGATAATATTTTAAGAAAGATGTTACAAATGAATGTGGATGGTTATAAGGGCAGAGGAAGGCCAAAAAAGAGATGGATGGACTGTGTGAAAGATGATATGGTAAGAAAGGAAGTAAATAACGCGATGACTGCGAACAGGGATGAATGGAAGCGAAAAACATATTACGCCGACCCCAAATAAATGGGATAAGGAAGAAGCAGATGATGATATATTTCTTAGTATTTGTATCTGCTGTCTAGTACCCATAACACAAAATCTGTTTAGCTTTGGACGAGATGGCGCTGTGTAAATTGTCCTGGCCTATTATTAATCCTCACCAATATTATAAATGCGAAAGTAGGTCTGTCTGTCTGTCGTGCTATCACGCCAAAACTACTGGACGGATTTTATTGAAATTTAGTACATAATAGTTTGGTAGACAGACTAAACTCCAGACCCTGAGAAATGACATAGGCTAATTTTTAATGCGAAATAAGGGTTGTAAGGAGATGAAAGGTTCTATGGAAGTATCGTCATTTTTAAAGCTAGTAAATTTTTATCCTGTAAGTTTGTAAAATTTTTACCCTTAAGGTAGTAAAATTAAATAGAGAATGAAAGTTCGTATGGAAATTCGTTATTTTTGAAGCCAGAACGATATCAGACATGCCTTATTTGTATGTCACTATTCCACGCGGACGAAGTCGCATGCACAACTAGTATTAGCATTATTATTATTATTATTATTACTAGTATTATTTAGTATACTCGTGAACGAGTGCTGCTTGTAGGGACTGGTCTGCTCTTATCACTACGACTGATTTATTCTTCTTGTGTTTTTATATTTGAGCCTATAATAAATAAATTAGTGCTGGTTGGTAGTTTGTATTCACACGTACGACTTGTAAAATGTGATTTTACAAGGATTGTTTAAAAGAGCAACACACAAGTTTCTTGCTTATTCTTCTTGTGATGAGACAGCTTTCCGAATAAGCGGTAGATTTAAAAAAAAATGTTGACTATTCAAAAGTGCTTAAATTAAGTTTATTTGAATAAATAATTTTCTATTCTATTCTATTCTATTCTATAAGAGGTGAAAACGGTCTCATAAAGACAATCCGATTGACAGAAAAAACAAATTCGTTGTGACAGACGAACGCACACTGTCGCATCATACATGTTCCGTTTTACTTTGTATAGTTAAAGCACTAAAACTAAACAAACAATATGGCATGGTGTTTGTATGGTTAATAAACGCATGTAGATTATGAAAGAGGCCGTGACACCGATGTCTAGGAGCACCCGGCTGGCAAATGAAGCGTGAAGGATTATATTTTGTGATAGTTATAGTCTATTTACTGTAAGTTACTCAAGTTGGTTGTGTATTTAGTGTTTTGACTCTAATGCATTACTACTTAGTTTTGACATAAGAATGTAAAGTTAGAGTTTTTTAAAAGTGCAACACTTAAGATTCTTTATCATTCTTCTTCTGATGAAATAGATTTCCGAATGAGTGGTATATTTAATAAAGACTATTATAACTATTCAAAAGTGCTTAAATCTAAGTTTATTTGAATAAAGAATTTTCTATTCTATTTTATTCTACTGTGAATTTTTTAAGTGTTGACAAAGTGATTTTTTTAAGTGTTGACAAATATTTGGCGAGTGACCTAACAAGTCACAATAGGTCAGGTTTGTCAGGTTTGGTTTTTACTGGCTTCAATTTAGAATTTCTAGAAAAATAATGACTCAGGACAATTTACCATCTAGTCTGAAGCTAGGCTGAGAAAAAACGGATAAAAATATACATTTTTAAAGTTTATAAGTTGTTAACTATATTAATATAGATAGATATCCGAATTAAAAGAATAAATATATATGATCGGCGTCGGTGGCTTAGAGGTTTAACACACCGTCTTCCGATGCTTACGGGTTCGATTCCGCGCACGCCACAAACATTTGTATTCATGCTTATGATGGTAACGGTCTGGGTATTTTATATGTATGTATTTACGACAAAAAATATATTTATGTATTTGTATCAGTTATACCTCTATCTAGTACCCATATCACAAGCTTTTGCTTATTTAACTGGGGTCTAGATGGCGTTGTGTGAATTGTCCTAATATTATTAAATAAATATAATATAATAACTGTAATGATATAGTACAATATAAAGTGGTGTATAGAAGAACATATGGTAACGCTGCGATCGCCATATTCCTTACATGGCAAACGCAGCGTTACCATATTGCCTGTGGTTGGGCACCATATGTTGACCAGCGTGTGGTAATATTGAATGCACTACTGCAAGGTCACTCGTTATATTGATTTGTTTACAAACTACTTTAGTTCGTCGTAGTTTAATAATTTAATTTTCAATTCTGTTTGCATTATAAAAATAAATAAATTATGTTGTACAATTCACGCAACCTCATCTAGTTTGAAAGTAAGTCGAACGGTTAATAGACATTGTTAGGTATGCTTACTTCTTGCGATAAGACCGCCTTTTGTACATCCATATCTCTTTTCTGTATAATTCTGAATAATTATAAATCAACTAGCTGTCCAGGCAAACGTTGTTTTGCCTTAATTAAAAAAAAATTAGGGTTGGACTACCCCTAACATTTAGGGGGATGAAAAATAGATGTTGGCCGATTCTCAGACCTACTCAATACGCTCACAAAATTTCATGAGAATCGGTCAAGCCGTTTCGGAGGAGTATGGGAACGAAAACTGTGACACGAGAATTTTATATATAAGATTAATACTTTTTTTTTATTAATTGATAGTTCAATTCAGTATCATGTTTTTACTATAGAAAAGAAAAAATACCGCATTAAGTTTTCTTTTTTCTTAACATACGTACCTACATACCTACTGAATGTAGGTATAATAGTAAAAGACAAATCAATAGAAACGGATATCCGTTTACGTTTACAAATGTTTGTTTACTGAACAGAGGTTTGAAAAAATATATGTATTAATTGACTATTAAATATAATATATAAAATCAAAATATCTTTATTCACGTAGGTCTATTACAGACTCTTATGATATGTCAAATCTACGGTCAGTTGGAGTGCTTTTGAGCTAAAAAGATATGACCAGAAACTCTGCTCTTATTTTAATCAAATTGGCTTGTACATGACTACAGAAATATAGATTCGTTTTTATATTATTATATATTTTTGCAACTAATTCTCTAGAAAGATGTTTTGAAATAATTGTTCCAAATTAATTACATGTTAATTATTTAATTGTATTTTATGTTTGCCCGTCTATGGTAGGAATGATTGCATGCCGTTTTCTGTTGCTTGAAAATGCCTAAAAAATGTTTATAGACCTTTTCATTATATATTTTTTATTGTTGACATCTTCCATTAGCCTGCAGAAAAATTTCAATAAGTTTTAGATCACATTAGTCCAGTTTCAATTTAAACGATTACTTGCTTTTGAATCGAACTTTTAAGAATTTCTACTAAAATTGTGATTTCATTTTCAGTCCACATGTATCAACAGAAACTTCAAATCCGTCTACATCAGGCCTTCAAACTATTGACCCGGCAGACAGGGACAGCATGAGAAAAAATGAAGAGGACACAAGCAATGAAAAAGAAAATGAAGGGTCCCTCTCCGACTGGATATCTGGAGGGCCGATCGGCTCGAAGGGAGCTGTTCTCGTCTTCAGATCATGTGTCCTAGCGTCCAGATCTCCATCCATGGAATCCACTACGAAAACCATAGGCAATAATACTGGTACAACGATATTATTAAACAAAGCCAAGAATATGGCGAAAAGACTGGTAGCTGAGCCCCATTCCTTTAGTGTAAGACCAAAAACAATAATGCATGATGTTATGGAAACATTTGGTACTAGTAATAAGTTCTCAGGACAGGCTTATGTCGTCCGACATGTTAGTGAAACAGATATACCAGAGACAATATCTGTTGAGGAGCAAGGCCATGAGCCGGTTGAACATAAGAGAGATATTGAAGATGTACTCAATGATCTCAACAAGATCACTTTAAAGAAACACCTCAATATAGAAAATACGACAGCCAATATAAAACCACCCGAGGAGCCCCCTCCTCTTACCAAAGGTAAAGTTCTGAAACATGACTACAACTAATATATATTTTATTTAATTAGATGTTATTTAGCTAAAGTCCATTTCATTACTTACTGGATTTATATTCTTTTATTTAATTCCACTATCTTAGCATTTGTGAGACTACAAATATTCAGTGCGGAAATCTGACCATCGCTACTGGAAGCTTTGCAACCTTCTCTATCAGTGATCAAATTCCGACCATTATTGAACATATTGCGCTTTTAAACGAGGCATCATCACACAATGAATAGTTATATAGACGTTATATATACGTTTTAATATAACTAGCAACCAAACTATGAATCAACTAAGTGTGTCTCCACATGTCCTGGTAGCGGAATTAAACAAAATAATATAAATTCATTAAGCAACAGCTAGTATGTACACTTTATTAAAGGAATGGAATAACAAATAATTGACGGTCCACACAATGGTAAGTGGAAACCGTTGCTAATATACATGAACAGCACCGCATAGTTATATAATACGAGTGGTACCTATTATTTCAAGGCACTCCTGCGGACTAAGGTGTCATGCCTGTAATTTTTGAAACTTACGAAGGTATAAAAATTACAACTGTAATTTTCTTATCTTACGTTCAATTTATTTCCGTCGATCGTAACACATCTTTCAAAGCAAGCTGCTTGATGACTGAAATAAAGAGAGAAGTCTACATCAGTATTGCTACGTATATCCCAAATTTCTTGACGTTGCGAAACAAACACACTTTCGTATTTATAATATTAGTTAGTATCAACACAAATAATATATTGAGGTACCGATAGAGATAATATGCGAGTACAATTCCTTTTCAGACACAAAAGAAGATAAGAAAGCTAAAAAGAATAAATGTAAGAGTAAAAGAAAGAATCCCCAGATGCATCGCGTGCCGTCGTCGCAGTTTGACAGCGACGACTCTGAACATATGCTTGTGAAGGAAGTCGATAGTATTAAGGTAAGTTTTATATATTAGTAATGCAAGTATATTTGGCGGACTTAACACATGTGGTATTTTCTACGTAAATATGTTTTTATTTACCCAAGATTACTGTTCCACGCGAAGTCGCGGGAACAGCTAGTCTAGTATAAATAATAGGAATTACAATTTCCTTACATTTCTAACAATCATATTCTATCTATCTATCTAAAACACCGCAGGTCCTGGACAGCAACCACATGCCGGCCCGTGTACTGAAGATCACGTACAAGCTCGTGAATACGGAAACTAAGCTCCTACACAGGCTGCTGCAGGCTCATGGTCTCCAGGAGGCGATCCCTGATGCCAAAGACTTTAACCTTCTATGGGCTGGTCTGCATCCAAAGCCTGACGTCTTGAGGTCGCTCTCCCCATACCAGAGGGTGAATCATTTTCCTAGGTAAGTAGCTGTGCCCGCGGTTTCACCTGAAATTTATAGCCTATGCGTTATTCAGATGTATCCAATATAAGCTATATTATTGTAAAGTTTCATTAAAATTCGTTTAGTATTTTTTGCGTGAAAGATTAACAAACATCCGTCCATACACACACTTTTGTAATATTAGTAAGATTTTAATTACTAACCGACCCAGCAAGTGTTGTTTTATATATATTAATATCGCTATTAAAAAATATGGGTTTGGTAGAAGGGTGAAAGTTTAGAGTTGTATGTATTTTTTATTGTAGAATCATAAAATATACATATAATATTTAATAATAATCCAAACAGCGAAATCAAGGCCCAAGAAACAGCTTATATTATGGGTTTTATTTATTAACAAATATAAATGACTAAATACTACTTTATTTTTGTATGTACACAACCACAAACCAATACGAATAATCTCACTCATGAGGAGAGGAATCGAAGCCGTGACCACCGGCAGCTAAGCGATGCGTAAACAGCTAGATCTAGGCCGTCAAAAATATACAACACACTCGATTACTTCTTATCACATCATACCGCAGGCAAAACTAGTTAACCTTTAGTAAGTCATGCTAACTAAAATGTCCGTGTGTGTGTGTGGCGGCGTGATGGTTGGCTCAACCATTATAGTCGTGAATGAGTCCTGCTTGTAAGGGGGAAAGGGGATTGTTAGTAATGTGGACTGTTGACCCCATTGCTAGCAATGTACCATGTCAGGTCGACTCATCTGCTTCCTGGTGAATTTATCACGATGGGCTATGCTCATCTTATCATCCTCCACTGGTGCCCCGCCAGCGTAGACCGTTAGCGCAGGCGGGTGCACCATTCCATTATCATCCAGAAAAAAAAAAAAAGTCCTGCTTGTAGGGACTCGTCTGCTCTAATCACTACGACTGATTTACTCTTATTATTTAATACTTTAACGCTTATAAATTAGTGGTAGTTTTTATTCACACATTTCGACTCAATAATGTAGAGTAACAGAGGTAGGAAAGTAAAAGAGGACCACGCACGTTTATTATTCGTTCTTTTTGTGATGAGACAGCGTTGGAGCGGTAGATTAATTCAAAAGAGCTTAAATTAAGTTTATTTTCAATAAAGGATATTCTGTTCTGTTCTATTCTATCCTAACCAACATAATTCTGCAGATCATACGAGCTAACTCGCAAAGACAAACTGTTCAAGAACATTGAGAAGATGCAGTACTTCCGAGGGTTGAAGCACTTCGATTTCATACCGACGACGTTTCTGATGCCCGCCGAGTACAAGGAGCTGTGTTCCACCCACTACAGGACGAAGGGCCCGTGGATAGTGAAGCCGGCTGCTTCTAGCAGGGGCAGGGGGATCTATATTGTCAATACGGTGAGCAAATATCTTTACGTTATAATTATTCTCTTCTCTGTCTTCCTCTTCTTTTCTCACCCATCCTCTCTTTTTCTCTCTCTCAAAAATAATTTATTCATGTAGAACATTTTAGCCGCTTATGAATTTACCACGATGAGCTAACTGATCTGACCTCATCTTGTCATCCTCCACTGGTGCCCCGCCAGCGTAAACCGTTAGCGCAGGCGGGTGCACCATATATCTTTACGTTATAATTATTCTCTTCTCTGTCTTCCTCTTCTTTTCTCACCCATCCTCTCTTTTTCTCTCTCTCAAAACTCAAAAATAATTTATTCATGTAGGACATTTTAACCGCTTATGAATTTACCACAATGAGCTAACTGACCTGACCTCATCTTGTCATCCTCCACTGGTGCCCCGCCAGCGTAAACCGTTAGCGCAGGCGGGTGCACCATTCCATTATCATCCATAAACAATACAGCCCTCTTCCCATCTTTAAGATTAAGGTCCGCACATTAAAGGTATTTTTTTTTTATTTTCAGCCCGAGCAAATACCCAAAGGCGAGAATGTAGTGGTAGCGAAGTATATTGACAAGCCCCTCCTAATAGGGGGCCATAAGTGTGACCTTCGGCTGTACGTGTGCGTCACATCTATAGACCCCCTACTCATATATCTCTACGAAGAGGGTCTGGTCCGATTCGCCACAGTCAAATACGATAAGACCAACAAGAATTTGTGGAACCCGTGCATGCATCTGTGTAACTACAGCATCAATAAATACCACACAGATTATATCAAGTGAGTCGATACGGTTAATATTTTGTCATGTATAAATAATAATAAAATAAGAGAAGTAACACAGCCCCTAGCTAAACAGCGTGTTTGGGGGTATTAAACAACTGATACAAATAAATGAAATAAAAAAAAGAACCCTAGACAATTAACACAGCCATCTAGCCCCACGGTAAGCAGAGCTTGTGTTATGTGTATACATACGTAATCTACATAGAAAATATCTAGACCGATACAAACAATCATATTCATGAATACACATGTTTGTACTGTGCGAGGAATCGAACCTGCAACCATTCGAAGTGAAGCGGTGTGCTAGACCCCAGACCACCGAGGCCGTCAATACTTAATATGTATCACGAATTATTATTATATTTTGATGGCCTCGGATTTTTAGGACACTAGTTTTTTAACATAATTCTTTTGGGTTTGATTACAAACACAACAATTATTACACACAGTAAGTTTTTCTAATGTGACATTAAAATACATACACCCGAAATTTTCACCCTTCTACCATCAACCCCTAGTTTAAAAAAGTATATATATATAAATAACGTTTGCGGGGCAGCTAGTCTTTAGTCTTACAGCTTTTTGACTAGTGTTGGAATGACATCTGTAGATGAGATAATAATTGGGAGAGTTTTCACTGTTCCTACCTGCCCTACCCATTTTTAGTTCTATAGATTAGATCAATATATTTAGCATTTTTTCTGTATTATTGTTACTTATATGTAAAAATTAATAATAATTTCCTTAAACCATTAGATGTGATGACCCAAACGCGGGTAATATCGGCCACAAGTGGACGCTGTCAGCTTTACTGCGCCACCTCCGCAAGCAGGGCCGGAACACCACCGCGCTGATGGCCGCCATTGAGGACCTGGTCGTCAAGTCTATACTGTCCTCGGCGCAGACCATAACGGCTGCCGCCAGGGTGTTCGTGCCCAATTTCTTCAACTGTTTCGGTGAGCTGTTCTTATGTTTATTTTGTCTCAGATAAGAGATAGCTTTTTGTCCTCATGATACAATTTATCTTATTTGTTTTCAACAATCTGCACTAGTCGTGACCACCGGTTTTGTCTGCTTGTTTTGAGATAAGAGATAGCCTGTATTTGTCCTCATGATACAATTTATGTTATTTATTATTTGCCATCATCGTAGTATAAAAAAATTAATTATATTAGCAACAGCTATGGCAACTAATCTGCTTTGTAACTTGTTAATGTTGCCAATAAAGGTTTTATCTATGTATCTATTTATGAACAGATGCACTCACTTTATCGATTATTGCATGTATATGGATAGTTTAAAAAAATTAATTTATAGACAAACCAACAACGATACAGTAAGTTTTCAACAAAAAGGGGCGGCCGTAATGTAATTTTCTTGTTAATTTTTCTTTTTTTCAGAATTATTCGGCTATGACATCCTTATTGATGATATGCTGAAGCCTTGGCTACTTGAAATTAATTTGTCTCCAAGGTAAGAAGCCCAACAGTGGGACGGGTATAGTTTGACAATTGAGCAGCGTTATATTCTACATACAGTTTGACAAATTGTATTTTTAATAATGGATGGAACACCCGCCAATTGCTGTAGTCGCGACCAGCGTAAAGAAAACAAATGATTTTAACTTAGATTTAGTTTAATAATAAAATACAACATTCTTTGTAACTAAGTAACTATAACTAAAATGTATGTACACAGTGCAAACGAATGTACCTCAGAAGTCTTAACACAAATCACAGTTGCTACCAGAACATAGTGTTTTACAGATTTAATATATAGTTAAAAATAGTAATATTAAAACTGTCCAACTACTATATTGAAATTGTGAAATTGCGGGTTCATTCCTCGGCGCATGTAAGTTCTGCTCTCCAGCACTGGATAGGGCTGAGCACTACATATATAACGCGCCTGCGGAGAATAATAAGATGTATATTAGATCAGCTCAGTTATGCCATCATGGCCGATCTACCATGAATTTATCACGATCCAAGGGGAACCGCACTGACGTTGACCTGGTACATTGCCAGTAATGGGTTCATTAATAAGTAATGTAAAAACCCTGGAAATTTATATCCGGGAAAAATAGAAATAATAAAAAAAAAGAAATGAATGTTAGTTACTCCATTAGTCCAGATTACTATCAATGCCCTTCTCTTCGTTCGCTGTGTATGAACTCTCTTATTGTCATGTTTGTGTGAATGTTTACCGAATAAATGTTTGTTTATTGATATCTAAATTTGGCCGAAAGAGAATTTTCGGAGCCGTAAAACTGCTTAATAAAAAAATTTATATGTAAATGGCGGATGTTTGCAGCCTGGCGTGCGAGAGTCCGCTGGACGCGCGCGTGAAGTCCGCGCTGGTGGCCGACACCCTCACGCTGGTGGGGCTGCCCGCGCTCACACACAACCACCACCTCGCGCCGCTCAACTCCCTCAAGATGAGAATCGGCGCCGTGAGACAACTTTTACTATTACAATTCACTGAATTATCAAGACTGACTCCGAAGGGCATCAATGGTATATATGTATACATAGGAGTGATGCAAATATAGGGATGGATACATAAATATAAAAATATTGGTAACATGTATGTACATGTTACCAAAAGAAGAACTAGTAGGATAGATGTAGAAATAGAAATAATCTTTATTCAAGTAAACTCTATAGAAGCACTTTTGAATAGTCATATTTTTGATTCTACCACTCATTCGGAATGCAGATTCATCACAAGAAGAATAAGCAAGAAACTTGTGCGTTGCTCTTTTGAATCTATTCAAAAAAAAACATTATGTTTTTTTTTATATAACGTACTTCTTATCATTTCATGGAGTCATACAGTTTAGAATATTCAACCTGGTAATATATATATACATATATAGTTAAATAATATAATGCCGACAGGTTCTAATTTAATATTTTATCCGGCTCGAAGGACTTTGATTAATTAGGTATGTTAACGCACAGTGCCGGCGCGTACACTCCGCGGAGAACATGTGCGTGCGCGGCAAGCAACCGGCTGGTACTGGCGGTACTGGCGGTACTGGTACTGGTAGTACAGGTACTGGAGGAGGAGGCCCCGCTCTGACCGGCGAAGAAGCGCGTCTGGTGCGTGCGGTGCGGGCGCAGTACTCGCGTCGTGGAGGCTTCGTGCGGATATTCCCCAGCCAGAACTCCTGGCAGAAGTATTCGCAGTACCTAGGTCAGTACACGCAACCTTCCACGGTTTTATAAGCTTACATCGACGGAAATTTACTGGTGATACAAGGAAAGTAAAGTGCATCTTTTCTTTGTATCCTGTAATTAATGAACCAGATGGGCCGCTGCAGGTACAACTTCATAAAATTGGGTATTCAAAGGAGGCTTGCGACTGCGGGGCGCCATCCTAGTATATGGTCCATCTATTGTCCTGTCCTTTGTGCCCAACATCCTGCACAAATTAAGATCTAAAAAATGCAACAGCATGCGCAAAAGTCGTCGCAACATTCTAGGAAAAATACATTTAGTTGCCATTGAAACGAAAGAATAAAATTAATTACTCTGTCAAATTTCACCCTCCAATCGAAATAGTACTTATAAATAATAATAGTAATTTTATTTGTAAAAGATTTTGAATACATTACATATATGATGTTTTTGAAAACATGGCCCAGGACATACATATATACGAAGTATATCATCGTATCCGTCAGGCGGGAGTTGGCCTTCAGCTCCTCGTAAGTCCTTCCTTTGGTTTGGAGTGCCATCTGTACTCGCCCCCTATCGTCCGGTGAAACTGTAAAGGCCATCTGCCTACAACATTAGAGTAGTCCGAAAAAAAACGGAGTATAGAGGAGACATGTGCATGCACGGCGCAGATCCTGTGACCGGCGTGCCGGTGTGCTCGACGTCGCTGAACAACAACGTGCCGTACCAGGTGGTGCAGCACAACTACAACCTGCTGGTGCACGCGCACGTGTTGCCGCACTTCCAACACGCCACCGTCGCCACCAGCCTCACAGACACGCCGCAGAGGTGACACGATTGCTTATATTTTATAGTTTTGAACTTTGTTTAGGTGTGTTTTATATATTAACAGATAATATTATACATACATATGTACATACGTTTTATCATTAAACGTACATACATTGCAACCCAACATTTTGACATGCACGATTCCGAGTCCGCTAACGATGCTCAAAGACACCGCGCGCGATAAATTATCAATGTTTTATTATATGTATTATGACATCTCAAAGAATTTGTGGAATAACCACACATTCTTGTGGGCCTTCGAGCCGGATAATCTTATTAATATTGTGAATGCGAAAGTTTGTGAGAATGGATGGATGTTTGTTACTTTTTCGCACAAAAACTACTGAACGGATTTTGATGAAATTTTACAGTAATATAGCTTATAGATCAGAATAACATAGGTGCGAGCACAGCTTGTAATTTGTAACACGTGGTGTAAATTGGGCGAAGTATAATATCAAGTAAGTGCGATGCAGACGAAGTTGCGCGGGTCAGCTAGTGTATCATGTATGATTGATTTCATCATTTGTATTTCTTTCTTTCTTTCTTTCTTTGATATATTAAAGAGCTCAAATTTTAATACATATTTTTGTATGATACGTATTAGTAGTATAAGTACAGGAGCCAACATAATATCAGCGCTGCAAATTTATCTCTCAGCCATCAGCCATCTGACAGCCTCGGTGGTCTAGTGGTTTAGCACACCGCTTTACTATCCGATGGTCGTGGGTTCGATTCCTCGCACGGTACAAACATTTGTATTCATGAGTATGATTGTTTGTATCGGTCTGGGTGTTTTCTATGTATAATATGTATTTATTTACAAAAAAAAATGTATTCATGTATTTATATCAGTTGTCCCATAACACAAGCTCTGCTTAGCTTGGGACTAGATGGTGTTGTGTGAATTGTCCTGGGATATTATTATTATTATCTCTAGCTTTGTGATGATAAACTTATCAATCTATCTATCTATCAAAGCAGAACACGTCTTACAAAGCTAGAAGCTTGACTATAGCAGAATTGGGTAACACAGACCTTGTACACAGTATTTCGATCGGAGCGGATCAGTGAGTGAGCGTTGTCGTGTGCAGGCTACAGCGGTACGAGGCGGTGCTGGTGACGTCGACGGCGCCCGCCGTCAACCTGCAGGAACCGTCGCCACGTGCCGCCGCCACCACCACCACCACCACCACCGCCGCTGGTGACCAGCGCCACGCCAAGCTGCTCATCAAACGGCAGCTGCGGGACGGACTGCGGCTCACGTATGTCTCTCACCCTACACAAATCCTTGGAACACGATTACAAAATTACAGTTGCTCTGTAACGTTCTAAAATTGATGTTATGGACGAATACAGTATACGATACTCGTACTGTACTGTTAAATTCGTCAAATAATATATGGAATCATGTATTATTGTGTTGTGCAGCACGGGCGAGGGTCGTCGCGCGTTCGGCCTGTTCCTGACGCACGTGCTGAAGCGCGTGTCGTGTCCGGCCAACGAGCTGGCCGTGCAGCACGCCGCGCTCGTGCTGCGCTTCCTGCGCCGCGCCTGCAGCTCGCTCCGGATGCCCTACAATGTACAGGTGACGCTTGGCTGCACGCGCACTGCATCCACACTTGACGCTTGGCTGCACGCGCACTGCATCCACACTTGACGCTTGGCTGCACGCGCACTGCATCCACACTTGACGCTTGGCTGCACGCGCACTGCATCCACACTTGACGCTTGGCTGCACGCGCACTGCATCCACACTTGACGCTTGGCTGCACGGGCACTGCATCCACACATGACGCTTGGCTGCACGCGCACTGCATCCACACTTGACGCTTGGCTGCACGGGCACTGCATCCACACATGACGCTTGGCTGCACGCGCACTGCATCCACACTTGACGCTTGGCTGCACGGGCACTGCATCCACACATGACGCTTGGCTGCACGCGCACTGCATCCACACTTGACGCTTGGCTGCACGGGCACTGCATCCACACATGACGCTTGGCTGCAGGGGCACTGCATCCACACTTAACGCTTGGCTGCACGCACACTGTATCCAAATGTGATGCTTGGCTACACGCGCATAGTAATGTATAAGTGACGCTTAAGGAAGTAGTGATGTGCCATATAAGGTCAAACTCTATGTGATCCCGTCTGGTCATTAATACCTAGTAAACTTGCTACGTTGGACTAACTAACCTGAATTCTCTCACTCGTTCTATCATTCTTCACTGGCGCATATCGTTAGCTCAAACATTTCCCATTCCATTAAGGGGCGTTCATAAATTACGTGAGATGTTTAAGGAGGGGAGGAGGTCGAATCAAAACTCATCTAATCTTACGTTGGAGAATCTCGGCAAATATCACGCTATTTTTGTCTAATTGGAACAAAAAAAACATTATATTATTTCCATTTAATTCAGATTGTACATGCTTATTACACTTATAACTCTCAGCAATATTGATTACTAGTCTTAACTCGTCATAATAAAAAAAAGCACGAAGCATTTTTTTTCTTGTTACAAACACAAATTTTGAAAAATTCACGTGAGTTTGGGGGATGGGGGAGGGGCTTGAATAAAATCTCACAACATCTCACCATTACAGAAAATTAAAAAAAACACCTCACGTAATTTATGGACGCCCCCGTATCATCCATCAAAATGTTAGAATGCTAGTCATGGTGTTATGAAGGTGTTGGTTTTTGTCTCGTGTGACATGTTACGTATTCACGCTAGATGTATTCCTGCAACGTTTTGTCTTCTCTGGCTTTTGTAACATATTCAGGAATAATAAATAAAAAAATTCGTCATAAAGTCGGTACATCATAGAGTATTAATATAGCATACATTGTGAACAAGATCATAGACTAAGAACATATCCGTATATTATTCCTGCATGTATTATAGCACTGTGTATCTATGTTTTGCATGATGGTTGTATTATATGTTTAATTTATTCACATAAGTGTATATTTATTTTATATTTTGTTACCTTATTTCCACTCACGTGCCACCTACTTTATTTTTATTTATACTCTCTCTCCTAAGGTTGTCTGGAAGAGATTGCATTAGCGATTAGACCGCCTTCTGTACCTTCTTCTTTCTTTAATGTATTGTTATATATTATTTTCTTTTTATGCATCTACTTTTAATATTGGTGCAATAAAGAATTATAAATAAAAGAAATAAAAATTGATTGATTATATTGGCATGTTTTAAATTCAAATTTTGAAGAATATCTTGTCCACAATTTTCAGAAATGTGACATTTAATTTATGTTACTTCAGTAGTTATATTTATATACTTTTATCAAATTTGCACAACACAAAATATATGTGTAATCTTGAACAGTATTAATTTAAAAGAGCAACATGCAGATTTCTCGTTTATTCTTCTTGTGATGAGTATGCGTTCCGAATGAGTGGTAGAATCAATAAAATATATGACTATATCTAGTCTAATAATGGTAGTATTCCAAATGCAACATACCAAATACTATTTCAGTTTGTATTTAATAATAATAAAGACATTTATTCAGCATTACAGTATTCTTAGATGCTATCTATCTTGTATACTATATACTTATATACTAAATACTTTGTTGTACAATGAATAACGTATAAAGAGATGCAATTAATTTTAAAATAGATACGTGACTTATCCCAAACGAGGCATTTTCGAGGCACTTCTAGTCAACCTTTGAGCGACTGAGAGAAATGGTGGAGTGGTGGTGACATTTACAATGATTAATTATTTGTATTTTATTTGAAACTATCTACTCGCTCTAGCTTCGCACGAGTGTATATATATATAAACCTTAAGTATAATACCCGTATTTAACCGTGAGTATTATACATATAAACCTTCCTCTTAAATCTTAAACACTACTCTGAATCACTCTATCTATTAAAAAAACCTTTCAAAATGCGTTGCATAGTTTTAAAGATTTAAGCATACATAGGGACGGACAGACAGCGACAGCGACTTTGTTTTATACTATGTAGTAATATGCATTTTAGGCCCCATTTTGCAATAATATTATTTGACAGTTTTGAGGTGTGCACGAATAAATCGGTGGAGTTTTTTCAGGGTCCGCCAGCGAAGATGTGTGATAAAGACCGGTGCGCGGTGATTGCGAAGCAGCTGAACGACTTCCTCTACATGTATTACCGCGAGACGGACCTCTACACGGACAGCGAGGACCGCGACGGCTGCGTCTCCGACATACACTTCGCGCAGTTCCTCTACTCCGCCAGGTATGCTCCAAAGTGTAATAAGTTGTTCAGCACGCTCTGTTAATTCCCATGGTCGTACGTTCGACTTCTCGATGGATCGATGTGAATTGAATGAATGCAAATATATTCATGATCCAAAGTGTAATAAGTTATTTAGCACGCTCCCTTAATTCCCATGGTCGCGAATTCGATTTCTCGATGACTCAATGTTAATTGAATGGATGCAAATATATGCATGGTCCCAAGTGTAATAAGTTGTTTAACACCCTCCCAGTGGTGGAACAGTGTGGATTAAATGGTTACAAATATGTACACATACACATACATATTATACATAGAAAATACCCAAACCGATACAAATAATCATACTCATGAATACAAATGTTGGTACCGTGCGAAGAATCGAACCCGCGACCATCGGGAATAAAGCAGTGTGCTAAACCGAGGTCGTATGGCTTTCTGCTGTTTTGGACAGGCGATCATTTTACGTAATGAAAGTTCTTACCAGCGGCCATTTTCCAGATATTTATCAAATGACATAGTTGCTAACTTTACTTTTGTTCTTATTACTGATTTTTACGTATCTAAGCCATTTCTATCCTGTAACTCTGTCTCCAGCGAGGCGGACCTGGAAGACGTGCTGCTGCTGGTGCTGAAGATGGAGAACTACGTGACCACGTTCCTGGGAGACAGCCGCAACCCGTTCTGCGTGGACCTGCCTCCGTCGCGGCTGAGCGTGGAGTCCCCCGCACGACACACGCTGCTCAAACACCTCGCCTCGCTGTCGCCCGTCAACACCAGGCGGTACAGGTGAGGTTTTATCATTTTACATACAATGACACAGCTTTCTTACTGTCCATGCAAATAAATGAAATTGAAGAGTCTGTCTCTCTGTCTGTTTGTTCTTGTTAAGCTGACTGAACTGACTTTGACTTTCACTGGAACTCTGTTTGTTAGTAGTTCATAAGTTTTAAAGCGTATAGATCAAAATTTATTTTAAGGTTTTTACATGATTTCTGGCAAAAAAGAATTCTGTGACATTACTATTCCTTTCTGCTTGGTATATTCTTTTATTACATCGTATGGGTGGATAGCTTTTTCGTGCATATTTTAGATTTTTTGAGTTGAAGAATGACATTAAAATTACACATAAAAAATAAAAAATAACGACGCCAGTGGTACTCCATGCATTGTTATGGCTAAGTATTAAAATAACAAATCTCCGGACCCAGTAATTTCACCGTCATGTTTATACTGAAATACTTGGCGTCAGAAATATACACATACAGACAAATATACCCATGCAGATGATTTTGAACAGCCTGTACTTCGATGAAAGTACATAATACTGTATTAATTCAATACAAATTTCGAAACAAATTAATAAATATATATAAATGTGTCTACAGACCACTGCCAGAGTCGCAAAGCCGCTCCGAATCTGAAGAACCGGCCGGCTCGGAACAGGACGTGCCTCCGCCGCCGTACACCAGCTCGGACCTCGTCCTCAAAGATTCCCTCAAGGAGGAGAAGCCTCTCAACATGGCCCTCAAATATGCGAGATCCTAGCGGTAAACTGAATCAATATAACGATCATTTATATATTGAAAAAAATTAAATGCACACTTGTTATCTTGTTCCCTTATGCCACCAATTTTGGTGACAGTTTCAAATGTCACCTTTAAAACAGAAATTAACAGTCGCCGAATGAAGAAAACAATTACATTAGTTATTTATTTCAGAACGAACTTTCTGTTTCGGCTACTTTTAGTATGTTTAAAGAAAAGTCAATAATAACCGTATGGAATACAAGCCATGTTACTAGCCAGAAATCTAGCTTACTTCAGGTGACAATTTTTTAAAAATAGATTATGTTTTAACCACTAATAACAAAGAAATATATACCAAAACTAAAATGTTACCATATTAAAATATTAACATAGATAAATAAACATTCATTGTCATTCTGTAGGCTATGATTAATTGTGCATCTTGATTTTTTTATATATCAATGATCATACATTTAACAAGTGCAATCAAATATATAATTTTAGTTGACCGTGACTATACCAAGCAAATTACACGTCCACGTGTATAAACATAACTTCACATCACCAAAATGTATAATAATATTGATCTCTGGTGGAAATAGACTTATGCAATATTAAATTAAATAAAAACAGAGTGTTGATAGTCCGCCAGCTTTACGACCGTTGAAACATTCTATAATTTGTGATTTATATACTTATTTAACAATACTTAACGGACGTACAAATTTATATTCCATTTTATTTTTTATATTTTAACTTGAAAAGTGTTTTAAGTAATAAAAATTGGGACTAAAGGGAGTTAAAGGAATAAATTGGCTGTCGAAATATAAATTAAGCAGATTTTAAAAATTAATGGGTAGTAGGGACATCTATATATAAAGCAAATATACACAGAACAAATCCATAGAGAGGAGACTTGAACTGGACCAAAAGAGATAAAAATGTCTACAGTGGATTTTTGTTTGTGTAATATCAAACTTTTTTTTTTGTATAAGGGGCCGTACATTAATCACGTGATTTTTTTAGCATTTTAGTCCCGTCTCCCCTTGGTGATACGGGGTGCGTTTTAAAATTAACCCACCCACCCTTAATCGCGTGTTTTTAGTACCTATTAAGAATCTTATTTATAGAATATTGACATAAACATAGGCGTGTTTAAAGTTTCAATAATCTATAAAATTTTATTGTAGTAAAAGTCGAAGTCCCACTACACGTCGCTTTTCGGTTTAAAAGAAAAATAAATACACGTGATACATAACTACACCCCCTCCCCGCTTGTGATATTTTATGATTTTTGCCCCCTTTGAAGCACGTGATTAATGGAAGGCTCCTAACTGAATGATAAGGTGGTAACTCAATGATAAGCGACGACCGTCGCCCATATACATGAACAGCACTACGGACCTCACGTCATCACATGACGCCTATGGTAACCAAAGCATGGGCTATCTCATGCGTTATTCTAAAGGATTGGGAAGTTATAGCTCTGTATCAATACTGCCATATCTCACCCTTCGACTTTAGCTTACAAGGTCGAGCTTGGTTGAAATAGATAAGATGGCGGTACCAATGCATATGACTTTGTTCGAAGTCTACCTCATTAAATAAGGGGAAATAACACACCTAACTTCGCGGCTGTAATTCTAAAAGGGGTAGTCAGATATGTTGACAACAAAAACAATACTTGGATTGATCTTGATTTCTGAATGATTCTTTAGTGATGCCGACACATATATAAAACAAAATACAGGTTTAGTCGGAAAGTTGGTAAGGTTCTAAGGATATAAAAGTGCTTGTGGTAACGCACAACTTTTATTCTACAACTCTCCCTGACACTATATAATTTATTCGAAAATAACGGGTACAAAGTTGTTATTTAAAAATACAATAACAACAATAGACACAGCCAACAAACAATAACATCGGCTGTCATCAGCCCTATCATAATATGAAAATAATTAAAATATCTAGAAATTAATCGTTTTAAGAACAAAAATCGAAGGCGTGGCTTTTTTTGGCTACGCCCCTTACTCGCTATTTCACTAATCAAGAACGTCGACTATATTGGATTGAATACAAAAAATAGGGTCGCCGATTCTCTGTCATAATTGATATATATTTAGTTTTATATGAAGAAATAGAGAAGAAGAAAGAAGGAATAATATGACGGGGGATTAATTAGTTATTAGTAATGTTACAGTGCTAGCGGCTAATATACCCTTTTCGACTAAATCAGTATATCCGATTGGCGGCTGTAGGCTGGATCTCAGCCACGTTGAATTCACGTTGAACGAAATGTCCTGTGTTCATCACCTCGTCGATATTTTTGCGTCTAACTACCCCAATTAGAATAATAATCTTGAAGGTATATTAGTATTAGATAGATTTTATCTAACTAGGAGTCGATTCCTGTCCGTTTTACAATTCGCAATTAAATATGATCAATTGAAATCGCCTTCTACTTTTAGCAATAAATTTAGTGTAGTAACCATCGATTAACTGATGATGATGATGATCGGATGTATTTACAAGTACCTGCACTAGCGGTTATTTACAAAATCTAAGGTGCTAAGAGATTAACTCTCTGTAGATCTACTTATGGCGTAGTGCTGCCGCACGTCACCTACAACCTATACTCGAATTGCACGTTTCCAATATAAATTACAATATAATTCCATATATGTAATCTAGGTACATTAACTAGCCATGTGCTTCAGAATCCGCTTGCAAATTAAGGGGCATCCGTACAGGGTCACAGGAGCCTTGACATCGTGACAGCTAGTCACATTTGTGACATTCATTTTCGTCAAATATTTTGCATTTCTACATCATTTAGAATGTATATGCGTGAAATAAATATCGCTACCGGTACAATGTTTTTGTTTTTTGCTTTTTATGAAAGTTACGCGTAAGAAATATAACATAATTAAAACGCATATCGAGAAGTCCAGAATATTGTTTTATTGAAATACTTAATAATATGTTGAATTATTAAAAAAAAACATCACACATTGTATCTTTGGATGACACATAGTTAATGTACCTCGATATTTGTTTTAAAGAATTTATTATAGAATGGACAAAGCCAGATGATCCCAATAAGTGTTAAGCTTATAAATCCTGCATTACTTCATTAATGGAACTTATATTATGTTCTGATATTTTGTATTCATAAAACTTAAATAATATACTCACCAATTTGATATGTAGCTATAATTATTGAAATGCAGTTTTGTTAAAATTATAATAAGAGGATCTGCTTCGCCCCCTTACGTTCCTCCTTAGGGTCCCTAATTCCGAGACCCTTTCAACATGCACCCTTACTGCGTAGAGAGAAGGGGTCTCAACAATAAACCCCAAAGTTTTCTATTTTCTAGGAGCAACTATCCACTAATCAGCTTCCACGTAAGACGGATCCTCTTTCTTGATTTGTCTGGTTTTGTTTTTTTTTTTAAATATTATAATAAGGCACATGCGGCAGCGCTAAGGGGCGCCACACTAGCGAATATAGACTGAACTAGTGTTTTTAAGGTGTGTACTTAATACTACCTAAATTTTATTGGTCGATAATTGATTCTTATTTGACTCTAGTACTATGCTTTACTGCTAGATATCTAGAACAGTGGTGAGCAACATTTTTAATCAACGGAACGGTCCAATTAAATTTTAAAATTTCTTAGCGGGCCGCATATATAGTAATAAAAAGATATTAATTTAAAAAAAGTTAATATTTGCTACACAAATTTTAATGCAAACGTTCATATTGCACGTTTAAACAAGACGTGAAGTGAGTAATTCGTCAGAAAAAATTGTTTCGGTTATAGTAGTATTACCATTTTATTGTAATTAATTTTATAACAATATATTGATGGGAGAAAGTAGAAAAAATAAATTCAATTATAGAAATGCTTGGCGGGCCGCAAGCAACCCGCGAGCTGCGTGTTGCTCATCCCTGGTCTATATAGTTGTAAAATATCAAGCCATTTATGTGTTACCGCGTTAATCGATTACATTTATAGTTATTCATATGTCTTTTAATAATATATAATTTATTTTTAAATATAATATTTAAAAGGTTTTTAAATTTATACTACTTTTCGCTATACAGACATTGGACTCTCCTTATAAAAACGCTAAACATCTAATGAACGTATTGTTTAGCTTTGGCATATTGAGTAGTTTTGTCCCTTTCTATCGAGGAAATATCTTATTTTGTAAGAAAGTGACAAAAAAACTCTGCTAGTTAAAATGTGTTTGTAGATTTTAGAATGAATAATGGTACAGCTTTTATTTTATATTGCTATTTAAATTAGGGTTGCCATTCCTGAATTGTAAAATTCTGTATATGCTAGTATTAGTAGAATTTCATTAATTTGTTTAATGCAGGAAATATATAAATAATCATATCTGTATTAATGAAATTCTACTAATACTAGCATAACAATAGTTTACAGCAGAGTTACAGAATTTGTAAGTATTTAATAAATACTACTAGTTTTTGTTAAATTGTTATAAATTCAATAAGTAAATTCTAAAAGGATTTTTTAAAAAAAAGGACGCTTTTTTTATACTACGATGGTGGCAATCGAGCATACGGTATTATGCTGATTAGTAAATAAAAAAGCAAGACAGGTCTTAAGAAAAAAAGGTCAGCTGGCAACCCTAATTTAAAATGTATGCTCCAATATGATTAAACACGGTTCAAATTTGAAACGAGTCTGCTTTAAATCTATGTTATAGTAGTTATGCCGCGCTATTAGCAATCTTATGTACTTAACTTTAAAGTATAATTTATTTAAAACGTTTTGGTATTAATAATTCTATTCCATTATAATTTTTTTGTTAAGAATTTTCAAAATTTTATTCAAAATTCTCTATCTATTCGAAAATATGTAGATTTTGTAATATAAAACAAAAATACTCATTTATTTCTATGAGGAATTGAGTTGCTAATGTTTTAGTTGAATTTATTTGTAATTTAAAAAAATATAAACACGGGACTTTTTTTATATTGTTATTATTAAAATTTTGTATTGAGAGTATGTAATCCTAAAATAATTATTCTTTATCTTTTATAACAGCGTTGACTGGTAGAGAACGCCTTTAGTTGTCTACCCCCATTTGTATTTAAAATCTAGACATGAGAAATAATTCATAATTATTATTATACTTTTAGGAATAATTGAGAATATGATATTATCATTATTTATATTATTAACCGGGTCTTAACACGAATAATTTTATGGTAAACTAGCTGTTGCCGCGACTTTGTCCGCGTGGAATTTAATTAAAAATTAAAATTATAATAATCTATTCTAAAATAAAAGTAGCCTAAGTTACTCCTTATTACATCAGCTACATGCCAATAAAAGTCCCGTCAAAATTGGTTCCATCAAAATCTATTTCAGAGATTAGCCGGAACAAACGGACAGACAGACAAAAATTGAAAAATAACGGTTATTTCAATATTACAAATAGATACTCCAATTTTATTTTAAAACGTCTAGAGAGGTAAATACCATAAAATTATTCGTGTTAAGACCCGGTTAATAATATAAATAATGTATATTAAACACGAATGTTTAAAAACTACTATGATATTATCAATTTCAAACTAAATGTTTATAGTATTAATCCGATATCAGTTGTCATGTGAGCGAACTAGGGATGTGAAATAATCGAATATGTTATTAATCGATTACAATCCAATGAAAATGGATATTCCTATACGATTTCGATATTGGAAAAATCGACTAATAAATATATATATAAATATCATATCATATCTATATAAATATAATAAATATCTATATGTATAAATGATCGATTTTTATATAAATGATCGATTTTTTTAACATATCCACATTTTTTTTTATCCAAGTGGTTTAAAAAAGCAACTCTATTGAGCCCAGAATTAGGGCTAGAAAAATAATCAATTATAATGCTATTCGGTTAATTAATATTTTTTTATACAGATCTTCACATCCCTAGAGCTAACATCTCTTATTTTGAACTTTGAAGTGTCATTGTGAATTATACTAGTGAAAATTATATGCATCTCCAAATTTTATGACTATAGATACCAATTAACAACTGTACTGTAATGTACACGCTTTTTTAATCGCTACTAATTTTAATGACTTTTTACTATTTGTCATATCTAAAAAGCAACTGGAATGAATCCTTTTTTTTTAATTTAATATTTTATAGTCTTAAATATATAACTTCTTCATTCATCAACAGTGATTTCTAAGGTTAATTATTATAAATTAAGATAAGGGTTTCGGTCAATTAATTTACGTACACATGCGAACACGGTGCGAGACGATAGTCTAAAGTAATAATAATAATAGATTATTTATTTCAATCATTGAACAGAAACATGTCTATAAAATTACTGAGGAAACGATGACTTTCACAGAAGTATAAAACTGTTCCGAATATCGAAGCCCTCCACCGAGTTACCACAATTACAAAATATTATAGAACATAAATTGCATTAGTCCAATAAAATTTACAAAACTTAAATTAAAATTAACCAAAACAAAAATAAGTTCATTTATATAAGAGTAGTAATTGTAACGTCTCTGAGTGCGATCGCAAGATAATTTATATAATTGCAGGTCTAATTTTTTTTTGTCGTTAGATCTCATATGGTATTTTTTTTTAATCAGTTCAGTTTGTTCCGTGTTACGATAATCCCAGATTTTACAGTGAGAAGTCATTAAAGTTGTAGCGATCATACAGCGTTCTGCTATGTTATATTCGTTTTATAAGTTAGTGATCTGTGAACCGATGCTAGTCCAGTTAGGTCACACCTGTAGGCTACTTGCACCAAAGTTCTTTTTTGTTACATTATTAAATAATTATATTCCTTTTCTATATCAATTGTTTATATAATTGAATATTTATAATCAAAATTACATTTTACACGCAATACTAGTAATACATAGATTTTAAACATATTTTTTTATTAGATACAGATATAAGTGGCTTTTTTACGTGACTCATATTTATAATAGTATTTTCTAACAATGGTATGTTCTACAAGTGTTCTTGTACACTTTACTTTACCGTCCACCAAATATTACAATAGCACGTAACATTTGCTAATTATAATATTTTCGTTTATCGTATTAGTTTCATGAAGTATTATTAGATGTAAGTGCGCAGTGGACTTAACATTTGCAATATAGACACTGCACTAGAATTGTCATTTTTGTGAAATCCTAGTGATAATGTGGAGACTAGGCAATAAAAAAAATTGCATGATTGCTATGAAAAAATTCCGAAATTTGATTGATCTCTGTTTTAGAAAAATATTTTTTTATATTATTTAAAAATGGCATCTATGGTTTTTTTTTTAATTAAACTTTGTTAACGGTATCCAGTGCCATATGCCACGATGCTGTGTTCACATACCTCCTGCTTATAGATGCAGTATAATAATTATTGTAATAGTGGACAAATGAAGCTTTGCTTGAGTACAAAGTGTGATAAGTTTATTGAATTCTCTCAGCAAAGTTTTAATCTCATATTGTGAAATATATTTTGAATATGCTAATTAAATAAATTCAATATTTATCTGGTGTTTTTTTTTATGGTGAATGAAATGAGAAGTGAGCAAGGCTATGCATGTAATATTAGATATTAACGTTGAGCTAAATGTTAATTTTTTGGATTTTTAGTGGTTTCTTTAAATAATTAATATCGTATTTACTGGATTGTCTGCCCACCCCTTACCTTACTTTTATATACCATTAATTGAATAACAACAGGACAATTCACATAGCGCCAAAGTAAGCAGGACTTGTGATATGGGCACTAAACAGAAATATCGAGAAAAATCCAAAGCAATAGAACAGCAGCGGTACACTGCTGGTATTACTATTTTTTTTCTTTGACAAAGGGACCTACATGTCTTTGGTATTATATTGCTAACTAGAAAAAATAAACTGAAATAGCTAACGAACTGAACGGTAGGAATAGTGATGACGAAAGGACCTTTTGAGTTTGTGTTTATTACTAATTTAGCGAATTAGAATATATAATATTCAAATCCGCTAAATATTATATTGAAATTAAACAATAAATTGAACATAGTAATTTATTATGTCCTTTGCATTTACAATTCAGATACTGCTCCTTTGTACCTCCTTTCCTCAAATCCTGTATAAGGTCCTATATCAGTTGCTCAGGTTCAGTTCTTTTCAAATTGCTGTCTTCAACCACCGGGCCATGTCCTGTCAAATGCAAATAATATTAGCAATTTCCCATAACGTCGTTTGCCTACACGCGGTCACCATTCAAGGACACAGCAAATGTCATATTTCAGTAGCTCCATTTTTATATTATAAAAGAGTTCAGGATATTATGCAATTAAAAAAACGTCAGTTTTGTATGTACGATTATGTGAGAATCATATTCAATCGCAATGCGATTGATTTGTGCGTATTTTAAGTTATAACGTCTTGACTTGACAGACATACCTACTGTAAACATGTACATGCCGCATATTGGCACAAAATCGAATTCTTCAAACTCGACGATTTTGATACGATATATATGTAAATTATATGAGCTAAATACATTTATATTTTCAAACTGACGTAGCTAATCGTTACTATCGTTTAGTACAAAATGTACGTATACCGTTAAACCGGTACCACAGACGTTACAAACAATCATCGAGCATGCCGTTCCTTGTGCGAACTCGGTAACGCTCCTATGCCGTACTTACGATTGTCAATTTTCGCATTGCTGTCTTCTGGTGTCGTCGCCTAACACTAACGTCGTCATTGCATCGTATTTGCGGCTCCGGTAACTCGTACGTGCCGTCAAGCCGCAACTAACCCTCTGAAACGACTCGCACGCACTTTCTGGTTGAAAGCAGATGCTCGCAACGTACACATTAAAATAGAAACGGATTACAGAGCAAGTCGAACTTGCGCCTAGCGTCTGCGCACCGCTGTTATGATGAGCCTAGTTAGCGGTAGAGTTCGAGTTACTAATGCAGGTGTGCTCTGTAATCTTTGGTCCTCGGTTCATTGAGAATTCAAATGGTACAGGGCGCGTTCAAAGATATATATTTTTCTAAGTAATAAAAAAATAATTATTTGTATATAGGACGTCCCCTTATACTGCTGCGATTGTGACAGTCAGCTTTTAAGCTTCTGTCTTGCTAATCGCTTTAACAAAACCTTTATTAAAGACAAATCATATTTAATCGCAACATCTCCGAATAACTAAGCAAGTCCGCAACAAACTAAACAATCAAAATTATGGTGATCTCGAGAGAAATGACAACGTTCATAAATTTCCTTTCGGGCCGCACGAACTTGAACTATCGGTTCTAACGAGTGTATATATTCGGTCCTTCTTTCGCCAGCCTCGTATTGTTTTTTTCCGTGTATAATAGTCCTGTTGTGGCTTTCGTTTACTGTAGCTTGCTCCGGACTTGCTTTTAAATGTATGTACTTGAATTATTTATCGATCGCTATATTTTTTCACACAAATTCAAACCAACTCTGCCTATTTCGCTGACGTCACGATCAGGCAAAGTACAGCCTGAGAACAGTAGTCTCTCATTCTTAATCGCATTACTGAACAAAAGGATTTGCTCCTTTTTCGGCAGCGTTAGGAAGATATCAATAATATTGTATCTGTGGCATGAGTTGACATAATTTTAGGTAATACGTGAACGCGCCCCTGTACCTCAACACCACTAATCAGAAGACCAGAACACTGGGTATATAATACTCTAGTGTATATACGTATTATTGCGCATTTACACGCTAATCCTGTAATAAAATCACAGCCATAGATACAGTTGAGTTACCGCAACCATCGAAGCAGTTTCAAGCTATAGACTAAAAACATCGAGTGTATACATGCAAAATGTTGATGTTTTAGTAAAGAAATGGAATTAAATTAAAAGTGTATAATATACCAATCAAAAAGTTTAATCTATAAGACAATTTTACAGCTTAAACTAAATTCTTATATTAAGTACCGACATGGATTCGTGTCGCGATACGCTGTCCGCATACGGCGACTGATTTAGGTAAAATGAAAATATAACCTCCAAATTAGTTTCATTTATTAATTTAATTTCACATGATGATTCGATTTCTTAATACTACGTCGGCTTACCGTATAATCTCGAACCTACTACGGTCGTCCGCACCGCCCACATATCGCTTACGAACGCAACGCGACGCTCCGATACGTGTACCGTTCGGGAAGACTATAGACAGTTTGTTCACGTGGACTTATCCTACTTGTACCAAAGATTGCAATAGTAGATATGCCCTAACCCTACTACGGACGTATTGAAATGTTCACCGTGATCTCACTAGATTAAATCAGAGCCCATATAAACAGTGAGTTGGTTGATTTATCGTCATGGATTTTCCAAGAAAAATCTCTCAAAATAGCATTCTATGCATTTAAAAATTTCACAAATCATTCTAGTAAAACAAATAAAAAATGGTTGTGGTATAAATACGCGACTATATCACCTTCCGTTGATAAACATATTCAGGAATAATTATTTAAGATACAATTGTCGCAGGAGAGAAAGAGACGACACAATTATCAGGGCTCGACATCTGAACATTAATTACTCTGCACTTTGTGCGCGTAACAGGTTTCGTTAGAAGAATAATGCTACAAATGAGCTATGGTCAGGGCATATCAACGATTTGAATCTTCGCCTTATACTAGTTATCCGCCGGCGTGGAGCCCGTAAGTCAGTAGCGGCGCGGGAGCATGCCGCCGTCGTCTCTACCGCCGCGCGCCGCGCCGCCGGCCCCGCTACATACAAACACACACGCTCAGCCGCTGCCACCAGCCCCGCCACATCGGACTCGAGCGGACGCGCTCTTAGTTCATAGCGACACTAAAACACTCCCTCCGCCTTGAAAAACATGGCCGTCCTGACGAACGCAACCTTACTTCGCTTGGTATACATAGTAATCAGGCGCTAATAACACCGACGGTTGAATCCGTGACCATAGACTTCGCATTTCAACTATCAACTAAGAGGCATCCCACCGAGTAGATAATGTGACAGCAGCGTAATAGAGACATTTGTAGAATGAAATATACCTTAGCTGTGATTCGTCCAATATTTTAGCAGCAATGTAAAAGTGTATTGTAGTATTAAATTGATTTTAGGACGAAAAACGCATTAAGTTAGCTGAAGTTTGATAATTATTAACATTATCGGGACCAATGTGTAAAAGCCATATAGATTTTTTTTTTATTTCTCGATTATACAAATTATATTACATTTGTATAGCAATTAGTATAAAATTTATGTTTTTTTATAATAAATGCTTACATATCTTTGAACTCAATTCAAGAATATAGAAACTTAAAAAAAAACTTTTGTAAAAAATTTACATTTAGTAGCAATATTAATTAAAAAACGATGATGGGATTATGTATTATATAGTTCCAAAGAACTGATGAAATGATGATGAATAAATTAATGATTTATTTTACTACAAGGTTAATTGTAAAGGGTATATACCATAAACCTCAAAGGCAGGTAGAATACTTATGAAACTGAAGGACTTTGACCGAGATAGTTTATATCAAGATTTTAATTTACAATTTTCAACTTAGTCTCATTCAAGAATACTATAAATGGGTTTCAGCTTGGTGAACCCTTTATAGCTAACCCTGTATAATATGTTGTTATGTTGGATATGGAGTTCAGGGCTAGTAAATTTAAAAAACAAAAACATGTACAGCTAAACATTGTGGTTGATCGCAATACAGCACTATTAACAAGATTGACTATTATGATCTTGTTAGTGTTAGTTAGTATTGTTAGTGATAATATTACTAATATTATAAACAAGAAAATGAGTATGAATAAACAATACATAAAACTAATAGAAAAGTAATTGTTATATTAGTTTTATGTATTGTGAAATTTATAATGTTCAAACACTGTAGATTTGTACTTCTAAAGTAACCTTTTTTCTGTTTGCCACATTCTGTTTTATTTTCTTTTGATAAGTCACTGAAAACCTGTTATTGGCTCTCTCTAGATAGGTACTGTTGATTTAATATATTATATTATAAGTTGTTGGTTTTCTAATAAAGAAATAAATAAATGAATGGATGTTCGGTTACTCATTCATGCAAACACTAATTAACGGATTTTGATGAAACTTCATAGTAATATAGCTTACATCAGAATTACACATAGGCTACAATTTAATAAGATACTATGAAATTTGGCGAAATGTAATGATGTCAAGTAAGCGCAGACAATGTTGTACGGGACCGCTAGTGTATCATAAATATTCATAGAACTTCCTAATGCTAAAAAAGTTCATAGAACTTCTTAATGCAAGTCTTCTAGATTCTAGGTCTTTTACAAGTAGTTGATTGCCTAATAATTATATTTTGATTTCTGAAGTGACCCTACCCTACCACTCATATCCCTAACGTGTTCAGGCAGCTCGCAACATATCCCAAACTTTCTCTATTTACGTGTGTATAATATCTATCTTTAAGTTAGTGGGATAAACTACAGCTATTTATTTACTATATGCATTGCGATGGCATATCAGACAGCGGATTTCTACTAGATTGTTGATTCTAACAATGTATATAATTCTTTCATACAGGAATTACTTTTATCGATTCCTAATGAGTTCGTCACTTGGGGTCAAATTCTTTCCTCAATATTATTTTCTTTAATTCCACTACCATTAGCATGTACGAAACCAAAAACATTCAGTGCAGAAACCTGTCGACTCTGCTGGAAGCGTTATGACCTCCATTAGTGTTAAAATTCCAACCGTTATTGAATCTACACCCATATTTCAACACGTGTAAGTAATTTAAAGATTCTGAATACTGTAGTAGATAGATGTTTATTTTGAGTTCTTTATATAGTTTTTTGTTTGTACAATGAATTTCGTCACGGAAATATATACGTACTTACTACAAACTCATTTCTATAATAAAGAAACTTGAAAATGTACCAAAAAAGATTACTCTTATATAATATAGGTACAAGTGAAGAAAATATCGAAATAAAACACCACTGAGGTACTTAACTAGCGAGGTAATGTATATTAATATAGATACGTGCCTACGTGCCGGTCTGTTTATTACCCAATGTCCATGTGGTTAATTTATATGCGGTCCAATTGGGAGCGAGAGGTTGGCCTGTCTAGAACTGCAGTGGATTCTAAGAACATCTATCAAAAGCTGAATTGACAGGACACAAGATTTGTCTGGACAAGGAGAGAAACACGATGAAAGTAAGTGTTGACGTATGTAGGCAAAGGGATCACTTAAACCTACACCCGGGTCACAAGTTCCGGGAACTGCTCAGAGTTTCCCTCTCTGCCACTTAAGGGACTGGTAAATCCATGGGATGTTAAGAAGTTCGTTTCACTACAAAACACTAGATCGGATCTTAATGCAATTTAACGTGAATATAGATTCTATGACATGTACAAACATAGACTTTCTGTTACCTCAAAAAACAGACGAAGTCAAGGGAAATAACTAGAGATTAGCTAGTAAACTAAAACCTACACATATAACACCCTTGTTCCGTAGTACAATGATAATGAGTTGTTAGGATGATGATGCTAATGACAATTGTGGCCATTTTGTATTGCTGCCAGTCACACACAATGACACAAAATAACAATTTCAAATTAAATTAAATTATATGCATTTAGCTAAAGATATATATACTTGGGTATTGTTTTAATTATTTTTGTGTAATTGTGTGTGTTATTAATTTATTAATAACTTCCTTACAAACAAATGATATGTTTCACTGAGTTTTGGCATATCTTATGTGAACCGGTTTCATGACAATGGTAAGGAACTTCCCTAACAACCTTATATGACATCAGTGAAAAACCTACATCAAGAGTATTATTTATTACAATTAATATAAACAAATTACTGCTTGACTTACACCTAATGGAATTCCATCACACCTTTGTTCATGAGATTAGCTATTTACGCATTGGTCCCCAATCACAATGTGGAGAGCATATAGTAATGGTTCTTACCGTCCCATAGGGGCGTACTGTTGTGTACCATAGGGATCCCGGTCGTAGCCGCTACCGTGCCTGGAAAACAAACATGAACTTTTTATTTATTTCATTCAGGCTACTAATGGCCCATATTATAAATACTTTACAGACTAAAATCCATATGAATGATATTAAAATTTATTAATTTCTATTGATAATCTGTACATATAAATAAAATTGGAGTCTCTGTAATATTGAAATAACCGTTTTTTACTACATGCATATGTATATAAAAACGGGACATATACCAAAATAACATTTTTTACATTTTTTGTCTGTCTGTCTGTCTGTTTGTTCCAGCTAATCTCTGAAATAGATCGATTTTGACGGGACTTTTATTGGCAGGTAGCTGATGTAATGAGGAGTAACTTAGGCTACTTTTAATTTAGACAAAAAAAAGTTAAGTTCCACGCGGACGTCGCGAGTATAGCTAGTAATAACTATATATTGTCCATGTGATTACGGCACTGATGACCACAATCTGCCACGGTAGCGCCGATACACCACACCCTTTGGCCAGTAGTCATTCTTCATGAAGGTGGGCAGCATGTTGGTGGGGACTCGGACAATTATGTCACTTGGATGCACTACTGATACTGGTACTATGTAGGTTTCATAAATGAAACCGTATTTTTATTTTATTGTTGAAACCGGATATTAGAATGCAGAAAGTAGCAACAGATAGATGAAAACAGTATTATACCATTTACAGAATGTGTAAAAGAAGTAATTGTGATTGAGCAGTTCTAGGAATGATTCATTAGACTTAGATACACATTGAAATTACAAGTAAAGATAAATAAAATAAAGATAAACTCCTAAGTAGTTTAATCATAAATTAATATTGTTTACTAGCTGTTCCCGCGACATCGTCCGCGTAGTTTTTAACTTTATTTTTCTAAAATAAAATTAGTCTAAGTTACTCCTTATTACATCAACTACCTGTCAAAAAAGTCCCGTCAAAATCGGTCCAGCCATTTCAGAGTTTACCAGACCAGAGAGTTTAGATTAGCCGGAACAAATAGATAGACAGACAGACAGACAAAAATTATAAAAAATCTTATTTTGGTATATGTACCGTATATTTATTCATATGCATGTAGTAAAAACGGCTATTTCAATATTACAAACAGACACTTCAATTTTATTTATATGTATAGATGTATAGTGTTATTAAACATCTACAATACAAACAGACATACTGAATACTAATGTTCGTACCATGCGAGGAATTGAACCCGCAACCATAGGAAATAATGCAGTGTGTTAGACCACTAAACACCATGGAATGAGGCAGTGTGTTAAACTACCAAGGATGTGGAATGGCAAACAAGTTGATGGTTCACCTGAATGTTATAACTGCTGCATATATCTATGTTCATTTTCATTTCATAAATGTCAATGTTCATGTCATTGACATTACAACACCATTGACCCATAGTATGCCTCATGCTTTGCCATTAAAGGACAAAGATGTCAGGGCTCCATACCCAATATATCCTATAGATATTTATCTATATAAAAACTGGAATTATTGTATTTATTCATACTATTCCAGGATATTGAATTAACATATATTTTTTGACAATTCATAAATGTAAATATAAGGAGAGCTTGTGTTATGGGTACTAGACAACTGATATAAATATTTAGAATTTTTCTGTAAATACATACATAATATACATAGAAAACATCCAAGGGAACACAAACAATCACACACAACTTTTTCTAGTGATATATGCCGGCAGGCCATCAGTGGGGTGACAGTATCAGTATGTAGTCAGTCAAATTATCCCATGGTACTGAATTTACAAGAAATTCATTATACATATAAATAAAATTGCAGTGTCTGTTTGTAACTTTTAAAAAACCGATTTTTACTACATGCTTATGAATATAAATATGGCACATACACCAAAATAACATTTTTTACAATCTTTGTCTGTATGCCTGTCTGTTAGATCCTAATTTCTGAAATGGCTTGACCAATTTTGTAATAAGGAGTAACTTAGGCTACTTTTATTTTAGAAAAATTCAACATGGATGAAGTCGCAAGTATGGCTAGTATAAAATAAAATGTAGAGGTCAACCAGACAAGGTGAATGGCCATGGAATGGCAAACAAGCTGATAGCCTAAATGATGGTAAGACACCCGGAATAACACTCATGCACTGCGTCTCTAGGGAAATAAGATATCACATCTACTATCTTGTAATATTATTTGATAATGTCAATTATGATTAAATTTATGCTCGAATGAAATGATCAAATATTAAAATATGACTTACATGGGTGATCGTCTGCTAAACATATCGCCATTACCCATGGGTGCTGCCCTTGGCGCTCCACGGTCATAGCTGGACACCATTGGTATTGGAGCACCTCGCATTGGCGCGCGTCTTTCTATTATATCCCGCTCATCTGGGTACATTGGAGCTCTACGATCATATCCATCCATTACTGGAATCTCCTCGACACCGTACCCGCGTCTCTCCTCAGGGTACATGGGGGCTGGCGCCGCGTAGGGGTCACGTGCGCGACCGTCCATCAACGCGAAACCACGTCTATCTTCTCCACCATAGCCGTTGTATCGGTCGTCGTAGCCGCCCGGTGCCCGCTCAGGTCCGCGTTCGTAGCCGCCTCCCATTCCGTTACGAGCGCCGCCGCCCATGCCCATTCCACCCATCGGTGGGCCGCGCATATCACCACCCCGCATATAGCCCATAGGCCTCGAGTCGCGCATGTACGGTGCATCGCGGGCGCCGCCGGCTCCTCCACGCATAGGTCCGCCACCTCGTCGGTCCATGCCGCCGCGCATACCACCACGCATTCCACCGCCGCGGCCACCGCCTCGCTGACCGCGCTCCTTTATACGTCCCCGTTCCACAGAAATAACGGCGCCGTTGAATGTGGTATTATTGAGACCGCGGATAGCTGCCGACGCTTGCTCCTCGGTCTGCATGTGCACAAATCCGCATCTGTTCATGATATCGCATTCTGTGACGACGCCGAAGCGTTCAAACAATTTGCGAAGATCCTCGGGTTTGGAGCCCTGAGGCAAGCTGCCGACGAAAACTTTCGTTTGCTGCAAAGTAATTTTAGTTATTTAAACACCTCCTTTGATTTCCAATATAAATATAGCTTTAAAAATACTCACCGGGACCATTGTGTATATTTTGAATCACTTAACACTATATTTATTGAATAATCACTTAAAAAGTTATTGCGCACGAAATGTTCAGGTGGTTTGCTACAAAATGGCGGGCAGGTTAGAAGAAAAATGAATGAATCAGAGACAGAACGACGCCGTTATGATGCCGGCCGTTCTAATCTGTGATTGGATATAGTCTAACGGTATGCGTCTTGATTTAATGGTTATTGGTCAAAATGTAATGACGCTTATAGTGAAACCAATGATCGCCGAGTATTGTCACTGGTGACAGCTATTTGACACTTAATAATTTAAACTGTTTAGAAACTATATAATAATAATTTCTGTTTTATTTTCTGTTATAATTAATTCGATTCATAAGCATATTTAGAAAATTACAATTTAATTTGTAATATTATTTACATATTGTGTAGCCAATAACCACAGTAAAACGGGAGTTAAGTTAAAAATATAATTTGCCTTGAACTCATATTTCTGAATCGACTGACTTCTAAATCGCGCTATTCAGCGAATTGGTGATTGGCTTAGTATATTGGCGGGAAAATCGAAAATGTTAAAGAGAATTAATATTGTGTATTTGTTCAAATAAAAGACAAAATACAATTTTATATACTATTTTATTTTTCCATAATCACAACATATAATAGGTAGGTAAATGCTTAATAAAATAGTTATGGCCACTTAATGTAAATATCACATAATTCTTCATATTATTATCGTAATAAATTAATATCATCTCAACGATTCCAAATAAAGAGTTGCATTATTGATTAACCTAATTATTTTAGATACTTCGTAATTAATCGAATGTTTAATATAGTCAGCTAAATTATATTTGTTGATAGTCCCACACTCTATTCCACAGTGGAATATATTTATAAGTTTAGACTGTATTTTTTCCGGATCATTGTGGTGGACGGCTTTCGGCGACATACGTTTCACTTTCTTAAAAAGATTATCTGCTGCGATGCTTAAATTTGATGAGATAATGTCGTTGGGTCTTTTGACTTCCGGATGCGCCATGCGACCCAGCATATACCCTGGAATACATTTAGGTATAGTAGTGAGGATATCTAACTAATCTACAGTAATATCTAAAGTATATGATATTAAATTTATATAATATATTAAAAAAAGAACAATTAATTAAATTGCAACTGATGAGACAATATATTTATATATTATACTTAAGTATTTATTTAATATTCTAGTTCTTATATACTTATAGATATTGCGTTTGCTTTTTTTGTTGGTATTGTCATATATCTATTTTCAGCACTCCACAAATTTTTTCAATCATTACAAAGGTTGACTCGAAGAAATCCCTCATTTGGGATAAGTCCGCCATTGCACAACTTATTTCTCAAGATCGTTGCACCCTATTATTTTAAATGTATTTACTGTACAATAAAATGTTACAAACAATTATCAAGTAAAAATATCACGTCTTGCCCGGCCGGCATTATTTCCGCGCTGAAATGCTTTGAGCCATGTGATCCGCAGTAGAACGGCACACTAATATTATGAAGACTGATAACAAAAATAATGTTATACGGGTCCAACCAGTTACTAATATTCATATAAAAAACAATATTAATGTCACAAAACGCACGTGTAAATGTCTGTATCACAGATAAAAAAATATCTATGATTTTACAGTATTACTAATTATAATTACTGTCACATAAAACACCATCAGTCTCACCTCCAAATATACAAATAACGCCGATAAAAAGCGCTATAGTCGCGAAGAGACGCTTGCTAACATGCGTCTGCGTCGTCCCAATCCTCCGCTCTATACCCATATTTAAAATATAAATTTATTACACTAGTCGGGTTGGATACGGCAATGATGGCGGTCAATAGCGATTTTGACTGCGTACCGTCGAATACTAAGTTATAAATAGAGTGTCACGTCTCTATTCGGTGAATGTCCAGCGCGGTTTGAAACGTACAGTTTAATATTGCTTGTTTTAAATCCATTTGCCGTAATATATGGTCGCTTGCCAAAATACAATATGAACTTTTTACTGCGAATCTCTAGTAATATTATAAAGAATGAATGGTTTTGTTATGAGGAAAGTGAACTCCGGAATTACAGTACCAATTTAAGAAATTCGTTCTCTATTTGAAGAGTAGGTCGATTATTCTAGAGTAAAATTTACAATTATGCAGCCGCAAAACCAAAAAACGTCACTGTGGATTAAGAGATGATAATGGAATGGTGTACTCGTCTACGCTAGCGGGGCACCAGTGGATGATGATGAGTTGATGACGATGACGGCAAATTCACCAGGAATTTAACATGTGTCCAGGAGGAACCGCGTGAAGGTCAACTTGACATAGTACTTTGCTAGCAATGGGCCTACTATCCTTGTTACAGGTGGAGGAAGTGACATCGACTTCCAAGAGGTCCTGGAAAGCATCATGATCAGTTCTAGTAAATTGGTCACGATGGGCAAACTGTTCTGACATGAAGTCATCCTATCATCCTTCACTGGTGTTCCGCCAGCGTATACCTAACAACAGAAATACGTCATAGGGTGGAGAGATGTTGTTAGGATTCGCAGATCAAAACATATATATAGATCTACTATTAGGACTACTTTTGAGTAGTAACCATGTTTTTTTGGATTCGCTATTGTAGAAGCGACAGATGAGTTACATAGGACTATCTTGATATATAAATATAATAGTTATAGGGTAAATATGGTAAGATATTCCATTATTATACTTACTAAATTATATTTAAATTTATTTTGGAGGAATTTAGAGATAATTATTAATAAAAACAAAAAAATATATAACAAATAATCATTTATTTAAAACGAATTTATTAAAAAGTACTGAAAATAATTATTCATATGCATTTATTAAAATATAATTATCCTATATTTACATTATACATTTTATAATACTTTACATCTGTCACATCTTGAATACTTTAATTATTTATCTAATCGACTTATTCATCAATATTAAAATTTAATATGACAAAGATTTCTAAGAAAATGTTTGCAAAACAGTTTGTACTATAATTATATATATTTTTTAAAGTAATCATTCAGAAATATGGAACTCTTTGTTTCTGAAAATTTACATTTAATCGTTGTTTTTTTTATATTTGCTATATAGACAAGCAAAGGTAAACCATACAGTTCTTCGGTGGATTTCGAATTCCTCTTATTTGGAGTGATATCTGTATTAACCGTCTTAATGGACTGATGATGATGATGATGATGATGACAACTTGAAATCGATAGTTGGATATCTGGATTATTATATTTGGACGCGTTTCAATACCAACTTCGATTATAATAGCGCGAATGTTTATCTTGGACGGTTACAGTTTATATTCTATATCTATGAGAAAATATTGACAAATCCGTCAACAGAATCTTTGGGATCTATCAGGAAAGATATTTTTTGAAATCAGGAAATGACTCAAACTTATATAATGGTAGAGAATCAGCGAGTACTATCAGGCCCTCAAATTACTATAATAGGAAATGTACATTATATATTTACAAAAAAAAATTAAAACTAAGGGGTTGTACAAATATTACGTAAGTACTATAGGGGGCAAGGGGTCTTTACTTTACTTATTTTGGATGCCATGGGAGGGGGGACTTTTTGACATGAATGACAACCCTCACATTGTCTTTGCTAAAAAAACAATACATTAATTGAAAAATGTTTACGTAAGCATGGGGGGAGGGGGTAAGAGCTTTGCTTACTTTTGCTGACAAGGGGGATGGGTAGGTAAATAATTGTAATCATCTGCTGACGTAATACTTGAACGGCCCCTATTGTGTTATACTAGTGTATATTATTTTGTAATGTGTACACATTACAAAATAATTTATTGCCCATTATTTATATACAAATCTTTGTTTAGAATTATTTGGATGGCGTTGTGTACTATGTTTAAGAATCTATACATAGTTTATTTCAATACTAAATATTATATTTGAAGTTAATCTAAATTGAAACTAAGTTTGCTTTTATACAACGTTACAAAAGCTATTTAATAATAACCCTTCTTCACAATTAATATGACCAGTATTGTTACAATATTACAATTAATAATTACATATAGGCTGACCCAGATGAAATTCAGCGTAAGCCACTTCCCAAATAAGTTTAAGCTTATTTCGGAAGTAACTTAGTAAACAATTTGAATGTAGTTTTGACAACAAGGCAATGTTGACTATGATAGTCTAGAAGTTAAAAAGCATGTTGTCACAAAGAAATTACTGAGTTTTTTTTTTAGAGATGATATTATATTATCAAATATATAAGAACATTAGATTAAATTATGAAGATGTGCTTTCAATATTATTATAAAGATTAACTATATAATATGATAAACAAAATATTACTAAACATGTAAAGTTGTATGTTTGTTTGAAAACAACACCATCCAAATTTTTTACCCGTTCTCAGCTTTCGTATTCCGAGTATATCGGTAAATAAGAATATATCTACTAAGGTTATTTGGATAGCGATATTCTATTTAAAAAAATTACATTGTGTAGATTCCATAGTGCAATATCTGATAATATAATAACACCCTTACAAGGTAAATGCGCGATTATCCAGTGGCCTTAAAACATTTGTTGTATAAGAAAAAAATATGTTTATACTACTTTGGCACTACATATTGAACAGCATTTTGAGGTCTTCAATGGTCAGTTTGGAGGCGTTGTTGTTCCGGGCCCCGGTCAGCATGTTGTCTGCTAACTCTAACTTCGCCTGTTGCAGTTTTTTAATCGTATGTTCCACTGTGTCCACACACATGAATCTGTGGACAAAACATTTTAAAACATTAGAATGGGCTAATTGATCTGACCTCATGTTCATCTTATCATCCTCCTGGTGCCTCGCCAACGTAAACAGTTAGCGCAGGCGGGTGCAGCATTCTATTATCATCCATAAGAAAAAACCTATCCCCTTCCCATCATTAAGATGAAGGTCAGCACGTTAAAGGCATTTTTTTTTTCAGCCCGAGCAAATACCTAAAGACGAGAATGTAGTGGTAGCGAAATATCGACAAGACTCTCAATCTATTAAAAAAACATTTTAAAACAAAATAATAGATTTACACATACTAGCGGTAGAAATTCGTCCATAATGGAAAATACAAAAAGATCTTTGAACCAGCAATAGCGATTAAATAAAGGATGTGTGTGTATCAAATACGTGGGAGTGTGTGTAATTTTTTTTATGATTTTATATATTTTTATGCATGCTGTTATTTATTAATCCAAATTATTATTATATACATTCATTTTATGTAAAAATTAAGCAATGCATGCTGTGTCTACATATAGTAGTACGTATTACTTAAATACTGTAAACCAGTGCTGTATAGGTGCAGGTTGAGGTTGTGTTTATATCAGCAACAGCTGGAGCAGCTCATATTGCCAAGATTGCATGTTATTTTTTATTTTGTGTATTATTTATAATTTGTTGTGTTATGTTGGCAAAATTTGAATTATCTACATATGAAATATTTATCACAGTTCCGTAATAATAAAGTTATTATCAGATCATTAAGTATTTATTTATATATAAGTATTTGTCTTTATATTTATGTGCACATATATATTTTTTTACATTTCTCATTTATATTTTTGCACCGCCAACAATCTTTCATGGTTGACTAGTAGATAACGCCGCTAGATGTTAAGTCCACAATATGTACACATTATTTTTGTGCTTAAAGTTATATAAATAAATAAATAATGATAGTGCTTGATCGAGGAGGGGCTTCGTTAAATAAAACCGCCTGGGTTGAATGCTACTCGAACTCTCTTTTTATTGCTAGAGATATATAATGAGCTTTTTTTTCGGACTACTCTAATGCTGTTGGCCGCAGCTGGCCTTTTTTTTTAGGGCGCGTGCAGATGGCATTCCAAACCCGCGGAATGACTTATGGAGGGGCTGAAGGCCAACTCCCGCCTGACGGATACGACTTTAAACAGAGAGCACCGCTTGGGGTTCGGACTGGACGTCGTAGTATCGATCCCCGTTTGAATTGGACGGGGGAGCGATCGGAGGGGCGACCGGGGGCATGTAATGAGCTGAAATTGCATAGTGTATTGCACTGTAAGCAGGCATATGTTGTTACCCGTACACTGTAAGACATTCAGTTTTGTCGATCTAATCAATAAAAAAACAATAATAGTTGGCAGTAGGTGACCGCTACCACCCACTTTCTATATATCCGTGACAATTGTTACAAACAAAAAATGTGAAAATCTGGTTTCGTGACGCATAGCTCAGTGATACGAAACGTAATAATTTCCGGAGGGGATACTCGATATTCGAGATTACTACGACGAGAATTGGAGATACGACTTCTTACTGTTGGTTTTTTTTTACAAAACACTGCAGTTAAAATATTACTTAGATTACTATGGCTCTAAAAACATTTGATTTTTAATATTTAATTTAATTTTAAGACGATTTTAATACGAAAATAAATAATTAAATATTATAAGACTTTTTTTCAAGTCTCACTTGCGATAATCCCACATAAATATGAAATATATAATCGCCAAAATAAACACGAATATTTAAGATTATTATATTCGTGTTTATTTTGGCGATTGAAAATGTTATACTATTTAAAATTAAATGAAATCTTTGTATTAATTCTAGCGTTTGAAAATTTTGTACTTTTTCTTAAGTTTCTTCTATCGGCAGTCTCTATAACTGGCAATTTTTTTGTTACACAACATAATTATGACGTTACTCCTTTACTATAACTCTAAAAACATTTGTTTTTTTTTTAAATATTTATAATGTACACTGACCTGCTACAATTTTATGATGACACATATAATAGCTGCGAAAGTAAGCTTGTTTTTGGTTGCCTTTTGGAGCGTAATGATATTTAAAAATATTCGTTATGAAAACAGAATTCATAATTTGTAAATTAGTGTTAGGGTTCACATCGATATTGTAGAAAAATCTGATATTTTAAAAATATTAAAAGAAGGTAGTTTCATTATTACACGGTATCGTTAAACTAGTTGCGTATAACTATGAGTGGGGGTTATATCTTTACTCTATAAAAGGGAGGGTTTTTGTAAGCCACGGCATTCGGTCTTTGAGCACAGGATGAGATATAGTTAAATAGTTAGATTAATGCTATATAGTTATTATTTTATTATAATACATACTTTTACTAGTACATAGAGTTGATATAAAAATATAGTAAAATATAGTAAAACAGTAACTTCATCTTAATCTTAAACAGTAACTAAAGCCATTCCGGTTTGTTAATGTAGACTAATCAACTCATAGCTAGAAATGTGTCATGCCAGGTTGACCTTCACGCGGTCCAAACAACCGTAATATGTTGCTGGTGAATTTGACATGTTGTGCAAACTTAACACGAGTTTTTATCATCCTCCACTGGTGCCTCCCCCCCGCGTAAACCGTTAGCGCAGGCAGATGCACCATTGTATTAATCCCATATCCATAATCCATAGCAATAATTTTTTTTTTTGGATTAAGATCTTTTACTATCACATTGCTCGCCATCGACAAGGAATTCATTGCTACTCGCGGAAACCTACGTGGTCTCGGACAGTGCGGTTTCAGAGGAGCTTCCTCCCGCGTACACTTATATTGGGGTATGAAACACCTGCCGAGGTTTTCTCGCAAGACTACAGCATGGCGTTTTTCAAGAAGGTTATATTAAGGTTTCTTAAGGGTCGGCAATTCGCACATTACACCTCTGGTATCTCAGGTGTCCATAGGCTATGATAACCGTTTACCATCAGATATACCGAAAACTTGTTGCCATCATGGCAGTATAAAAAAAAAGACGAAATAAATAAATTCATACTTGTATATGTGTACTGGCTTCTGTTGTCCCACTCTGTAGATTCTGTCCTGCGCTTGCTCTTCCAGCTGCGGGTTCCAGTGGGGGTCCAACAGCAGCAGGTGATTAGCGCCGCAAAGATTCAAACCCACACCACCAGCACATAGTGACAACAACATCACCTGCAAGTACAAATGTTATATTACAACGCGATTTAAACAACAACATAAAAACCTTCCAGGGGGAGGCGACTGTTGGTAAAGTGATCTCCGGACTCAATGCTATGATGTTCCCCTGCGATTTCACGCCCCCACCATCACCATTTCTGCACGTCCGGGCGCGGCGACTTCATACTCATCTTATCATTCTCCATTGGTGCTCCGCCAGCGCCCTCTGGGTTCACAGCCACGCGCCGCGCGCGCGCCCCCACTGACCCGCACGTCCGCGCGCGAGTTGAGCGCGACGAGCGCGGCGCGCGCGGCCATGCCATCTGCCGTCGCCCCCCGCGCCCCCCGCCCCCGCCCCCACTGACCCGCACGTCCGAGCGCGGCGAGTTGAGCGCGTCGACGAGCGCGGCGCGCGCGGCCCCGGCCACGCTGCCGCAGAGCGTGACGCTGCCCCCCCGCCCCCGTCGCCCCCCGCCCCCGCCCCCGCCCCCGCCCCCACTGACCCGCACGTCCGAGCGCGGCGAGTTGAGCGCGTCGACGAGCGCGGCGCGCGCGGCCACGGCCACGCTGCCGTTGAGAGTGATGCTGCCCCCCGCCCCCGCCCCCGCCCCCACTGACCCGCACGTCCGAGCGCGGCGAGTTGAGCGCGTCGACGAGCGCGGCGCGCGCGGCCACGGCCACGCTGCCGCTGAGCGTGACGCTGCCCCCCCGCCCCCGTCGCCCCCCGCCCCCCGCCCCCGCCCCCACTGACCCGCACGTCCGAGCGCGGCGAGTTGAGCGCGTCGACGAGCGCGGCGCGCGCGGCGACTGCGTAGCTGCGTCTGTGGGTGTCGCTTCCCCCCCGCCCCCGTCGCCCCCCGCCCCCACTGACCCGCACGTCCGAGCGCGGCGAGTTGAGCGCGTCGACGAGCGCGGCGCGCGCGGCCATGGCCACGCTGCCGTTGAGAGTGACGCTGCCCCCCGCCCCCGCCCCCGTCGCCCCCCGCCCCCGCCCCCACTAACCCGCACGTCCGAGCGCGGCGAGTTGAGCGCGTCGACGAGCGCGGCGCGCGCGGCCATGGCCACGCTGCCGTTGAGAGTGATGCTGCCCCCCGCCCCCGCCCCCGCCCCCACTGACCCGCACGTCCGAGCGCGGCGAGTTGAGCGCGTCGACGAGCGCGGCGCGCGCGGCCACGGCCACGCTGCCGCTGAGCGTGACGCTGCCCCCCCGCCCCCGTCGCCCCCCGCCCCCCGCCCCCGCCCCCACTGACCCGCACGTCCGAGCGCGGCGAGTTGAGCGCGTCGACGAGCGCGGCGCGCGCGGCGGCCATCGCGCTGCCCCCCGCCCCCGTCGCCCCCGCCCCCGCCCCCACTGACCCGCACGTCCGAGCGCGGCGAGTTGAGCGCGTCGACGAGCGCGGCGCGCGCGGCCATGGCCACGCTGCCGTTGAGAGTGACGCTGCCCCCCGCCCCCCCCCCCGTCGCCCCCCGCCCCCGCCCCCGCCCCCCCTCACCCGCACGTCCGAGCGCGGCGAGTTGAGCGCGTCGACGAGCGCGGCGCGCGCGGCCATGGCCACGCTGCGGAGAGTGATGCTGCGTCGACGTCCGAGCGCGGCGAGTTGAGCGCGGCGCGCGCGCGCGCGGCCACGGCCACGCTGCCGCTGAGCGTGACGCTGCCCCCCGCCCCCGCCGCCCCCCGCCCCCCGCCCCCGCCCCCACTGACCCGCACGTCCGAGCGCGGCGAGTTGAGCGCGTCGACGAGCGCGGCGCGCGCGGCCACGGCCACGCTGCCGCAGAGCGTGACGCTGCCCCCCCGCCCCCGTCGCCCCCCGCCCCCGCCCCCGCCCCCACTGACCCGCACGTCCGAGCGCGGCGAGTTGAGCGCGTCGACGAGCGCGGCGCGCGCGGCCACGGCCACGCTGCCGCAGAGCGTGACGCTGCCCCCCCGCCCCCGTCGCCCCCCGCCCCCGCCCCCGCCCCCACTGACCCGCACGTCCGAGCGCGGCGAGTTGAGCGCGTCGACGAGCGCGGCGCGCGCGGCCACGGCCACGCTGCCGCTGAGCGTGACGCTGCCCCACCGCCCCCGTCGCCCCCCGCCCCCGCCCCCGCCCCCACTAACCCGCACGTCCGAGCGCGGCGAGTTGAGCGCGTCGACGAGCGCGGCGCGCGCGGCCACGGCCACGCTGCCGCTGAGCGTGACGCTGCCCCCCCGCCCCCGCCGCCCCCCGCCCCCGCCGCCCCCGCCCCCACTGACCCGCACGTCCGAGCGCGGCGAGTTGAGCGCGTCGACGAGCGCGGCGCGCGCGGCCACGGCCACGCTGCCGCAGAGCGTGACGCTGCCCCCCCGCCCCCGTCGCCCCCCGCCCCCGCCCCCGCCCCCACTGCCCCGCACGTCCGAGCGCGGCGAGTTGAGCGCGTCGACGAGCGCGGCGCGCGCGGCCACGGCCACGCTGCCGCTGAGCGTGACGCTGCCCCCCCGCCCCCGCCCCCACTGACCCGCACGTCCGAGCGCGGCGAGTTGAGCGCGTCGACGAGCGCGGCGCGCGCGGCCACGGCCACGCTGCCGCTGAGCGTGACGCGGCCCCCCCCCCCCGTCGCCCCCCGCCCCCCGCCCCCGCCCCCACTGACCCGCACGTCCGAGCGCGGCGAGTTGAGCGCGTCGACGAGCGCGGCGCGCGCGGCCACGGCCACGCTGCCGCTGAGCGTGACGCTGCCCCCCCGCCCCCGTCGCCCCCCGCCCCCGCCCCCGCCCCCACTGACCCGCACGTCCGAGCGCGGCGAGTTGAGCGCGTCGACGAGCGCGGCGCGCGCGGCCACGGCCACGCTGCCGCTGAGCGTGACGCTGCCCCCCGCCCCCGTCGCCCCCCGCCCCCCGCCCCCGCCCCCACTGACCCGCACGTCCGAGCGCGGCGAGTTGAGCGCGTCGACGAGCGCGGCGCGCGCGGCCACGGCCACGCTGCCGCTGAGCGTGACGCTGCGCACGCGCACTCGCTGCAGCTCGCGCTCCACCAGGCGCAGCACGGACGTCCACTGCGACACCACCACCGCCTTTTCGCCTGCACAAATCAATAATAATCTTACTAATATTATTAACGTGGAAGATTTGAGGGATGGATGTTTGTTACTGTTTTATGCAAAAACTGCTGAATGGATATATACAAGGTGTAACGGAAAGGGTATATCAAGCCAAAGGGATCGGATACAGCTGGTTATTTGCCTATTCCTTTCTGCATATTTTTTGATCAAATGTGATACCTTAAACAATGTTAAATTATTATTATTTTCTGTAACTAATTTAATGTCACATCAAAAGAAACGTGTCCCAACACTAGCGGTCATTAACCTCCACTCACGCTCACGATTACTCTGTGTACGGATTATTTGCAAATTAATACCAGTAAGTAGATAAATAAATTTACTCATCTACTTTTTATAGGAAGCGTTCAAAGTGTCTACCTCGCTGCCGTAAGGCTGTACGCCATGGAGACTTACAGCAGCATACGAGTACATATTACGCTAGAGTTTCTAATACGAACAACGATGCACACCATCATTTCTTCTGATATCGTAACAACAACAATCAACATTACTCATATTTTCCACTATTCGCTTGTATTTCTATGTATCTCCACAGAAAAAAGTAATTACAGACATTATTTTAAAAAGAATTTTAACACAAAACAAAAACAACTTGACATAACGACGCTTTGAGACCAACTGATTTGAATTTCATATTGTGAATAATTGTGATTTGTTGACCATATCTGAGTGGGCGTGGCCAGAGTTTAGGAGTCCTGTGTATTAAATAATTTACGTCATAAAATAACTTATGATTTGTTTGTGACTTCTTTCTTTACATGTTAAAAAGCATAACTAAATTGGGATAAGAACATCAGATGATAATGACATGGGTAATAACATAACTAGAACATGTTTGCAGTAATTTATTGAAGAGTTTAGTATTAATTTTTCACCTTTAATTGGCTGTCTACTGCTGAATCAAATATTACTCCAAGGGTAGAACAGGATACCCTTGTAGTGGTAAGGAGTAAAGTTCTGTCCAGAGTAGTGTGTGTTATATTCCTTTATCATCTTTTAAATAAAACTCAGTAGTCGGCATAGGGAATAACAGTGTGACGAATATTATTAAAAAAAATACTATCTACCGGCCGGTAATTTAATGGAATTTTCCTGTCAATATTTCATTGGTGTGACTGCTACAGTGATAGATAACACATTGGAATTAAAATTTATATTCATACGGAACCCAAAATTAAATAAAAATGCCAATAGCAATGTGAAGAGGCGTTTTATTCCAGTAAATTTGTGTTATTATTAGGCATTATGATATCGATGACCGGACAGCTGATTGGGGCTCTAGTGATGTGTAAAATAACATAATTCTAAATTAGTTTTGGATGTAGTCATGGTAGTAAATGCATTTTAAGTGTAGTTATACTTCAAAAACCATCGGAGGTGGTTTGTAACCATGGGTAGGCCCCATGTTTTTCGTATTGATATACCCTTTCCGTTACACCCTGTATATCAGAATAGGCCATAAATGTCACGCGGGTGTACATAATCATAACTTACTAGCTGTGTTATATCCTGGATTATCATTATTGACTAATATTAATAACCCAGGACAACTCATACAGCGCTTTCTAATCTCAACTTAAGTAAAACTTATGTTATGGGTACTAGGCAACTGATGCAAATAGTTGTCTAGTAGCTAATTTTGAGTTTCTAGCCAGTTCTCAACTGAACTGGACGGTAGGGATCAACAAATTACCTTTATTAACGAAAACGTTTTTGTTTAAACAGTCCATAACACCCTGTATCTTCGACGAGAGACGCGTGAGATCGAACACGGGATTGTTGGGTGAGAGTACGGAGCGTATCGCTTCTGCAACACTCGTGCTTTCCTCAGGACCTTCCTTTTCCTCTTCTTCTTGCTCAGTCTTGCTGCCACTCTGTGAAATTAAATCCATACTATTTTTATACTTTCGCGTTGAGTACACATTATACAATCGCCTACCGATCACCACTATTATACACGAATTGTGCGGGAGGCCATAGAAATAAAGAAATACCCTAAGTTTATCCTGGAAAATGGTTTAAAGTTATCATCTGTGTGGAATATGACGAATAAATTCAAAGTTCTGTAGCATCGGTCAATAAGTGTACGGATACCATAAGTACCTACTGTGTGTCGCTATTTTCGTCGGACAATCTAATGGCGGTAGTTGAACAAACTGCCGACACCTATCAACATTGCGATTCGCTGTTACTCCAGTCACCTCGTGACAGTGCAACCTAGTCGAAAAGTCGAGAAGTGAATACCTTTATTTTTATTTTTTTATTTATTATTTTATTGCACTTATAAAATTGTACAATTTGGCCAATTTAATGCTATATGGCATTCTCTACCAGCTAGCCAATAGATAGGAACGGAGAGCCAATTATTTGTGTCAATAATGTTAAAAGATTATATATAGCTGACCTTAGACTTTGAGTCCTCCAGCGAGAGTTTGCTGAGCTCCGCGAGCAGGTCCTGACCGGCAGGGTCCTGCTGAATGTCTTCGGTGGATTCCTCGTCCAGCATGGCCGCGATGAGGCCGCAGTGACAGCACACCTGCCGCAGACGCAATAGCAGCACCAGAATCTCGTGGGACTTGACTGGTTTCGCGCCTGTTGGGAAGAAATAAAAACAAATTATATTTAAAAAATAATTTATTCATGTAGGACATTTTAGCCGCTTATGAACGTGAAATTATTCATTTATAATTTTTTTCCCTACTACTGAATGAATGATTGGCACAAATGTTGACGGCCCACCTGATGATATATGAATAAATCTAAAGGCATCACGTTATCAAGTGGCACCCGTCATGCGTTGCCATTCCAGACTAAGATGTCATATAATTTATCACTGTTTAATCTGACCCTACAACCAAAACACAACTTACAAAGCAAGCTGCTTAGCAGCTGAAATAGGTGAGACTGAAGTATCCAGACAGACAGTCTTCCTCTGCTAAAATAGACTCGGTATAAGCATTTTTTTATTCTAATGATCATGTGGAATATAGTGAATCTGTGGAAAAGATAAGAAATTTGCCTGTTGCTCTTTTAAATAAATGAACAATTTATATTTTAAAGATTTAGTGTGAATACAAAGCACCGATTGTCGAAAATGTATAAATGTAATATATATTGTTAATCTCGGTGGTTTTGGATCTAGCGGTTTAGAACATTTTCGTCGGTGTGGGTGTGTATAATATATATCTAAGGATTTGTATCTGTTTGCGGCATTTATAAACATATCAAGTGGTATGGTATTATACCCCTCCGATCGATCCCCCGTCCAATTCAAACGGGGATCGAAATTACGACGGCCTGAGCCGAGGTTCGAACCCCTAGTGGTGCCCTCAGACTAAAGTCGTATCCGTCGGGCAGGAGTTGGCCTTCAGCCGCTCCATAAGTCCTTCCGCGGGTTTGGAGTGCCATCTGTACTCGCCCCATAACGTCCGGTGAAGCTGTAAAGGCCAGCTACGGCCAATAGCATTAGAGTAGTCCGAAAAAAAAAATGGTATTATTCCCCATATCCTAATCCCTTTCCCGCACACAGCATGTCAACTGAGGTCGCCCGACGACCTCGTCTACTAACGTGAATGGTGACATCTCGTCCCAACCGCTCCGCTTTAAATTAATTAATATAATATATTGACCTTAAAAATAAGTAACTTTGTGTGCGTGCCTGTGTTAAACTTAGTATTCATCGAGTGCAGCAGCTGTGCAAGAATAAACCCGCTCTACAGTCGCAGGTATATACTGTGCGCCCCCTTTATTTCAATTCCATACAGTCCACTTACCTTATCCCGCTATCCCCCATTTTCCCAGTATCAGTTGTCTAGTATCCATAATACAAGCTCTGTTTAGCTTGGAACTATGTGAATTGCTGGCGCTGTGTGAATTATTATTATTAGTATATGCTAATAATATAAAGAATACAAATTAATGACGATTGTATAGTTAGATATTTGTTATTCTTTCATGCAAAATCTACCAGAGATTCGAATGAAATTTCATTTTAATTTCTGGTAGATTTTGCAAATATACTCGATTATATTCTAGACTAGCTGTGTCCGTGCGTTTAACCCGCATGAAATTTATAGTCCATTTGTTATTCTGATGAACAAGCTATATTATTGTAAAGTTTCATTCAGTAGTTTTAGCGTGAAAGAGTAACAAACACCCATCCATTCATCCACGCTAACAAACTACCGCGTTTTTAATCTAAGGATTAATTAAACCGTAGACTGCTTTTTAAAAGCTTACCTTGCAGTGCTATCATTTTCTTGTGCATCTTCGCGTATTCAGAATCATTTTCGGGCGGCAAAAATCCATGTGCATCAGCATTTTTCTCGGCGCGCTGATGCAGAAACTGTGCGAACAGTGTCTTGGAGAACACCAGTACCTGCAAGATTTGTCGTTGTTATTTTTAACTATAAAAGCCATTGATCGTAATGTTAATTTTGTTTTATAAAAGCCTCCAAATAAATAACCATAAGTTAATATAATTGCTATTATTTTATTATTATGTGTACACTGTGGGAATGTTTTGTAGCGTTCATATATAATTATTAGGACATCGTAGGCTCATGTGACTGGGGTCCGCTAGCTACGCTGGGAGGGATGAGGGGGCGAGAATAGCACCGAACCGGCCTCACTTTACATCTCGTCACCGACAACGACTGGCGTGCCTATCTATTATATTTTTGTTCTTTGTAATATAATATTTAAATTGACCTACAGCTTATGATCCTTCGAGCCGGATAATGATGAAAAATTTGCACACCTATTTGCAAGATAAATACACACAGTTACTATATTTAACATTTTTAAAACCTATAATCACTGTATTCTATAAATAAATAATTTAGTTTGTTTTAATGACCCCATAGTTGTCACAAGTATGTTGTTACATTTTGGTATAGCTACCTTGAAGAGATTGCTTTTTAGCGATAAGGACGCCCATTGTTGATTTTTGTTTTGTTGATTATGTTTATACATATATGTACATTTTTATATAACAGTATATGCAAATGTTTTTTTTTTCGTGAGAGGAATAATAAAGAGTTTCCATTTCATTACGGCTCACCTTCTGGTAGACGTTCATCTCGGGCTGCGTGAGTGTGACCAGACACTCATGTGCGGTCCTCGTTGGGAGGCAGTTGAGCTGTCCCCGCTGCTGGAGCTGCTGTTTTGTCCTCCGCAGCAGGATGCACCTCATCACAGTGTTTAGGCGCTCTTGCCCGCCCTGACTCTTGTTGTCTATCCACTTTTTCCACATCTAAAGTTTATATCAGAATGTTTTTAACTAAGTTAGTAATTTTTTTAACTAACAATGTGTAATACGTAGATAAAAATATATAAATGTGCCGTTAAGACTGTTATTGGGGATGGGGTTATACCTGACGCAGCACAATATAATTACAGAGAGACGTTGTCATTTCATTTCATTATATACATAATTAAAATTCCACTTCTCCCAAAGAAAAAGAAAAGTCAAAAGACATTTATATTTATAATAATATAATAACAATAATTTGTACCGTGCGAGGAATCTAACCCGCGACGACATTGTAAAGCGGTGTATAAATTTCGAGGGCATCAAAGAATATTGGTTTAGGACGAGGCGGGCACTGACCGTGAGGTCGTCGAAGGGCGTGCAGCGCAGGAACTTGAGGAGCGCGTAGAGGTCGAGGTCCCGGTTGTGTATGGGCGTGCCCGTGAGGCACCAGCGGCGAGCGGCGCGGAGGCCGCACACGGCCATGGAGGTGGCCGCCTTATGGTTCCGCACGATATGCGCCTCGTCCAGGATCACCCGCCGCCATGAAACTTTCATTAGCACGCCTTTCTGTACCAAAAAAGAAAATTAATCCATTTCTGTTAGAGCATCAGGCTTATAACCTGTTAAACGAATGTCGGTGATAGTACAACTCGAGGAATTTCGAGTTCAAAGCTTACGATTTTTCTAATTTTCCATATTATCTTACTTGAACAATCGTTACCTACCTTTTTGTTAAATATCATTTCAATATACTTATTCATCGTTATTCGTCTCATGCTAATGCCAATAATAAAGTACTTATTTCAATTATAAGGAGAATATTACATTTATTGATTAGCAAATCGTAGTTTCCTTCACATTTCTTTTTATATTCTGTATCTACTGTTTGGAAAAACGTATTTATAATGTTGGCGTACTGGAAACCTTCCTACCTTCTCGTGGTCGCGCTGCAGGATGTTGTAGGTGGTGAGCACGAGGTCGTGGGCGGCCAGCCGGTGCGGCATAGTGGCGCGGGCCGCGCCGTGGTGCTGGCAGAGGTGCAGGCTGTGCGCGGCGCAGTGCTTGGCCACCTCGGCCGCCCACTGCTGCAGCAGAGACGCCGGACACACCACCAGCGTGCCGCCCGCGCACACTGAACACCGTTCACATTACTCGTATATTCACACGGGATTGTTACTGATGGGATTTTTTTATTGATGATAATGGAATGGTATACCTGCCTGCGCTAACGATTTACGCTGGCGAGGCACCAGTGAAAGATGATAAGATGAGCAGGAGGTCAGGTCTGTTAGTCCATCATGACAAATTCACCAGGAATTTGTAATGATGGTTTCCAGGGGGAACCGTGTAAAGGTCAACTTGACATGGGACATTGCTAGCAATGAGGTCATCAGTCCATATCATCCTCCACTGGTGCCCCGCCAGCTTAAACCGTTAGTGCAAAAAGACGAAACATTCCATCAGCATCCATTAAAAAAAAATAGTATAGGTATACATGAGAATAACACATCGACTATAATTTACACGCAAGTGAATCCGCGAGCAGAGCTAGTAACTACTACTATTATAAATTTAAAATACTAAGAATTAAATCACTACCACACAGAGTACATACTTTTGGTTGTGCCTTTCTCGCCGTATTCTTCGTTATCGTCATAGTCGTTGTCGATGCTGTCCTCCTTGTCGCTTAATATCAGTGATATCATTGTGATCGTCTTGCCCAGACCCATGTCGTCAGCTGAAAAGAGTTTCAATATTAAGTATCAAGAGTGTCAATTGATTCTGTGATCTAGTACTTTAGCACAAGGCTTTAATTCTGATAGTCTCGGCTTGGATTTTTCGCACAGTACAGACATTTGTATTCATGAGTATGATTGTTTGTATTGGTCAAGTTCATCACAACAATGATAACGAGGTGAGTCACCGAGGATGCCGCCGCAGGGGCGCTGGGTCTCCCTCCACCGCATCCAGGCCAGCGCGTGCAGCTGGTGCGGCAGCAGACATCATAACAATGATAACGAGATAAGTCACCGAGGATGCCGCCGCAGGGGCGCTGGGTCTCCCTCCACCGCATCTAGGCCAGCGCGTGCAGCTGGTGCGGCAGCAGACATCATAACAATGATAACGAGATAAGTCACCGAGGATGCCGCCGCAGGGGCGCTGGGTCTCCCTCCACCGCATCTAGGCCAGCGCGTGCAGCTGGTGCGGCAGCAGACATCATAACAATGATAACGAGATAAGTCACCGAGGATGCCGCCGCAGGGGCGCTGGGTCTCCCTCCACCGCAGCCAGGCCAGCGCGTGGAGCTGGTGCGGCAGCAGACATCATAACAATGATAACGAGGTGAGTCACCGAGGATGCCGCCGCAGGGGCGCTGGGTCTCCCTCCACCGCAGCCAGGCCAGCGCGTGGAGCTGGTGCGGCAGCAGGGAGCTGCGGACGGCGGCGGGGGCGGCGGCGGCCTGGGACTCCGGCGGCTGCGTCGCCAGCGACGAGTGCAGGTGTCGCAGACTCTCCAGGATCAGGTTGCGCTCCGCCAAGTGCGTCGCCATAGCTGATAACATGCAACCACTTGTTGGATTTTAATACTGCCAGAGAATATAACACACTTCCAGGTTTAGTGCTCCCGGAATACAATCGCGGATTCTCAAAGTCTATGGTGAATAGATTTCTGATGGGTGAGCAGCGCGCAACATCCTAATCCATGCCCAAACACATTTATAATAATAAAAAATAAATGCATTTACAATTAGCATGTGTGAAACCACAGATATTCAACTCAGTGTGGAAACTTGACTACCACTACGACCTTCTCTATTGGTGATAAAATTTTGAGGTCTTCAAAACCGAATGTTGAAATATTTACATGTCAGTTTAACTTAAAATTCGTAACTCAAATATAAAAATGTATAATATATTCATATTTCGCACACTAGCACTATAATCTTACTAATATTATAAACACGAAAGTTTGTAAATATGGATGCATGTTTGTTTGTTACTTTTTTACGCAAAAACCACTAAACGGATTTTGATGAAACTTTACAGTAGTATAACTTATACATCAGAATAAAATATAGAATAAAACATATCTGAAACGATATTATGTAAATTGGGCGAAATATCATGAGAAATCTCAAGTAAGTGAGATGCAGATGATGTCAAATAAAATAAGTATACAATACCAACTCACCTTGTTTCCCAAACAGCCTTGGTTGAACAGCGTTGCTAGCTTTCTGTATGTCATCCCAAGAGAGTCCTTGCTCCAATTTCGCTTCGAAACCGTCTTTAGCAATATCTGCAGCAGTTGGTGAATCTGTCGAGTTAACATTCACTTTATTGAATTGAATAGAATAGAAATAATTCTTATTCAAATTAATTTAATATTTACACTTTGGAATAGTCAGTTATTTATTCTACCACATAGTCAGAAAGCAGATTCAGCACAAGAAGAAAGAGAAAAAGATATTTTTGCAACTAAAGTGTTGCTCTTTTAAAAGAATCAGCAACATTCGTTTAAAAGCTTCACTTCACATTTTTAAGATACCGTAAGAATAGAAAGTACCAAATGGTGCCAATTTATAAGAAAATATTGAATTAATAATATAACAATAATAATAAAGAACTCAGAACGATACACACAACGCCATCTAGTCCCAAGGTAAGCAGAGCTTGTGTTATAGTCACTAGTCAACAGTGGGCTAACTCATGTAACTTCGATCGTAACGATTTTCGTATGTAATGTAGTGAAAATGACGTTATCTGTCAGTAATGCGATTCTAGCTATTGACGATTTCACGATATCTTATCATATGATAAAAATTATTTCTATCGAATGTCGATTCAGTAACCACGTTGCAATGTCACATATACGCTATTTTGCCGAAATGACAGCTTGGCATTGAAACGGTTTTTAGAGTAAGAGAAACAATTCGGAAAGTGTTTCTTTTGATTAAAATCATTAAAATATCAGCATTCTTTATCTTGTTTTGTATTAAAATTTTCAGTATTACATATTTATTTTTATTTGATTAAATATTACGTAGAAAAATTGATTACTGATTGTCACAACCCACGGTACCACGAAAATAAATTAATTTACATTACTTTGTTTAATTCCACCACAATTAAATTCCAACAGAAGTAACGCGGTGCGCTAACCGCTGGACCACCGAGGCCATCAATAATAATAATAATAATTAAGTACTGTAAAAATACAGTACTTAATTATTAGTATTTTTATTTATTCATGAACAACGTAGATTGTGTTTGAATGTTTATATTAAGTACTAGTTGTACCCGCGACTTCGTCCGCGTGGAATTTAACTTTATTTTTCTAAAATAAAAAAGATTTTTTTAAAATAAAAGTAGCCTAAGTTACCACTTATTACATCAGCTAAATGGGTCCAACGATTTCAGAGATTAGCCGGAACAAACAGACAGATAGACAGACGAAATTGTAAAAAAAAGGTTATTTTGATATTTTGTATGTATCGTATTTATATTCACATCGCCATATAGACACTCCAATTTTATTTATATGTGTTTTCCCGGTACAGTATAAGTTTTCAAATTATCATAAAAAAATTGCATTCATAATAAAAAAAAAACAAAAATCGTCAAATGAGTACATGCATTTCTCTAATAGCAGCGACTAAAATTTTTTTTGATATAACAACTTAATTTAAGTACCAGGTTCGACGACCATATTGGCAACCTTGTCACCCTGGCGGCGCACCTCTGCCTCCAGCCCGGTGAGGCGCTGGATCAGTTTCACGCCGCCATCCGGCAGAGTGTTCACGTCCATGTTCTCCAGGAGATACTGCCAATTTAATAATAACATTTCAAATAGAAATAAAAACAATCTTTATTCAAATAAACTCAATAAATGTCACAACTAACAAATACTTGAACGCTGCCCTTACACGACTAGTTTTTTACTACATATACATTTTGTAAATACATATATAAAATTAATAGAAAACACCCAGACCAATACAAACAATCATAGTCATGAATGTATTTGTATCGTGCGAGGAATCGAACCCGCGCACCATCGGAATTATGGCGGTGTGCTAATCCGCTAGACCATCGAAGTTGACAATTATTTATAATATATAAAGCTGCATTACGGTGACTCACTCACTGATTGACATAGTTGTTCTCCCAGAAGGAGCGTCCGGGGGTCAAATAAGAGACGATGTATGGGGGAAATGTTCCTTTGGCTAGGGTGACCACGAGAAAATTCCGAAATTTGGGAAAATCCAAGATGGCGGACAAAGATGGCGGCTAACTTTTACAGTTTCGCTCGGATCGATTCCGTTCAAAGAGTGATTTGGCACGTCTCGGCGGGACCCAGAATATGGCGTAAAAACAAAAAATTAAAATCCAAGATGGCGGCGAAAAAATTGCCAAAAACTGGTTGAAAATTTTCTACGGTTTCAAAAACCGAAATTCCCAGGGTAGTTGCGGGGGTGCTGGCGACACCCGTTGTAGGGCATAGGAAACTCGAAGGACCCGACCTCTAGGGAAAATTATGAAATTTCGAAAATCCAAGATGGCCGACGAGTTGGGGGCGTGTGAATTTGGTCCTAAAAATCCGGATTATTTTCAAAATCATTTTTTAGGTACAGGGCAACCCCGCAGCGAGTCGGCTTCTATGGGGCGATGATGGGTCTCGGTAAGAAGTATTGCCAGCGCTAAAAAGAATTCCCGAATTTGGGGTAATTTGGGAGAAATGGTCCAAAAAGTGGGAAAAATTTTTTTCGACATTTTTGACAAAAGAGGCATCAAGGCCTATCGAGAAACATCCCCTAAAGGGTTTTAGGTGGGTTTTGTTGGAATTTGCTGGCAACACCCATACATGGTTTGACCAAAATAGAAATTGGGGTGTCTCTCCAAAAACTGAAATTCCTAGGGTACTTGCGGGGATACTACCGATCCCTATTGTAGGCCATTGGGAGGCTGAAAGACCCGGCCTCTAGGGAAAATTATGAAATTTCAGAAATCCAAGATGGCGGCCAAGCTATGGGAGATTTAGTTTTTGGAAAAATTTTGGGATATTTTCAATCGCGTTTTTGCTGCACATGGCAACCCCGTAGCTAAACGCCACCTACTGACATGGGTAAGTCTCAGTAAGAAGATTTGCCAGGGCTAAAAATTTTCCCCGATTTTGGGTTAAATTTGGAGAAAAGTCCCATAAAGTGGGAAAAATTTTTTTCGACATTTTAAATGAAAAAGTCTTGTTGGTCTACCAAAAATCGTCCCCTGAAGGGTTTTAGGGGAATTTTGTCAGAATTTGCTGGCAACACCCATACATCATGGGACAAATTTTGAAATTGAGGTCTAGCTTCAAAAACTGAAATTGATAGGGTACCTACGAGTGTGCTAGCTCAACGCACTGTGCGGCGTCGGATAGCCGAAGGACCCGGCCTCTAGGGAAAATTATGAAATTTTAGAAATCCAAGATGGCGGCACAGATAGGGGAGTTTTGCTTTTCGGAGAAAAATTGGGATATTTTTAAATGTACTTTTAGGACATTTGGCAACCCCACAGCCAGTCCACTTCTATGGAGAGATGATGTGTCTCAACACAAAGTATTACCTGGTATAAAAAATTTCCCCGATTTTGGGGTAATTTTTGAGATAAGTCCTAAAAAGTGGGAAAAATTTTTTTGGATATTTCAAACAAAAGAATGATGAAAATCTGTCAAAAACAATACCCCTATTGATTTTAGGTGGTTTTTGTCAGAATTATCTGGCAACACCTTACATCAGTATTCTTAGAGAATAGTACTAGAAGGAGTCACCGAGGCTCTATACAATGTATGAACGAAATGTTTCTGCCACTAAGGTGAATACGTCAAAAGTATTAAAAAGTAAAAATCTAAGATGGCGGCCGAGTTAGGGTACTTAATTTATGTTGACAATTTTAGGGACTTTTTAAAATTCAATTTTTGGGGTACAATTAATCCCTGCAGCGAGTTGACTTCTATAGAGCAATAGAAACTCTCGAAAATGATAAATTTACCTGGCTTCCCTGCAGCGAGTCGACCTTTATTGTGCCGTGGTAGATTTCGGTTCGTAATATTACCTAGGTTACAAATATTCCCCGTTTTTTGGGTAATTTTGCAAACCCAAAATGTGGGATTTTTTTTTCGACAAACTATATATAAGAGCAACGGAGATCTATAATAAATATCATATTAATAGTTATATGCGATTTTTTGTAAAATTAGGTGGCAACACCATGCATCGATTTTCGTAAAAAGTAATATTTACTAAGAACCCACTAGAAGGACCGTGTCTCTGTACAATATATGGACGAAAAAGGAAAAATGGTATGAAAATTTTCCCCGATTTTGGGGTAATTTAGAAGACAAGTCCAAAATGTGGGATTTTTTTTTCGATATTTCAAACAAAATAATGATGGATATCTGTCAAAAATCATCCCTTTATTGGTTTTTCGTGGTTTTTGTCAGAATTATTTGGCAACATCTTAGATCAGTTTTCTTAGGGAATAGTACAAGAAGAAGTCACCGAGACTCTACATAATGTATGGACGAAATGTTTCTGTTATTAGGGTGAATACGTCAAAAGTATTAAGAAGTAAAAATCCATGGCCGCCGAGTTAAGGTACTTTTTTAAATTCAGTTTTCAGGTACCCATCGTCACAGCAGCAGTCGGTACGAAGCACTACCTGGTCTAAAAATTTTCCCCGATTTTAGGGTAATATCGGAGAGAAGTAAAAAAACGTGGGATTTTTTGTTTCATCATTTTAGACCAAACATTGATGACGATCTGTCAAAAATAATCCCCAAGGGGTCTTAGGCGGTTTTTGTCAAAATGAGCTGGCAACACCATACATCGATTTCCATTGTAAACAGTACTTAGGAACAACTAGAAGGAGTTACCTTGGCTCTGTACAATGTATGGACGAAATGTTTCTCACCAAGGTGTATATGTTAAAACTATTTAAAAAGGAATCATTCAAGATGGCGGCCGAGTTAGGGTACTTTATTCCCGATGACAAGTTTAGGGACGTTTTAAATCTCATTTTTGGGGTACTATTTTATTCCTTACAGCATGTTGACTTCTATGGAGCAAAGATAAGAAGAATTATATAGGCTACAAATTTTCCCCGATTTTCGGGTAATTTAGCAAACCCAAAATGTGGGAAATTTTTTTCGACATTTTTTTTTTAAATAAAAGTGATGGGTATCTATTATAAATCTCATCTTAATAGTTTTATGCAATTTTTTGTAAAATTAGGGGGCAACACCAGGCATAGATTTTCGTAGAAAGTAATATTTACTAAGGACCCACTAAAAGGACCATGTCTCTGTACAATATGTGGACGAAATATATCTGTCGTAATGTAATATATATGTCAGAAGTATCAAAATGGAAAAATCCAAGATGGCCGCCGAGGTTAAATTGAACAAAATTTGGAAGATTTTTTTATTTTGGTACATAGTAACCATGCAGCGAGTCCGCTTTTATGGGATGGCATTGAATCTCAGTATTGCCAGCGCTAAAAACTTTCCCCGATTTTAATATTTATGATATTTTAATTAAAAGAGTGATGAGTGGTTATTATTTATCATAGGTCCTTTACCTACGATAAATAATAACCCTAAGGCTTTTATCAAAATTATTTGGAAAATATTATTATGAAAACCGATGTAAGTTGTTACATCGGTTATACTAAACTATTAGAAGGAGTTGACAATGTATGGACGAAATGTTTTTGCCACCCTGGTAGCTAAGCCAAAATAAAAAAAAATAAAAATTCAATACTGCGGCCGAAGACGTCAATTTTTCGCCTATACCTTAGTATAGGTGACCACAAATATCAAATTAGTTTTGGATTGTGACATAAAAACTCACACAAATATTGAACATTTTCGATGTCGAAATTATTTTCAGGAATGCTGTTCTGAATAATTTGTGTCTTTGGATTTTGTAATTTGAAGATTGCAAAATGTGTAAAATTTTCAGATTGTAAATAATGAGAATAAGTTTTGTCCATACATTTCTTTCATTGTATGATATCCACGGTTTATTACCAGCTAAGGAGACTATCTTGGAATTTATTCCTGCTTTGGTGACTATTCTAAAAAATTATATGTCCTTTACACTAGAAATTTTGGTCACAGATCTATTCTATAAGGTATAAAAGTTGGTTAGGTAAGGTTCAGTTATATGACCTCTACATTAGAAATAGCGACCCCATACTAATTAGTATATAGAAAGTAGGGTTCGATATGATTTTGTATTTCGTATTCGGTTAGGTAGTAATATAATGGCCAATTATAATAGAAATTATAGCCACAGATCAATACGGTATGCAGAAGTGAATTAGGTTAGATTTCGTATTCTGTTCTCTACATTATAAACTATGATCACAGACTAATATATTGTAAAGAAATGTAGGTTAGGTTTTGTACTGGGACTATTACAATACAAAGTGGCGCCATAAGTCAATACGGTATATAAACAGTGAGTTAGGTTTCGTTTTTTCACTCTTACAATAGGAATTGACATTTGTGGTATAGTTTCATATCAAAACATGTTTCTGCCAACCAAGATCGAAAAGAAAACATTCACCATAAAAAAATCAGCTAAAACGACCCACACGCAACCCAAATTATGGTCAAAGATATATAAGGTATACAGAGAGGTAGGTTAGGTTAGATTTTGTATTGCTACTCAGTAGTAATTATTGCTTCAGACTATTAGTATACTGAAAAGTAAGATGATTATCTATAGACAGGAGAATATGGAAATTGGCCACAAATCAATAAGGTACACAGAAACGTGGGTTAGGTTAGGTTTCGTATTATGATCTCTACATCAGAAACTGTGAACCGAAATTGATATAGTATACAGAAAGGTAGGTTAGGTTAGGTTTGGTATTGCGATTCTTTACAGTAGAAATTATGGCCTCAGAATAATATAGTAAACAAAGAGGTAGGTTAGGTTAGGTTTCGTATTATGATCTCTACATTAAAAACTTTGACCCCAGACTAATATAGTATACAGAAAGGTAGGTTAGGTTTGGTTTTGTATTGTGACCATTACAATACAAAGTTTCGCCACAGGTATATATGGTACACGTGAAACAGAAATTCACTGTTACAATAGGAAGTCACCTAATCGTATCAAAACAGACAACTCTAACAACGAAAAGAAAACCGTCTTCACAAAAAAAACAACGACAACGCCTCGCGGGCCTCTTGAGGCCCGCGCACACACGCACCCTCTAGTTTATAATATAAAAATAGAAATACTCTTTATTAAAATAAACCCAAAGCACTTTTGAATAGTCATAATTTTTTATTCAACCACTCATACGGAACGCAAACGCATCGCAAGAAGAACGAGTAAGAAACGCGAGTTGCTCTTCATTCCCGGATATAAACTTCCAGGCTTTTTACATTTTTTATTTTCTTTGATAATAAAAATATTTTTTACTTTGCATCCAACATTTACAATTTAAATTGTTCCCTGATACCTAAACTAAGTAGAAAATTGTATTTTAGGTATGAGTTCCCTCCCCTTACAATTTACAATTATTGGAATTACAAATTACAAACAGACAGGTGTTAACTTAAGCTTAACATCATCATATATCGTTTCATACCCTTATATTCTGTAGGTCCTCCTTCAATCCATTGAGTTTGCTGAGCTCGTTCTCTCGTATATGTTTCTTTACGTACACCACCTGGTTGGGATAACTTGGTGGGACCAAATACTGTTTTATACCATTGTCCTTAGTCTTGCTCTCTTGATTCACCGATTTTTTAGGCGATTTCTCTGCTTTTATGGACTTTTTAGGCGACTTCTCCGTCTTTACCTGAAATATTTATAATGTAGGAGTTATTTTATATACATAATATTATAGGCACTACGTGAAGCAAGAATCTGATCCCATTTTATGAAAATTGCGAGGATGAGTATGAAATTTCGCACACGTCATCTTTATATAGAGAAGGAATGCGGAAATGCTAATATTTTTGTTTTAATCATGGATATAAAACACATTAATTTAATAAATAAAATCAATAGAAATACATTAGGAGGAAGTCCCGCCGGACGGCACATAGTGCCGGACACTCCTATTATTTAAGAAAGTATACCCTGTTCGATTCAAAGTACAAGTGAAAGGGGCGCGGGGGGCACACCGCTACAGCATCACGAGCCGCTGCTCTCCAATGATGTACAAGGCCACAACAGGAACGATTTATCGGTGTTTTTGGCGAGAAATTACAGCGTCACCTAAATATCGATGTAAGTAATTCTGGTATATTTATGCATTTACATTTAAGTGGTATTCAAAAATAAAAGTAGTACTTGATTGTTATTCATAAACTGGTAGAATATTATCAGATTTTTCAAACAATTTTGGTAGGTACCACACAACGTACGAAATTGTCTGTCCCTTAGCACCGGACAGTAAACATATTCGATATTTCTTGTGAGAATTTACGTTATTTATTTTTCTTTTAGAGAATAGAAGAACAAAGAGAAAGGAAATTGAAGAGAAGAGAAAGAAAGGATCGTGGGAGCCACTGAGCTTACAAACTGCTATTGTTAAGGTTATGTCAAAAAAACTGAGTGTAAGACAAGCTGAAATGGGATACAATATTCCTGAAATTTAACACCTTTATTATATCTTGTAGAGTGCCTACATGATAAAATAATGGCGCTAAATCGAGGAGAAGAAACGATGAAACAAAAGTTGGGTAGGTTCACTACCACCTTCTCAGCAAAGTATGAACAAGTATTAGAATAGAATAGAATAGAAAATCATTTATTCAAATAAACTTACATTGAAGCACTTTTGTATAGTCATTACATTTTTTAATCTACCGCTCGTTCGGAATCACAATCACTCATCTCATCACAAGAAGAACGAACAAGAAACTTGCGTGTTGCTCTTTTAAATAATTTTATTATTACTTTACATTTTTAAGTTTAAGTGTGTGAATACAAACCACCAATTAGCACTAATTCAATTAAATACTCAAATAGAAAAATTATTGACTATATACTGGTTAAACAATTAATAAGAGGAAATCAGTCATAGTGATTAGAGCAGACCAGTCCCTACACGCAGCCCCCGTTCACGAGTATGACGGATGAGCCAGCCATCACTGCGCTCGCCCATATTTTAGGGAGCCCAATGACCCGGCCCACCACGTCGCCACAAGTCTGGACATTTTAGTGAGCATGACTACTCAAAACACTAGACTACGTCAAAGCTACTTACAATTGATGGACCACGTTAAAGATTTAACTAACAGATGTATGCCGCTCATGAAAAAGGAAAGCATACCAAAAGAAAGAGCGTAGACAAGGGAAAACAAGCGAAAAACGTTAAGTCTAATGGAAAAAATGGAAATAAAGTAGAACTACATCTAACACAAACACAACAATTGCGTAATTTGTTTAGAAGTCACTGACGAAGACTGGAACCAGTGCTCATCCTGTCGTGGGAGGGTGCATGAAGCATGTACAGACATTCCAGAGTGTGTAGATGGCTACATATGTGATCGATGCAGGCTATTTTGAAATGTCCGGTACTAGGTACAACTTTTATAAATTACATTTTTTATTATCCAAGTTTGATTGATTATTTTTAAGCTGAGGTTGTGTTTTTTTTCTATTTAATTTGATTCCTAACTTTGTTGTGTATTATTAGTCATAAATACAGAAACATTCCTTACAATATTTTTTGTTTTATTTATAAAAAACCTTAGGTGTCCGCGACTAGGGGACTTCCCACACACACTACTAACACTACCAAAATCTCTCGTTTATTTCGAATAAAATGTTTCTAAAATAGATACTTTCAAAACAACACGAATACAAACACGAAAGTTTGTGGATACGGATGGAGCATCCCTCCATTTTTACACTTTACAGACAGCATTTGTTACACTTTTACACATAAACAATTGAACGGATTTTGATGAATTTTACAATAATATAGCTTATGCATCAGGTTAACAGATATGCTACAAAGATGCGGATAACTAATTAATAAGGTAATTAACATTTTTAGTACAATTAAATGTTATAAAATAGGTCAAGCCATTTCTGAGGAATATGAATATAAATAACATTGTGACACGAGAATTTTATATATATGTATAATTGACAAAGTACCAGCATCAAAAGTTTACTCACGTTTTCAACTTTCACGCCCCGTGGCATCTTGAAAGTATTAAACTTTGATCATAAACATTCAAATATAAAATACCTACTACTTTTTTTTATATTTTTAATAAATTAAATTATCATAAACACACAAGTCACATGAAATAAAAACGTTCTTTGCACTAAACAAATTATGACGCTCAATCATTGCGTTCAGATATTTTTTGTTCTATCTACCCCCTAATATGATTAATAAATGTGATAAAAATGTATATATGATTAACCTGAACTACCTACATATGTAAATATAAATTAACATAATATTATTATAGTAATGGAATGTCCAGCATTTGGTTTACAGTCTTATTTTGATGGATAGCGTAATCCTTACTAGTATTATCAATGCAAAAGTAACTCCGTCTGTCTGTCTCGCTATCAGGCCAATACTACTGAACCGATTTAAATGAAATTAGGTACACATATAGTTTAGACCCTGAGAAAGGACATGCTACTTTTTAATGCAAAAAAAGGGTCGTAAGGGATTGAAAAGAGATATGAAAGGTTGTATGGAATAAATCTAATTTAAATTAAAATGATTAATTACAAACCTCATCGTCTTCATCGCTGCTCAAGGCTATGATCTCTGGATTGCTGTCAATTATTGCAACGTCGTCGTCTATAAAATTTTCTTTGTGTTCAGTCTTCATGTTGTCAGTATTTAAATTATTTAACACCTTCTTTTTAAGGACATCAGCTTTGTCCGTGTCAATTATTTCTGAATCACTATATTCAATTTGGCTAAACTTCTCAGATTTACAATTTAAATCTTTATTTATTGACGGTATAGATACATTTTCAGTTGCAGATCTGTTCAGATCGTTAGTCATATTGTTTAGAGGACTGGAGAAGGGGGAACAGGTTATTCTGGATGTGTTATCATTGTTGTCACACTTCGCCGGTGTTTGGACTAATGCGTCGGCGACGCTGGGCAATTCTGTCAGACTACCTGTGGAACTTCCCCTGTTAGTCTGATGACTCTATAAAAAATATAGTACATTTTTAAAATATAATTTAAAGAAAAATAGGTGGCTGGTAATAATGCAGTGTATCAGGTCAACCTCTATGTGATATTCTCTAGGTTTCTATAGAGGATCACATACCAATACGTACCATCATACACCCTGGTGGTCTTGCCACCACTTAACATCCAATGCCTGAGGGCACTATGCAAATATTGTATTGATGAGTATAATTATTTGTATCGGTCTGGGCGTTTTGTATGTATTTCTGTCAGTCATCATGCTAAAATTCTTAACATGGAGCGAAAGGGTGCTGTGTGAATATGCCTGATTTATTATTATTTGCTGTTGATATCTTCAATATATAGCCCTACAGACTTGAGTAAATGGCCACGCTATCACCCACTTTACTTGTGTTGTTTATTCCTTGTGCCCCATCAGTATATCGTTAGCGATGGCCATAACAAACAAATTTACATACAATTTGAATTAAAATTATGGCATGCAATGCTTTTATTACGGACACCTTTTTTTTAATTCAATGATAATACACATACAAAACCACACAGGCCAATAAGAAAATATACATTAATGAATACAAAAGTTGATACTGTGCTGGTATTGAATCAGATCTCAGAAATAATAATCGGGAATCAAGGTGTTGCGCTAAATTGCTATATCACCGAGATCATTATAATATAATATAATAATCTCAGGACAATTCACACAGCGCCATCAGGTCCCAAGTTATGCTAGCTAAAGCTTTTGCTATGGGTACTGGATAACTGATACAAATACATAGATATATTTTTTTTCGTGAATACATACATAACATACATAGAAAACACTCAGACCGGTAGTAAGGCAGTGTGCGAAACCACTAGGCCACCGAGGTCGTCGTTATTAGAATATTCATGAATACTTGCCTCATCAGACAGAATAAAATCTGAATAATCACTATCATGATCATTATCTTTCGGTATCACACCCATTATACTCATCCGAGTGACTCGTGACATCACCATTTGATCTTCATCTGGTCCATCATCATCTGTTTGGACATTTCCATCATCAATGTCATCATCAGAAATATCATCATCATCATCCTGAGATTTGTCTTTTTTATTAATATCACACTGATCATCCACTGTGGTGACTTTTCTATTCTCATTCTCATAATCATCATTTTCTGTGCTATTATCAATGTCATTATAACTGATATCATGACTTACTATGGTTTTACCACTTTCAATCTTCAGAGGAGTGTCTTTCAAGCATGTCAATTTCTTATTTCTATTATGTTCTATAATAATAGAATTCTCAGTATCAGAATCCATAAGCACCATACGTTTTTTGCTCTTTTTCACAATAAATGAATCTGGAGTATCAGTTGATTTTGATCTTGTCGATAAAGGCTGTTGTGGGTGTTCAGGTGAAGTTACTTCTGCCAATATTAATTACATATTTAGTCCTGTATACTTAGAAATTTTGAAAGCTGATGAATACTTTCTGATAATTAATTATAATTTCCAAAATAAAATAAGACCTACATAGTACTATTGTATACAATATTTATTCCATATTACATAGCAGCACTGCCTGTGTAGTTCAATGCAGTATGTTCCTCACATATCACACTGCTTCTTATAGGTAAACGATATATATAATTTTATATTTTTTTAAATTGGTCATATATTTTTTTATTTATTCATTACAAACTAAAGTTACAAAAAATCTCATGTTTCTTTTTTATAAAATTAGTATCTGTACATAGTATGAAATGAAGTCACTTCTACTGTCTGTTCTCTTAGATCTTTTAAACTTTGCAACACATTTAAATCTAGTTTTTAGTAATAGACAAAGTGATTCAAAAGAAAGGTATATATGTGTATACAGTGCAAAGCCGGGGGGAGCTAGCTATAACAAATATTTTAGAAACAGACATTTCTTTCAAGGTATAGAAATAGACATAATCTTTATTCATATAAACTCAATACAAGCACTTTTGAATAGTTATCTTTAACCTGCCACTCATTCGGAATGCAGACTTATCACAAGAAGAATGAGCAAGAAACATGTGTTGCTCTTTTGAATAGATGTTATTTAAAATAAATAATTTCACAATAACAAGTAAGAGGGATGCAATTAACAACATAGAAACCGCTACAAACTCATTCCTAGTGCATATATATAATATTGAAAGTGCTATGAATTTTAAGTTTTTTCTACAAAAACATTATTATCACATGTATATATTTTTATAATAACATTTTTCCTATATATGGATTTGCTTTTATTTACAATTAACGCTAGATCTTTTATAGTAAAAATGAGAAGTTACCATCATCACTGCTAGATATAATGTGGGTTTCTGCTGCCATACTTGTTTTCAACATACGCTTGCCCACTTCCTGATGTATGCTGTCGTCATCAGACTCCGCTAAAACACACAAAAAAACATTAAGACAACTGAAACATAATCAAAAAGTATCATGAATACAATATATTATATTGTATATTATAGATTTTATATATATATATATTATATATTATAGTGTATAATGGAACTGTAGAACTGTAGTCTTACAGACAGCAAAAAGAATCATCTAATTTATTCAGAATTAAATTTATAAGTACAATATCAATTCGAACACAGACAAATACTATTATTTGAATACCTCATATGTATTATTATTATTAAAAACTGCAATTAAATATTAAGCGAAATACGTACCATCAGTTTTAGATTCTTCAGATTCGGCTACATAAACCGTATGATTTACAAAAGCACGCTTCGTTTTAGTTGCGAAGGAATCATTTACTATTAAACTACTGTCTATAACTTCCGTATCGGAATCACTAATCATTCCAGTTCTATCACGATACTCCAAAAAGGAGTTATCCATTGTAATTGCATATATATTTGAATTAAAACTACGAAAAATATTTAAACAAAATGTTTGTTTATTTCTTTAATAATGTACTCATTCTTATTTTCAAACAAAAATGTCGTTTTTGATACAGAGTAACATTTTGAACAATAGAGTTAAGTACAGAGTAATAATGGCTCTGACAGATTGTAAATTCGGATGCACCACAGATTAAATTAATTTACAGATAGACCTAAACAGAAAACCGTAAGGTATAAAAAATTGTAAACTCTGTGGTATATAAAACCCAAATTATTGAATATTAAATGGTTTGCTTGACGGCGTGACTGTTAAGATTGTCGTCGATAATGAAAAAAGAGAGCTTGTTTTTAATAATAAAATATAATTTGTGAAAGTCCGTCTTTGCATCTGTCGTATTCGTGTCTAGTCAATTGTTTTGTCTGTTCTATGTTATCTTTCTAATGTTGCGTCTTATAAGCAGCCAGCAAGCAGTCCTGTCAAAGAAGCCACAACATTCCCACCTCCAGTATTGGAAACCAATACCAATTCGTTCTGTCTTTCAAACCACTTAAAAACAACATCTAAAGCTTCAAAAACTTCTGCATGAGATGGTACTTGACATAAAACTCCAGTTTCAGTCACTTCTTCATCTCTCTCGTTATTGTTTTAATCGTCGAGTCCGGATATCGAGAGTCGGTATTTTACTGTATTTGGCTTTGCTTTTATTTACAATGAGCTTTAGGTCTTTTACAGTGAAAATAAAAAGTTACCATCACTAGATATAATGTAGGTTTCTACTGCATTACTTGTACTGAACATACGCTTGCTCACATCCTGATGGATGCTGTCGTCGTCAGACTCCGCTAAAACACGCAAAGAAAACTGAAACAATTAAAAAGTATCAAAAAATATAAATAAAAGGGAAAAAAGAAAATTTTAAAGGATTTAGTAACTATGGGACTGTATGACTGTCAATTGCAAAAATAATTGTCTAATTATTTAGAACTAGCTCCGCGTGGAATACAAGTTTATTTTTCCAAAATAAAATATTATTTCTAAAATAAAAGTTACTCCTTATTACTTTATTTGCTATTTACCTTATCAGCTACCGGCTAAAAAAAACCCGTCAAAATCGGTCCAGCCATTTCAGAGATTAGCCGGAACAAACATACAGACAGACAAAAATTGTAAAAAATAATATTTAGTCAGAAACGGTTATTTCAATATTACAAACAGACACTCCGATTTTAATTATTAAAATAATTGTATTAAAACTACGAAAAATATCTAAACAAAATGTTTGTTTATTTCTTTAATGTTTATTCTTATTTTCAAACAATAATGTCGTTTTTGATACAGAGTAACATTTTGGATAATATGATTAAGTACAGAGTAATACTGGCTCTGATAGACAGATGAACATCCTCCAGAAATAAATTTCCATGTTTAATTCAAAATGATTTAGGAGAACATACTAGCACAGAAGTTTCTTTGCATATATGGCCTGAGATGCCACTGAAATATTTCAAAGCTCGACCAATGCCATTTCCACTCAAGCAGCAGGTGGAATCTTCTTTGATACAGATGATTAATGATGGCGTTTTGACACCAGTGAAGTATTCAAAATGGGCCACACCTATTAGAGTTGTTAAAAAAGAGGATGGCAGCTTACGCATATGCGGGGATTACCGTACCACAGTTAATACTACTATAAATACAGACCACATCAGCCGAAGATTTTGCAAAGTTAAGTGGAGGACGGGTATTTAGTAAACTTGATCTAAAGCAAGCATATACACAGGTGAAAATGGATAAAGTGACAGCTAATCTATTAACACTAAATACCCAAATGGGATAAATGAGGATGAACCGTTTGGCATTTGACGTGAGTGCAGCACCAGCAATTTTCCAGCGTTTAATGTCAACAGTACTTGCTAACATTTAAGGAGTAGCATGTTTGCTCGATGACATTGCTGTCTGTGAGAAAAATATGGAGGAACACAATGAATGTATTAAGTTAACTGGATTGTATGGGATTGTGCCTTTGCATCAGACAGCATAACCTTTCTAGGATTGATGGCGAAGGACTATATCCACCTCCAATAAAGGTTAAGGAGATAAAAGAGAAACCTGCGCCCCAGAATAAGGAATGATTAAGGGCATTTTTGAGCCTGTACAATTTTTAGGAAAAATTCTTGCCTTGTCAGGCAATTAATCTGGAACCACTGTACCGGCTATTGAACTCAAAACCATCCTGGATAGGGATGTTGTAGAACAAGTAGCCTTTGACAAAACTAAAAGCTTCTATCATCGGATTTGACATTAGTTGGATTTGAATTAAACAGGACATTGCTGTTAAACTGTGACTCCTCTAATTATGGTCTAGAAGCTGTGATGGTTCATGTAATGGATGATGGGTCAGAGCGACCAATTATGATGGCTTCTCAAACTCTTCAGCCACATGAGCGGCGCTATGGACAAATTGATAAGGAGGCCCTTGCTAATATTTGGTATCACAACATTTCATGAGTATCTGGCTGGCCGTGAATTTGATATTATTACAAACCATAAGCCGCTTGTTGGTCTTTTCAATCCTTTAAAACACATTCCTGATCAAATATCATCAAGATTGTTAAGGTGATCACTAAAACTGGGTTGTTATAATTATAATATTAAATATAGACCAGACAGACATAATAGATGGACAATGCCAAATACATCTGCACAAAAAGATGAAGATCTGTGATTAAGTGCTTTTGCTGGATGAGCAGCCAGAGGGGTGGGACCTTGACGTGACACGAATATCTGGAGAAACTAAGTAAGATCCAATTTTACAGAAGATTATGTTTCATATGCTTCATGGCTAGCCCCGTTCATATCCAGATCCAGATTTGCAGCTATTTTGGTCTCGTAAAGAAGCTCTTTCAATTAGTAAGGGATGTTTATATATCTGTATAGAGCCAACAGAGTCATTATACCCAAAGCACTACAGAGTAAAGTTTTGGATTTATTACATTGCCCGCATGCTGGGGTGGTTTAGACCAAATCCTATGCTAGGTAATATGTTTTGTGGCATGATATGGATCGACACATTTAGAGAGTTGTGTCAGAGTGTGTACATTAAATTAGTCAAATTTAGCAAGTTAGAAATACCCACCGAAAGATCCACTTTTTGGTAATTAGAGCCGAGACGAACGAGTCCGGATAATCAGATGTTCGGATAATCGTGTTAGTACCTTTGTGATGTATCAAAGACTATATTGCGGTGTGACACCTATCGTAAGTGTTGCCTAGCAATAGTTGTTGACTGTCGTTAATTATAAAATGAAAAATTCGTAGATGGTATAAATATTGTGAACTATTTAAAGTGTGTGATATTGTGCATTAGCTAGTATATAGTGTGAGATTTGGTTTAGACTTTTCGTAAGTGACATTTGCTGCTACGTTTGCAATTATCTATATATATAAAAATAAATTGCTGTTCGTTAGTCTCGCTAAAACTCGAGAACGGCTGAACCGATTTGGCTAATTTTAGTCTTGAAATATTCATGGAAGTCCAGAGCAGGTTTAAACGGTGACAAAATAGGAAGAAATTGCATGTAAATTAGTAAAAACAGCAATTTTATTCTCCCATACAAACTGCTGATACCTGTCAAATGGGGTCAGAAATTTGTTGCATAACTAAACTTTGAAAAACCTTTGACATATTTAATTTTGAGGCGGAACGGAGTCCGCGGGGTCAGCTAGTTCAATATACAAATATTGAACTAAGTTAAATCATATTTACTGAGCAAAGCCTATTACTCACTAAACGATTACTTGAATGACGAGTGTGCATGGCAATAGTTGTTCATGCACTGAATTTTCATTTAATGTTATGTTTCATTTCATGTCACATTGTAAATAAACTGGCTTTAAAAAAAAAGTAATTCATCTTGCCAGTTCTTCTCATTCATATACCGATACGGTAGGGAAAAAAATAAAATTATAATGTAAAAATTTGACGTTCATAAGCGGCTAAAATGTCCTACATGAATAAATGATTTTTGAATTTGAATTTGAATTTGAATACAAACACTTGAAAAGCATCCAGCTATTCAAGATACCAGTAATCGGAATTCTACTGCATTTGGCTTTGCTTTTATTTACAATGAGCTTTAGGTCTTTTACAGTGAAAATTAAAAGTTACCGTCATCACTAGATATAATGTAGGATTCTACTGCATTACTTATACTAATATTATGTTATCTGTGCTTATACTGAACATACGCTTGCCCACTTCCTGATGGATGATGTCGTCCTCAGACTCCGCTAAAACACAAAAAAAGAAAACTGAAATATAATCAAAAAGTATCATGAATACTAATAAAAGGGAAAAAAGAAAATATTAATGGATTTAGTAACTATGGGACTGTAGGACTGTCGATTGCAAAAATAATAATCTAATTTATTCAGAACTAGCTCCGCGTGGAATGCAACTTCAACTGACATCATCATGAAAAACATTTCTTGTATTGGTGGATAGTTATAGCAAGTGGTTTGAAGCAGAGATTGTTCCATCAATGAGCAGTGAAACAATTATAAGTGTGCTAAGGAATATTTTCGCAGCACAAGGATTACCAGAGCTTTGGTATCTAATAATGGCAGGGCTTTTACCTCAGATGAATTTAGCTCTTTTCTGGAGAGGAATGGGATTAAGCATAAATACTCACCTCTATATCATCCTGCCACGAATGTACATATTGAATGTGCTATATAGACATTTAAAAATAAACTTAAGAAGTTGACATATGCCAATTCTAATATAACTTGGTCAGAGAAGGAAAACATTGTATCATTTACGCACTGTACCAAATAGCACAAATAGGACACCAGCAAGAAATTGTAAATGGTCGTCGATACAGAACTGCTATTTCTAATTTACATCCGAGTTGTGTACCAGATGATGCCCAGAATCAAATCGGGCCCCAAATATAATCTTTAAAAAGAATCAGGCAGTATTAATCCGTGTATATGAATCAGGGCAAAAATAGTTCAGAGCTACCATTGTGGATATAGAGGGTCCAAGTACATATAGGGTGAGAATAGAGAATGGTGAAATACATAGGTGCCACGCCGATCAGATCTTAGCTCGGGGTAGTAAAGAGTGCACTGCCTATTAACGCAGACCATCCTGGGACCAAGCAGATGAACCAGATAAATTACCTGAAGTAATATCAAAATGCCTTAAGTAAATCTGTATAGTGGGCTTAGTATGTGTATGCAACTGTGAGTGTATCAAAATAGTGTATAAAAGTATAAAATTCAATTTATGAATCTATTTGGTATGTAAGTAACTCTTGTATTGTACTATGGATAGTTCGATTATTATTTGTAATTTGATTTATGTGACGCTACTTATATAATTGCGATGATTATTAAATAGTTTTGCTTCCAATCTCAACCAAGGTGTATCACATACCTATATAATTTAAAATTTTGGTTGTAGATAACTTGTTATTGATCTTTGACGTAATTAATCACATCTTTTTATTGCGGGCATTGCGGCCAAGTCCCTGATGTGCTTCATTTGTAACAACTGTATGGGATCCAATTCGTCCTGTCTCTCAAACCACTTAAAAGCAACATCTAAAGCTTCAAAAACTTCTGCGTGAGATGGTACTTGACATATAACCCCAGTTTCAGTCACTTCTTCATCTCTCTCGTTATTGTTCAAATCGATTGTTAATTAGAGCGGAGACGAACGAGTCCGGATAATCGGATGTTCGAATAATCGGGATTCTACTGTATTTGGCTTTGCTTTTATTTATAATGAGCTTTAGGTCTTTTACAGTGAAAATTAAAAAGTTACCGTCATCACTAGATATAATGTAGGTTTCTACTGCATTACTTGTACTGAACATACGCTTGCCCACATCCTGATGGATGCTGTCGTCCTCAGACTCCGCTAAAACACACAAAAAAAAGAAAACTGAAACATAATCAAAAAGTATCATGAATACAAATAAAAGGGAAAAAAGAAAATTTTAATGGATTTAGTAACTATGGGACTGTAGGACTGTCAATTGCAAAAATAATAATCTAATTTATTCAGAACTAACTCCGCGTGGAATTCAACTTTATTTTTCCAATATAAAAGATTAATTCTAAAATAAAAGTAGCCTAAGTTACTCCTTATTACTTTATTTGCTATTTACGTTATCAGCTACCGGCTAAAAAAACTCGTCAAAATCAGGAACAAATAGACAGACAAAAATTTATATTCATATGCATGTAGTAAAAGCTGGTTATTTCAATATTACAAACAGACACTCCAATTTTGTTTATTAAAACTACGGAAAATATCTAAACAAAATATTTTATATCGCAATCGTATATTCTGTTAAGTGACTGACTTCATCGTGACGTATATCGTGCATGGCTCTTATTTTATTTAGCATGATGACTACTATGATTAATTCTGGTCGACCAAATCGTAATTTTAATGTGTCAATAATAAATTTTAGGTTTCTTGCACTCACTAACAGGGCACGTGCACGACCCTTTAAACAGCGTGACAATCTCGCAATATTTTCATCGTCGCTATAATCACCTAGGCGTGTTGTGGAATTGTACTGACTATAGAACAAATCCCAATCTTCTGGGTCGCCGCTATACGTAGGCAACTCTTTTAGGCATGTCTGTCTGGCTATGAGTTTAGACATTTTCTAGTTTACTTGTAAAGTGATGTAGCGATTGCGGAATGTGTTGTGGTATGGTTTGCATGACAGGCTGTGTCTGATAATTAATATTGACGGCAGTTCGCATTGTCTGAAGCATACAGTCGTACATACCTGCAGTTGTAGGCAGGTGTTGCGATTCGCGGGACTGATATCTGCTGGGGGTGATACGGTTGTCTTCGTCTCCCAGCGCCTGTAATCTTCTCTCTTCAATTAGCATTTTCTGTATTAAGCTCTTTATTTCAGTTTTTATGTATTTTTTGTTGTTGTATTTTGCTAGTAGTTTATCCACACTCGATGTTGACACATTGGAGTCGGACCGAGCGGACGGTGTAGGTGAGGTCTTGCGACTACCGTGGGCGGACTGTCGGTCGTGTTCACCCTGGTCAGCAGTAGCAGGTATTGTCGTCATCTTTGCTTGTCTTCGTGTCTGTTGTAAGTTGTCTCGAAGGACCACTTGCTTGTCCTCGCGACCTTTAAGATTGTCGTGAATAATTAAAAAAGAGAGGTTGTTTAATAATAAAATATAATTTGTAAAATTCCTATGTTGTCGTCCGTTTTTGTCGATAAAACGATATAATATCTACTTAATGTAGATAATATTGTATATAATCTATTTAATTATTATCTGTATAATGACTCGAGACGGTACAGTCCATTCTAGATCAGGGGTTCCTAAACTTTAAAGATAAAGGACCACCAACCTAATACCTTTTATATTATGGAACCCATATCAAATGTTTACATTATAAAACAACACTGAAATTTATATAAGAACATTTTTTAAGAAATGTGCAATATAAGTTAAACACATTATTGTTAAGTTAAAGTTTTATTGTGAAAAAAGAAATGTATAGGTATGTAATTATCTGTGGTATTAGGTAGTTCAATTGTATGAATATATCTTGTTGTCTTTGGCAACCAAACTTTTACATAAAATTACATATAGGTGTACCAGAATCCTTCCAGCAAGGTGTACCTTGCTCAATTTCGAAATAATATTTGTGACCGTGGCATTATTTAATAGGTAATAATAAATCATTTTGGCGGAACCATGACTATTCTATGGAACCCCTAGTTTCTGCGGAACCCAGTTTGGGAATCCCTGTCCTAGATACAAGTGCATATTTTACAGATAAGGACCTATATTATACAAATTACCACAACGTCATAAAGGCGGCAACGAATTAATATTTATATACCACAGTGTGGCAATCACGTATAAGGTCCATCTGACATTGCTGTAGCCTATGGACTCCTGAAACACCAGGGGCGTAACTATCGCCGTATCTGCTGTATCAATATACGGGGACACGGAGGTCCCCAACCTGCGTAAGCAAAAATTAACTTCCCAAATATTTTTTTTATTTCATAAATGACAAAAAAAAAAAAGCAATGTCTTTTTTCCCCGCGTAAAGCGAGCATTCAAAATTTGGCAACACCCTACATCGGTTATCGCGGGCTGCAGGATATCCCCGTTTAAGTCATTTACTTCAACGACCTTGTCCATAAATGCAGAAACTTTAGAAAAACTAAAGTCATCAACAGCTACAAATTATTTAATAAATCAGTTTGAACCGAAAAAAAGGCAAGGAGAGTGTATATTTAATTTGAATTGTTTGTAATTTTTTTTTAAAAATTGACAGATAGGAAATTGTTATGAATAAGTAAATATTTCTTTTAATTTTATGCAACTTTTTTTCTTTTGTGAGAAACCCTTCGTAAGGGCCCTCAAACAATTTTTTATACGGGGCCCCGCCAAGGCACGCTATGCTTCTGGATGTTATATGCGCTTTTGCATAATAAAACCTTAAAATACCTCTCTAGAATAATTCCATGTTAATCTCTACATAAACTAAATATATATAACTCAAAGGTGACTGACGTAGTGATCCATCAACGCACAGTCCAAACCGCTGGACGGATCGGGCTGAAATTTGGCATGCAGGTAGATGTTATGACGTAGGAATCCGATAAGGATTTTGATTTTTTTTTATATGGACTTAGGGCAACGGAACAACATCAAAAGGTTATATTTATATTATTAAATTTAACAACAAATAATTGACATTAATTAACAACATTAAATAAACAATTCAATTATATAAATTATAATATTTAGATAATATTATTATCATGGTAAATTGCCATTTACCAAGATGAGGTAACGGACTTGACTTAAGGCTTAATTTATAAGATGCATCATTCTATTATGATCATTATATATGTACATATATATATATATATAATTTAAGCATTGATAACAGTTACTGAATTTATTTTTATTTTATATTATTACATCAGCTGCGTGCCAAAAAAAGTCCCGTCAAAATTTCAGAGATTAGCCGGAACAAACAGACAGACAGAAAAAGTTGTAAAAAATGTTATTTTGGTGTATGTACCGTATTTATATTCATATGCATGCAGTAAAAAACGGTTATTAGAATATTACAAACAGACACTCCAATTTTATTTATATTATTTGTATAGATTATAAGTATTAAAATGGAGACTGAAAGTGATCTCTGTAAAGATAACAATGCAATATTTGTAATATAATAACGTAAGTCATAAAGCTCTATAACTTACATTACAAAGACAATTAATATACTTATATTTAATGAAACTACAATGGGTTGACGATTCTTTAGACGATATGAAATTAATTTTGTTCGTGGAAATCTGAGACATAAAAAAAAATTCGGACTATTCTAATGCTGTTGGTCGCAGCAAGCCTTTACAGCTCCACCGGACGATGGAGGCGAGTGCAGATGGCACATCAAACCCGCGGAAAGACTTATGGAGCGGCTGAAGGCCAACTCCCGCCTGACGAATACGTCTTTAGTCCGAGGGCACCGTTAGGGTTTCGAACCTCTGCTCAGGCTGTCGTAATTTCGATCCCCGTTTGAATTGGACGGGGGATCGATCGGAGGGGCTGACATAAAAAGACTTTGTGTCTCAATTTATATTTCTGAATGACTCTAGTATAGGAAACAACAATAACCCTCACTCACTAAATTTTGAGTCCAGGGTAAGCAGAGGGCTCCCTGTCATATTTGATACCAATCGACAATTATTATATAATTTATTCGTATATTGAAGTTCCTGTATATTATTTTTCTGTTATTTATTTTTCTTTACATTTTTCTAAGACATGTCTCTCTTCTCATTTATATTAGTGCACAGCCAAACATCTTTTCAGCACTCATGGTCGACTGGTAGGGGCTAAGTCCGCCATATATACACTTTATTTATGTGTATTGAAGTTCAGTAAATAAAAAATAATACCTCTTATTATCCGTTCGAGATAATAATTATAACAGCATGTATGAATAGGCGATTTAGTAGCAATGAGAAGACCTAACAATTTCAAATTATAATAAAATGAAAGTGCGAATTCAAACTACTGCATAATTTTGTCATAAATTTAATAAAATAAATACAAATCATATAATAAATTGAACAATTTTATAACACGTTGAAGAACTACAGAGCATTAAAAAAATACAAAATTTATCCATAACATAATAGGTACTTAACTAAATGTGACAAACTAATATTAATCTAAATAATTATAAATACTATTGGCAATAATAAAACACAGATAAGTACAAACTAGATAACGAACAATCGAAAAGTCCCGTTATTTATAAAGCGAAAGCATCGAGATAATAAGGAGATAATTATTTATATTATATAATGTAGTAATATAATAATATAGGTTCTGTCAACTGGAATGTTCATTTTAAATATTGATACTATAAGTCAATACAATATTAGAATTTTTGTTATAACATAATATTTAATGTCATAATTTATTATTATACTTAAAATGTCAGGCAAAGTTAATAAAATTGATCACGTAAACACTTTTATAATATACCTATGCATTGTACATAATTATTAACATTTTTTTATTACTAACACGGGCGGAATATACCCCGTTTTTGCGATCAGTTAGCGGCAGGCAAACTAGACAATATTTTCTGACCAAGGATACTGGATGTCGTTTTTAATATAATCATAGCTAGGTCTGCAACACTACCATTCTTAGTCAGGAACATTGCGGCTCTCTTATAATCGTCTATGCCAAGTCCAGCTAAATAGTCATAGACAATATCGAAAAGCTCGGATAGTTTAAACTTGATATCCTTCCATATATCTCTCATGGACACAGCTGAAACAAATAAAATAATGATGTAGATAAATCTATGTATGTGTAGATATTTTAACTAAACTAGTAAGAGGGTGTAGATAATTGTGTATAGTGGGAAATAATGCTACCGATGTTAAATTGTCAGATTGACATCAACGGTCATTCAATTTTCAATCGAAATTCAAATCAATCCCGTTGAATTCGCCACTGAGTTCATCTATCAACCTATCAAGTAAGTAGCTTTGACGTGGTCTAGTGTTTTGAGTAGTCATGCTCACTAAAATGTCCAGACTTGTGGCGGCGTGGTGGGGCGGGTCATTGGGCTCCCTAAAATATGGTCGAGCGCAGTGATGGCTGGCGCATCCGTCATACTCGTGAACGGATGCTGCTTGTAGGGACTGATCTGCTCTAATCACTAGGACTGATTTCCTCTTATTAATTGTTTAACCAGTTGGCTATATATTCAATATTTTTTCTATTTGATTATTTAATTGAATTAGTGCTAATTGGTGTTTTGTATTCACACACTTAAACTTAAAAATGTAAAGTTATAATAAAATTATTTATCTATTCTATCAATTATAATACATATATCACACACTCATGCCCCGTTATCACAGACTCGTGCACAATTATCATTCACAAAAACCCCCTAAATACCTTTTAGACTCTGATAAACTTAGTACCTGTCACGAAACTTTATACATATTATAAAATAAGCCAGTAGAAAAGCCACCTCATCGTCTAGGTACATCCGCCATTTTTTGACGGCAGCCATCTTAATCTTACAGAGACCCTGAATATATTATATATTTTTTTATTTGATTATTGGAATGGCAAACAAGTTAAGGGATAGCCTGGTGGTGCCTTTTTTTCTTTTTAATATATGATAATGGAATAATGCTTCCGCCTGCGATAACAGTTTACGCTGGCGGGGCACAGTGGATGATGATGAGCATGAAGTCAGTCAGCCCATCCTGACAAATTCACCAGGTATTTATCACAATGGTTTCCAGGGAGAACCGCGTGGCGGTCAACCTGACATGGTATATTGCTAGCAATAAGGGTTATTCACATCACTAACAACCCTCTTCCCGCCTGGTGGTAAGTGTTAACCGCCGCCTATATAACAGTCTATCAGCCATTATGGGGCCGCTATTATTTATGTATTGAGTGTTCTTTTGGTACAAGCAGCAGCAGGAAAGGAGGAGGTGAAATGATGAGTCCAGTGGTGGCTATGTACATATTTATATTGATTAAGTATTTACAAATTATAAATGTGCATAAGAAGAATATTTACAAGAGGATTCGGGCTCGAATGACAGGCTTGTTATTTTATTGTTCTGTCGTAACTATGCAACGGTGTTGCCGCGCGATAATAGTAAATTCGCCACAATAGCAACAAGTACGGTATCACGTAATGATGTGTGCTTGTGACCACATCCGTTTCCATTTCAGAAGACTAAGATGTAATGCCACTTATCCTGTAATTTGATTCTTAAAGCGTATCCTACAACTGCACAGCTTATAAAGCAACCTACGTCATAGGTAGGTAAATGTAGTTTTAATTAAATATTCAACACTATATTCACATAATATTGTCATCACAACTATTGATGTGTACTAAATTTCAGTTCAATCAATCAATATTGCGCACAAAATCTTTAAAAGACAGTCCATCCAGCGGAGGGGTGTTGAGGGGGTGTGTGGGATTCCTACCCACCAGGGGCGAATCGTGAATTTGTGGGGCCCTGGGCTAAATCTACTTAGGGGCCTACCTAATTATATTACTCAACTAAAAAAATACTCGGACCAAAAACAAGCGACCAGAAATTCCCCGTTCCTTTCGATAGACGCGCACTTGCATGGGTTCATTGATCTCAGGGTTGGCAACTTTATGATAGGTTTTTTAACAATCTAGATATTTTTTTATATTTCAAATATCGTTTCAGTGGGGACTGGGGGCCCTTCGTATCCTCGGGGCCCTGGGCTGCAGCCCAAAAAGCCCTTAGGTATATCCGCCCCTGCTACCCATTAAAAAACACACGGTGTACCTACGAGCACCATTGCCTGAGGTCGCGTTAGCATTCTACCGCCACTGCGGAATACACCGCACCCCTAGTACAACAATAAATTAAAACAAAAATTAAAAACTTTCGTAAAACATCTCTAAATTTTTAGCATTAAAGATTGGCATTAAAAAAAATAATTTTTTTTTAGTTTAACTAGTACTGTACTTGCAACAAACAAGGCAAGTCAAATAAAACTATTTTATTAAATAGTAGGTCACACCACAAAAGTTGTTTTGTCATAAAAATTAATATCGTTATTAAGAAATAGAAAGGTGAAAGTTTGGGTGTTACTTACACCCAATATTTGTATCACATCATTAAATAAATAATAAAAAAATATTTTGGTGGGTACACTCTCATCACTAAGGGGTATAACAAATAGATAACAGCCTATTGAGAATAGGCTGACAGACCTATCGAGTATATATATAAAAAAAGCGTTTACAATATTAATAATACTGTAAACGCGAAAGTTTGTAAGTATGGACGTTTGTTACTCTTTCACGCAAAAACTACTAAACGGATTTTGATAAAACTTTACAGTAATATACATAGGCTATAAATTTTACTCGGGGCGAAGACGCGGGCACCGCTAGTATCATAATATGACTAAACAAAAAATCAAACACATTGTAAGTACCTACATAAATAGGATACCTACCTACTGAGGCAGTCTTTGCAAAAAGTGATCTGCAGCTATTTCCTTGCTCATTCCAAATACTATGAAGGTTATTTAATTATATAATTATAATATTTATTTATTTATTTCTCCTCACAAACATGGATGAATATGAAAATACAAATACAAGTTGTAATTTTGCATAATATAATGCAAAATTTTATTTTACTAATATTGCGAAGCTTTTGATGCAAGATTCACTATATTAATAAGGTTTATTATAATTACAATGTGTATTTACCTGCAAGACCAGCGCCGCAAGCTCCACCAACCACGCCACCAGCGATGCCACCCCATTTTCTTCCGCCCTCTCCTAGTTTTCCACCATAGTGATGCCCGAGGAGTGCACCGGCCAGGGCCAGCCCCGTAGTCACCACCAGTGCACCTCTAGCCCGTCCATCATTTAGTACCACGCGGAAATCGAACTTGTCAGCGATCTTTAAAATGAGGTTCTCTATCGACGTGGGATCGAATGGCAATGAGCACGAGTTAGATCTACTCACACTACATGTGTCGTAGTCGTGGTCACTATCCGAGTCTGCGCAATTATTGTTTGCCATTGTACCTAGATAAGAATAGATTCTATTTTGTTGGCACTAATTTTATAACAAACTTTTTCTTATATTTCAATCACGTATTTATGTAGGTAATTCGATTATGCAAATAACAGATGGTAGGTATTTATTTACAGCGCTAACACGGACGGTTCTATAATTCTCCTTTGTAGGTATACATCTTGGAATGACATGAAATTCGACGCACTGTAGCGACATCTGGTTGTCTGTGGTCGAAATATTGGAATGACTGTCGATATATCGTTTATTGCCAACGATAACGTTCTCGCATATTGTTTGAGTACAGAAATATTAAATAACTAGTTACTCGACGCGGCTTCGCCCGGGTGGGGTGTGGTGTACATGTATTATACATATAAACCTTCCTCTAGAATCATTCTTATATATTAAAAAAACCGCATCAAAATATGTTGCGTAAACTACGCAAAGATTTAATCATACATAGGGACGGACCGACAGCGAGAGCTACTTTGGTGTATATTATGTTCAATAATTATTATAATAAATAATGAATGAACCGATTCAGCATCTTGTTTACTTGTTCGTCATTATTTTCGGTATGGATTATGTCTTTCGTAAAATGTAAATACCTAATATTGGAAATAATGAACGCAATGTTTCAGTTCATTAATAACTAATTTCAGGGGAAAAGTAAAATCATATTCAGATACTTGCCTATACAAACGTTGGTTAGTACGATTTACGTTGGAAATTACGATTCGGAAGCTATGAACTCGGAAACTATAGGGTAGCTTTAGTTCTTCGTCAAACCGCTAGAGGCAGCACCCTCCATACATGCTTAGCCGCTCTTTTTTCTTCAATAAACACTGTACTCTTTGTTAGTGTAGTTTAATTTAAGAACAATAATGGCGGGTCGATGGATTATGACATCAGAGTCGTTAATAGAGTCAGTGTGGCTCTCTTAAAACAATAGATCTTGCCTTACTTATATCACAAAAGTGCCATTTTTATTTTGTGATATGAAATAGTCAGTCAATTTGTCCGTTAGTTTATAACGGACAAATTGATTGACTATTTCATACGTGATAAATAGTTACTTATATACCAGAAAAGCATCATGGTAAAAGCCATATTACTAAAACTATTTTTTTTATTACTACTCTCAAGTACGTAACAATAATAATATCTCTGGACAATTCACAGTCCCAAGTTAAGCATACTGCATACTTAATGGTATGGGTACCAACAATTGATAGAAATCCTTAGATACATTTAGTTTTTTAAATACATACACACTCATGAATTCAAATATTTGTACCGTGCGAGGAATTGAACTCGGAATTACCAGAAGTAAAGAGGTATGCTAGATCACCTAATCCGTCAACGTAATACCACAGATAATATAATATTACATAGTAAAACATAAAACCATATTATGTTATCTGTGATAAAACTAATGGCTCGAAAGAGACCCGTAAAAATAAAAATACTTTGAAAGTGTGGATGAGTGCGGTGGAGTGGGTGATATAGATAAAAACGTATGCCGTAGGTACTATAAACAGCGATATAACGTTATACAATATTTTCAGAGACTATTGCTTAAATTAAGTATTTTTTTAATAAAATATGTTTCTATTTCTAATCATAATTAAAAGATTCGTATATTATAATTAATTAAACAATTTTAAAATAATACTACACGACCATTACTGAATTCCATACAGCGATATATTTATTTTATTTTTGTACATCACAAAACCATCAATATTATCAAGCATTAATTAATTGTTTTCATTTGATATTACGACTAAACCGGTATAGGTATTTATACATTGTGATTAACATTTTTTTCTTTTTACGGCTTATACGGAATCCGGCCCATCATTGTGATCTTTAAGAAGCAGTTAAACTGGATAAAACTTGCTGTCCGAGGGCACCGGACATCGCTCTCATTATGACGAAAGCCAGGTCTTCAAGATGACCCTTCTGTGTCAGCATCATTGCAGCTTTGCTGTAATCTGTGATTCTCAAACTTGCCAAGTAGTCATAGACAATTTTGAAGATCTTGTACAGCTTTGACTTGATACTATTCCATATCTCTGTGACAGCCACAGCTGCAAGAAATAATAAAATTAGTTTAATAGTGTAGGTTACGATATTAAGCATGCTCTCACCAACCACTAGGTATAAAACAATACATAGCAACAGTAGTTACTTCGTTTATGATCGTTTCTTGTTTCATAGTTTTAGGAGCGCCATTTTAATTTTTTTTTTATATAATAGGAATGGCATAGCTGATAATCTGTCCGATGGTAAGTGGTAAATGTCGTCTATACACATGAACATCACCATGGACATCACGTTTTTTGTATTTAATGATATTGGAATTGTGCTCTCGCCTACGCTAACGGTTTACTGGCAGGACACCAGTGGAGGATGATAAAATGAAGATGAAGGCAGGTCAGTTAACCCATTGTGGTAAACTCACCAGCAACTTATTATGACGGTTTCCATGGATGGTTGGCTAAACTGACCGTACAACCGAAACAACAGCTTACAAAGATATTTGTTTGGCGCCAGAAATAAGTAAAACTGAGGTATACCTACGCAGACGTCTTTTACAACCTACATCTGATATTCCTATTCCAATATTTCAACTTCACGTTTATATGTACACTTACTTTTTACCCAACGTTGCCCGTGATTTTAATGATAACGGACAGCGATGATATATTGGTCCTTTTATTTTATATAGCTACTTGTCCCGGCTTCACACGGGTGTACGTGTATTATACATATAAACTTTCCTCTTGAATTACTCTATTTATTGCTAAATATTACATTAAAATCAGTTGCGTAGCGAAAAAGCGATTACGTTTAATAGTATATAAAAATAAAGATAAAATAGAAAATTGTAGGTTGTAAAACCTAAATCCTACTTTTGTGTCTAAAATTAAATTATCTTATTTCATTCTATTCGTAACCTCATCAGCAGAGCCGTGATTGACTGTGTTAAAAAGTCCTTCTCCATCCGAAAAGTTATGTACATTTTAACTCACATAAAATTCAAAAGAGAAAAAAGCACGCATTTATAATATTATTAATTATGTTCATTATAATTATAATTTATACTTTCTTACTAATACTGACCTGTGAGACCAACCCCACAAGCTGCACCAACGATGGTTCCAATTACACTGCCCCATTGTTCACCTTCTTTTCCTCCTAATGCATAACCCAAGGCACTTCCAACGACATCACCAAACTCAGACAGCCCTGTGGTCACTGCGATCATATCCGTTGCTATCTTTTCGGTAATCACTACGCGAAAATCAAATTTTTTTGCAACATCTAATATCAGCATTTCTATTGACGCGTTGTTGTATGGTAATACGGAGGAGCCGTATCTCATAAGAGTAGTTTGTGGATAGTAGTCATCGTCGCTGTCGTAATTACTCGACATTTTGACAAAGAATATTTGTACCAAAGAATATAGTACTCAAGATTTGTACAAACCAAGCGTCTTTAAAATATGTAAATAATGAGGGTTTACTACAGCCGCATTACTTATATAGTACGACAGTTAATTGTCTATGGTTCGTAGCTGTTGTTGTCACAATCGATAAGAGTCGATGTGCTCCTTTGCAACCTAGATGATTAGTGCTACATTTTATTTTTTAATTACAATAATGGAAAAGTTAACTAGGCTTATAGATAGAAAGTAATAATAATAATGATATCCCTGAACAATTCACGCAGTGCCATATAGTCCTAAGGTAAGTAGAGCTTATGTTATGGGTACTAGATAACTGTTATAAATGACACTTCAATACAATTTTTGTATTTGAATGCATATGTGACGTATGGACTGTATTAAACTGATTTAAAATGAGATACGTTCCTAGGTGAGATAAAATATGCATATTCAGATAAAAGAGCAAAAGCGTAAAGACATGTAATAGTAAACAATCGGTATATAAAAACAGAACGTCAAAATATTAAATACAAAAATATATACAACACAAAAACTATCAAAAAGGTTGCATATATGATATGCATAGAAATAATGTAATCCAAAAATATAGCTGTAATAATCCGTTAATGCTATACATTTCATTTAAAATATAAGCTCTTTGAGTATCATGAAAAATAAATTATATTTCAATATTTTCTTCATCCATACACCGTACATATACTGACGGTTAAAATAACGTGCAAAATTAGCAAAAACTATTAAATTATGGTCACACTGCTCAAGTAAAAAGAAGTGAGGTATTCCTGAGACATAGATAATTATTTATTGCATCTAAGTCTTAGATATTCGGATGCAATTCTCATCATGACTATAAACTTGTTAAAAAAAATACTGTGTTGTTGTTATATTGATTTACGTTTATATTAGTTACATAGACGTAAATCAATATAACAATAACATAACAATAACGAGTCTTTTCATGTGTCTTGAAACTCGATACTCACGTATGTTATAAATGTTATAAATGACACTTCAATACAATTTTTGTATTTGAATGCATATGTGACGTATGGACTGTATTAAACTGATTTAAAATGAGATACGTTCCTAAGTGTACGTATTTCTTGATCTTAATTATCATTTGTTAGTTAGTGAATTATATTTCTGTAAATTGTTGTAATAAATTAAATATTATTTATCTTCCACAGATTTTTGTGAATACGAATTTTTAGGATCCAGTTTTTAAAAGGTTATGTTTCAAACAATTTTGTAAGTTAATATATAAAATTCTGCTACTAAAGATGTAATTAATTATACAGCTGAGAATTCAATTTCATATTTTCTTGAGTGACCGAACTGTGGATTATTAAATACGTCATTACTACTGTAACACTGACAATGACATTGACAGTTTATTTGACATGACTGAAATGAGTGCATCTAATACAATTATTGTAAATAATTGTTTTACTTTTAAACAATATTTTATATGATTTAACCTACATTTATTAATTAATTTACTTCTTTAAACTATCTATTAACACAATAAATTTCTAAGAAACTAAACAATGACTGAAGTGCAGTTACAAGAATTTAAACTAGATCCTGATTCGGAACTTAGATTTGAAGTTGAAACTAAAAATGAGAAAGTTGTTTTGGAGGTAGAAATTTTCACATAAATATACCTTGTGTTATTATATACCTATATAATAACAGAAGGCAATTTGGCTACGGCTATTGTCATCTAGCGGTCTAACACACCACCTTTCGATAGTAGCCGGCTCAATCCCTCTATTTGCACCGTACAAACATTTGTATTCATTAGTATTGTATTGGTTTGAGTGTTCTCTAATAAGTATTTACAAAAAAAAAATATAAATGTGGACACACGCTCTGCTTAGCTTGTTACGTTGTACTGGATTATTATTATTAATGACTACAAATTTACTATTTTTTTAGTAGATGGTAATGGTATGGTTTACCTGCCTGCCTGGTTTACTCTGGCGGGACACTGCTCCTCTTATCATCTGGTAATCGCTAGCGTAAACCGTTAGCGCAGGCGGGCTAAATGCACCATTCTATTATCATCCATAAAAAAAAATTCTACTACTATTGTTACCTTCCAGCTTATGTATATTAATAATACTTATATATTTATTGTTTTTAGATTAAAAGCGGTTATGCGGAATTGTTTGGCACGGAACTTGTGAAAGGAAAGCCCTATGAATTTCACACAGGTGCTAAGGTTGCTGTGTTCACATGGCACGGCTGCACTGTGGAGTTGCGTGGCCGTACCGAAGTTAGCTATATTGCCAAGGAAACACCAATGGTGAGATATTTTTTTTCTAATTACAGTAGTTTGCACACAAGCCAATATATTCCCATAACTAATTTGCTAAAGGTTTGATGAGCTGATTGCAAGATATGGATAAGGAAAAAAATTGATAAGAATGTCCACTGTCACACACTTTGTCCATCTGTCACACCTCACTCCACCAATCTCATGTAATTAAATTAATAATGTCCCTTTTTCCCCATTTTGTTTAAACATTGTAACTAGCTGACTGGCATAATATTGTTTGCTTCATATTTCCCCGTTTTTGTAACATTTTTATTTGAAACTCTGCACCTATTGGTTGTATATATAATGTGATGTTATATAGCCTATAACATTGATAGGTGACTATGTAACACTAAAATAAATATCAAAATCGGTTCAATAGACCCATAAGTAACTCCTTACAGCGTGATGAACATTTACCTATTATTTATTTTCATTTACCTCTTTATAATCTAATAAAATTTTTGTGTTACAGATTTCATTTTAAACTCCTCCGAAACAGCTTGACCGATTTTGACGAAATTTTATTATGATTCAGTAGGTCTGAGAATATGTTATAACTAATTTTTATACCCCTAAGCATTAAGGGTGGTTCACCCAAATATGTTTTTATTATTTCCACAAAATTTCTTTTATTATATGGCTTTAAAAAATACATACAACCCTAAATTTTCACTATTCTATCACCAACCCCTATTTTTTAATAGCGATAATTAATATTGCAAAACAATGTTTTATATGTCACATGTTGTATGGCAAAACAACGTTTGCCTGGCCAGCTAGTACTAATATAGATATACAAGTTTAGAATAGAATAGAATAGAAAATCATTTATTCAAATAAACTTAATTTAAGTACTTTTGAATAGTCAACAATTTTTATTATATATAAATATACCGCTTATTCGGAAAGCTGTTTCATCACAAGAAGAATAAGCAAGAAACTTGTGAAAAATTGTTTAAATTTTGTCATCAGGTTATTTATCTAAATGTGCATGCGGCACTTGAGCAGCAGCGCGTAGCAGCAGAACAGGAGAGCACGCGGGGCCCTGTCACCATGATTGTGGGCCCGGGGGATGTGGGTAAATCTACGTTAACTAGGATATTACTGAATTACGCCGTCAGAATGGGGCGCAGGCCCATTTATGTGGACTTAGACATTGCTCAGGGGCATATCAGTGTCCCTGGAACTATAGGTTTGTAACTTGTTTTATTGTTTTTTGTGGCATCGGAACAGGCTAGCACAGTATTTCCCAACGTGATTCCTACGCCGCACAGGGGGGCAATTCGAAAATGGACTTTTTATTAAAATTATATGAAATGTTAATTTCAATTTTCTTTTAAATTGCTTATCTACTATTTCATTAACAATTTCCTAATGATTTCTTCAAAGCGAAGAAAAGGCTAAGGTGGGACATAGCATTAAAAAAGTTGGGAAATACTGAACTAGCAAGTGGTTTGATAGGAAATAATGCAGGTGAATTGTCAGTCTTATAAAACAAATATGTTCTTATCTTAAAATATTATGCTAAATATATATCAGTAAATATTATTTTACCGTAGTGAAGTAACAAATCTAACGTAGTAGTAGTACACCGGCTTACGTCCGATGGTCGCAATTCCGCAAACATTTGCATTCAAGAGTATGATTTTTCCCGATAGTCAGGGTGTTGTATGTATATCAGTTGTCTAATACTCATCAGGTGCTTTATTAGTGGAAAGACCGGCATCAATCGAGGAAGGTTTCAGTCAGCAGGCACCACTCGTATACCACTTTGGGCACAAGTCACCCAGTGAGAATTTAGAACTATACAATACTATAGTGTCCAGGTTGGCAGAGGTCGTAACCGAGAGGTGCGAGAACAATAAAAAAGGTAAATAAAATAAAAAAATATATATTCATTCATTTCTTTCACCCTCTTATCATAATAAGCAAGTCATTAATATTTTTATCACTCCCTACCATCCTCTCTGATCGATCCCCCGTCCGATTCAATCGGGGATCGAAATAACGACGGCCTGAGCCGAGGTTCGAACCCCTAGCGGTGCCCCCAGACTTGGCGGGAGTTAGCCTTCAGCCGCTCCATAAGTCCTTCCGCGGGTTTGGAGTGCCATCTGCACTCGCCCCCTATCATCCGGTGAAGCTGTAAAGGCCAGCTGCGGCCATTAGAGTAGCCCTAAAAAAACTTTATACCGTCCAATGCGGCTAGCTACTCAGTTGAGAAGAACTGCTAAGAAATTCAACAGATATATATGTCATTATTAATTTAACCAGTTTATATCGTAACACCAGCTTTAAGAGTCCATAATTAAATGTTTTTTTTTATAATTTTATAAGATTTTTTTATGTCAATTACATAAAAAATTACATATAATTTTATAAGATTTTGTTATGTAATTGACATAAAAAAATCTTAAAAATTATATAAAAAAACATTTAATTATGGACTCTTAAAGCTGGTGTTATGATTTAAACTTCATAAAAAAACTTCATACCGTCCAATTCGGCTAGCTACTCAGTTGAGAAGAACTGCTAAGAAATTCAACAGATATATATGTCATTATTATTATTTAACCAGTTTAAATCATAACACCATCTTGAAGAGTCCATAATTAAATGTTTATTTTTATTAATTTTATAAGATTTTTTTATGTAATTGTAACGCCAAACTGACGACCCACCTGATAGTATGAAAAAATTAGTTTCAATGCACAGATGACAGTAGAATTAACTCTTGCAGCTTCCACTTCCGGCGTTATAATCAACACGTGCGGCTGGATCAAAGGCCCTGGGTACAAAGTGCTTACTCACGCAGCGCAAGCTTTCGAGGTGAGGATTACCTCTATAATTCTATATGTATATGCCATTCTTCTTTGTAGTTTTCGTAAATATATGTTGTAAAACAATAGACATGTTTATTTTTAAAATTCCATGTTTACTATGCATCTAATCTTATATATAAAATTCTCGTGTCACAGTTTTCGTTCCCATACTCCTCCGAAACGGCTTAACCGATTCTCATGAAATTTTGTGAGCGTATTGAGGTCTGAGAATCGGCCAACATCTACTTTTCATCCCCCTAAATGTTAGGGGTAGTCCACCCCTAATTTTTTATTTTATTTTAAGGCAAAACAACGTTTGCCGTGATAGCTAGTTAATATTATACAAGCGAAAGTTTCTGAGTATGGATGGATGGTTAGTTCACGCAAAAACTACTGAACTGATTTTAATGAAACTTTACAATAACATAGCTTATACATTAGAATAGTACATACAAATTAGACGCGGGTGAATCCGCGGGCTAGTTATTTATATTGTTAACCAGATCTTACCACGAATAATTTATCTAAGAATACGAAAGCTAATACGTAGGTACCCCTTGGAGTTCAAGAGAGTTTTTATGTGTATTTTGTTATTATAATTCTTTATTATTTTAGCCGCATTCAAGTATCTCTGCACATCCCAAAGGTTGACTGGGAGAGAATGCTATAGCATATCCACCTTTTGGACCAATTTTAGTGGTCAATAAAGCAAATAAACAAATATTTTTTTTCTGATTTTTGTAGGTTGATGTGATATTAGTATTGGATAACGAAAGGTTGTACAATGAGCTGAAGAGGGATATGCCGAAGTTCGTCAAAGTCGTCTACTTGCCGAAGAGCGGAGGTGTAAGTACTAAACACTTCTCCACTATTTATAATTATTGTAGTATTTTTTATTCGAGTGAAGGTCAACGTGATAGGGTACATTGTTGGTAATAAGCCTAATAATCCTATTGCATCCCATGTGGAAAGGGACTCCATCACTCGTCGGTCACAGCTTAATGCCTACATGACGCCAGCAGTGTACGCAAGAGACGACATAATGCTTCCAGCTCTTTCCCACATACTACAGGGGGTACTCCACGGCTATATGACACGTTCGTTGTTTAAGGTTGTGGAACGATCGACGACGCAACGCGCAGAGTTCCGAGACTCTAGGATCCGGGAATATTTCTACGGGAAGAGAACACCGTACTATCCGCATTCGTTCGACGTCAAATTCAGTGATCTCAAAATTTACAAGGTAATATTTATATGTACTGCATTTATTTACTATTACTTAGCTAGTATATATAATATATATCAGCAACTTCCTTCCTTAAGAGCGCGTAACGTGATAATGAATCTGTATATTTGTTATTTGTATATCATATTTGCCTATAATAGACCTATGAATAACAATATTATCTACATACAATCACTGTTACATATTACTACGTTATTTCTGATACTGTTCTTTCTGATATGCCGACATATAATAATAAATATATAATAATAAACTGACACACTCACGCGAGGCTCGAAAGGAGGGGGGGGGGGGGTCAAATATAACAAAATATCACGTGAAGTGAAGTGGAGGATATCCCCTGACCTCGAAAGCTTGCTTAGTAGCTAGTAATTAATGGACATGTACGTAATGACCGTGTTATTTAGTATTGTGTGTGTATGTCCTGTATGTCCGGTGCAGGTGGGCGCGCCGTCGCTGCCGGACTCGTGCATGCCGCTGGGTATGCGCGCGGAGGACGCGCTCACCAAGCTGGTGTCGGTGTGGCCGACGTCTGCGCTGCAGCACCGCCTCCTCGCGGTCTCCTTCGCCGCCGCGCCCGACGACGACGTGCTGCACTCCAACCTCGCAGGCTTCGTATGCGTGTACGTATATCTTTGCTTACGTTCAGTACATATCCGTCAGGCAGGAGTTGGCCTTCAGGCGCTCCATAAGGTTATCCGCGGGTTTGGAATGCCACCTGCAGTCGCCTCCTATCAGTCGATAGATGTAAAAACTAGCTAGAACCCAAATAGCGTTAGAGTAGTAAAAAAAAAATATAATTTTTACGGTGTACACCTAGGGTTGCCAACATTTTTTGACATGAAAAAACGTACAAACTGCTTTGGATAGGAAAAATTAAGTATTAGGATAAAAAAGTTTAGTTTCAAAATCTCATGTTTTTATTGTTTTAAAAACGTATTTTTGTGTGCTTTTAACACTAGAGCTGTGACAATTTACATCCAACATTTCGTTCAGTAGTTATAAATCGTTAAGTACCCATAATGAGTATTTTGTTTTACACATCACAATAAAGGTTGAAAATAAAGTAGGATACGTTATCATAAAGTATGGCTGGCAACCCTATGTACACCGCAAGACCACCGAGCCTTTGATGAAAGAGAGACCATTGTTAATAATTATTACTATCCCCTCAGTACGGCCGTGGACATGGAACGGCAGACCCTGACAATTCTGTCGCCGCAGCCGCGTCCGCTCCCCAACACTGTGCTGCTCCTCTCCGAACTGCAGTACATGGACAACCATTAGCACGCCGCGACACGTCTAGACACGTCTAGACGCGGCTGGATTCGTCGCTACGTGCGCACATCGCATCTCACTGTACATACCAATGCTCATGTTACATTGTTAAGTATTTAAGAATTTAGTTTAGTAAATAAATTTGAAGTAAATTATGTTTTCCTTTTATTTTTTAAGACAATGTGTGTGTATATATCCGGATGACTATCCGGTGAAGTAAACTGATAAAACTAAAAAATCATCCTATAGGCTCACTCGCTGCTACTTCGTAAAAACTCGCTGTACTTTATTAAAACCTCATTAATAATTTATTTCATAATTTTCAAATAGAAAACGCTGTGTTCTCAAGAGCACGATTGCCTTTTGTTTCTGTCCTTCTTGAATATTATCATCACCGCTGATTACAACCATATTTCAAAAGAATACAAGCTGAGTTTCTTGTCAGTTCTTCTCATCTTGAAATCATTCCGAAATGATGGTATATTTGACATATTATAAGAGTCTGTAATAGACCTACATGAATAAAGATATTTTGATTTGATATATCGATTATTATTATAAAAATATATAATTACAATTTGAGTTTCAACGCACACGGACCTCGTTGAGATTCAATCAAAGTGTTCAATTAAGTCCAAGTGAATACAGGTAGAAGCTCCTCTGAAACCACTTAGGTTCCAGCGTGTGGGGATAAATTCCCTGACGATGACAAGCGATGGGATGGTAAAATCCGTAGGTACTATTGTTTAAAAATACAAACAACAGTTCTGTGCGATGTCGTATATTTACAAAAACATAAGAGGTAGTTAATATCTAAGCATAAAAGGAAGACTAGTTCAATTTAAAAGACTTTTCAAATCATTCTATAATTTCAATATCCATATTTATATAAAAAAAATAATACATAATAATCTCAAGAACCATAAACAAAATACTACTGTTATATTTTTTTTTAACACCTGCAAAAGAAACAAAGTATACCTCTAATTCCGCCATGCGTCTTTGTCTATGTTGCCATTGTTACTAACTACCGAATTTATTCCAAAATATAAATTATTCTATACTCATTATTCTATTGACTAATTTCCATATAATTTAGTATTAGACGTTATTATCACAAATATTATTTACTGAGCAATGGACTCCCAAACTAATATTAATATAATAACTACATGTTAATTTACACATTGATACAGACAACATTACAATACCTTTATCAAATTTTTTTACACTACACACACTACACTGCACTATTGATTGAAATTCCTTAGCCCTTTCAGTCCTGACAAACAGACGGGACAGACATTCTTTACGTTGAAGGTTGGCCTATACGTGACTATTATACCCCTTAACCGAAAGAAGTCCTGATTGATTTATGACGTCACTAATAGCTGTCTTTACACGACACGTTCTTTCACGTGCGATCTAGAGAGGAATAACCAGAGCGCGCACACGAGTAATCACTCGCAATTTGTATGTGTGTGATTGCACGTATGTTTTAAGTAATTTCCCATTCTTTTCAAATTTTATATTTGATTCCACAGAATTTATTTTCTATAACACGTTTTATAATGAGAATTAATTATTACAAAATGGCGCTAAAGCACGCACGATTGCTGTACGTGGGATGCGCTCACTGGCGACGCGCAGACTCTCTTTCTCGTTCTCTTTGTCTACATTATGCACATTCATTCCTGTGTGAAAGCCGATTCGCGTGTGAAGTATGTAAGAAAGAGTGTACGTGTAAAGGCAGCTATTGTGTTTTTAAGTTGTAACTCATGCCCAGTGTCAAATCTGAAAGGAGTACTGTGCGGGCTGAGCGGCTAGGCAAGTCTACGAGTAACAACATGGCAGTACTAACTAAAAATATAAAAAAATTGCCCATATAAATCAGTCATCATTTAGAAGTATATACAGAAAAATGAATTTAATAGCAACTATTTGTTTTTATTTAACAATAACAATTATTCTATTGAATAAAATTAAAGATTTCAAATTATTTTTTCAAGTGAATTAATTATTATTTTCTGAGCCCAAGATCTACACGCTATCGAAAGCAAATTATGTCAACTGAAGGGAGTTTAAGTCCACCAGGTTTACTGCTAATCTACAGTTTAGTACCATTCACACATTCGACTTAGTGAGACGATTGTTCTGTGCATCTTCATTCTTATTGGCGCATTACCGAAAGGGGCGGGGCATAACTACCAAATGCACCAATCGAATACCAACTGAATAGTGTGTGTCCACACTTAGTCGTCGTTTCTACAAACAAATCTAAGAGATATTCAACATTAGTTGTGTTGTCTGTTTTTACTATTCTGCCCACGTGTGTCGCTACTGTGCCCGTTGTGTTTGATGTGTGCTTGAGCATACTTGATGGCTACTAGCATTGCGTCTTGCACCAGTTGCTCGCAGTTTATTAGGCTTACCTGTATGTACATACAATAAATAAACAACCCTGAACAATCAACATAACGCCATCTAATCCCACGGTAAGCAGAGCTTGTGTTATGGTTACTAGACAACTGATAGAAATATTTTTTTTGTATATACATATATAGTATACATAGAAAACACCCAAATAATCATTAGTTATGAATACAAATGATTGCACCGTGCGAGGAATCGAACCCGCGAGCATCAGAAGTAAAGCGATGTGCTAGACCGCTAGAACATGAAGTCCGTCAATATTTATTTATTTCTACTTATATCCTACAATACACACAAAAGATACGTCTAAATCATATCAGAATTAACTAATATTGATGACAATAGAAATATTGTGTATCAATTTATATTTCTGAATCACTGGCTTTTTATTAAGGGTTATAGTTAGTAATGATTAGTGGTCCCAATCGTTAGAAATATACCCTATTATCCGGACTTCGTTACGATTTGCCCTAGGAACCCTTATGGCTGCGGAACTCGCCACGGCTAACTAATCTGACTTCATCTTCATCCTAGCATCCTCGGCTGTAGCCCATCTCTAAGTGATCCTTTTTTTATGACTTGGAGAAAATCTCTCATGGATCCTCCCGCCCGCCCCGGGGGAGGCGAGCGGGTACTGTGATACTCCTATTCACTAAAAACTCGCTCTCTCTCTTGTTAATCCTTACTGCTGAGGCGCGCTACTGCGCGACTGTACACTATCTTGTCGGCCATCTGTCGCCATCGGTTGCGCTCAGACGCCTGGTGTATTGTGGTGCTGACAGTAAGATGTCCCTCACTTATCGCCATAAGCCGGCGCCGGGATCGAGTATCAGTCCACCGCGACAACTAACTAATATTCTAACATGTAGCATTAGAACCAGTGGGTTCACCATAATCACGCATTAAAGAAAATGACTTTCCTACGCTTAAAACACCGACAACATTTATTGACTCGCGATGTTTTTCTATCACTTAAATTCGAAGGAGACCACGACATTCTTAACTATTATACATACTAGAAAGTAACATATATGTAGTAACCTTAGCGGCAGTCATTTCTGCGTAGAGTGTGGGTTCGATGCCTGCGGTGGTCCGTAGTTTGGAACCAAACACCGCTGCAACGCAGCCGAGCCACCGCTCTGCGCAGAACGACGAGTTCACCATCCCCTGGAAATAAATTATCATCATCACTGTGCCAATTAGTTCCCAGAGATACCTAGTGAAGTTAAATGATGACTATAGCCAATATACACGAACAACGTTATGTATCATTATATATATCTTCTTATGTATAAAATTCTAGTGTCACAATGTTAGTTACCATACTCTTCGAAACGGCTTGACTGGTTATTGTGAAATTCTATATGCATATAGTTCTGAGAATCGGCTACTATCTATTTTCATACCCCTAAGTGATAAGGGTTGTCCACCCCTAACCTTTTTTTTATATTTTGGTAAACTTTTTATAATGTGGTATTAAAAAATACAGAAATCCTAAATTTTCTTCTATCAACAACCCCTATTTTTTAATACCAATATTACTACTGAAATTTGTATGGCAAAACAACGTTTGACGGGACAGCTAGTAAATATGTAAAGGAACCTGACCTGCGGCACCCTGCACGTGGCGAGGATGTTACCTCCGGCGCAGCCCAGCAGCAGCGACGGCGCCTGCGTCCCATCGTCGGGCGCTCCGCCGGCGGTCAGGGCTCCGCCAGCGGCCAGTGCCTGCGCCAAGCCGTCCGCTTGCATCAGGTACGAGCACCGCAGGAAGTGCACCACAAAATTCCGACCAGCGTTTTGCGCCTCCGCGAACACCTCGCGCACTTCCGCTTCCGCGATAGCCCTACCCATTATAGTAAGTCTTTATACAGGTATTATAGAGGAAAAAGGTATACTAAGTCTAGTTGTTCCGTATTCCGAACCTCCTTAGTCTAAGCAGGTTGTATCACCGGCTTGCTTACTGGAGCAAAGGGCGCTTGGTAATACTGGCCACATATAAAAACATGTGGCCACTTAAATTTCAAAAAAATAATAATAAAACAATTGAAAATAAGTACTGGAACAAAAAGGACGCTCCGTATTTTTATCTATATAAAACAAGATAATTAAGGAATTATTTAACACAATATAATTGTTTTTGATGAAAATATACACTCTAGAGTGCGTGGCCACTAAACAGTACTACACATCGGGACGTTCCTGAACAAAGGTGAGTAAGTTTGGTGTTACATTGCTTACTTTGGGGTGTTCGGAGTGTGGAAGACGTTCTTCCAGGTCGAAATCGTATTTTTACTTCCTTTTCCATTAATTATTTTCTTTTCAATAAATACAGTCCACTCTCTCTTTTATATATTAATTTATAAGGTTTCGTAATCCAACACTACTATTGTAACTTATTACTAATAACTAATTGAGCCAGCGCGATATCTTATTCATACAAAAAAACGTGTAATATTTATTACAAAGAATCGGTAACAATATTCATTAGTATTCCATTTAAAACGATTAACTCCGATTTTCATTCATATAAACTATCAATGTTACATATTTCTTATTATGGCAATGACAGCCGATGTTAGGGCAGTATCTTTTGTTGTTACTGTATTTTTAATATAACAGCTTTGAACCCATTTTTCTCTAATAAATTATATGGTTCCAGGGAAAGTTGTTTGTTCAAATTCAAAATCATTTATTCACGTAGGACATTTTGGTCGCTTATGAACTTTAAATATTTACATATTTTCGTTATATCCTGGCATATTCGTATATTTCCGACTAATCCTATATATTATTGGAATGATCAACAAGAACAAAATCTTAAAATCCTAACAGAAAAATAATACAAGAAATACTTTGTCCCATAAGTTGATGTCAACTTATGGGACAAAGAGTGATAGTGAAACAGGATGCAAACATTAGTATTCCAAGTATTTCTTGTATTATTTTTCTCTCCTAGGATTTTAAGACTTTGTGACACGGATGGCGTTCTAAAAAATATAATGATGTAAACTCACTGTAATGCCATCTCGTTCTTATTAACATCTCTCTTCAGTAACGTATTGACGCGCGCGAGACAATGTGCGTGCTCGCCGTACGGCGCCCCGGTAGACCCGCAAAGTTCTAGAAGCTGCTGTTTTATGCGGGATATTTCTTCTTCACGACGCTCGGAGCTGACCAGATCGATAACTTGCTCTAGCTTCTCTGCTCGGCAGAAGAGTTCGCGTACCTATTATAAATAGGTTTTTAGTACAGTAATTATAGGGGTTAAATTATGAAATTGTTGTTCTATAGTAAGAGATACTTTAAATTGACATAAAACCTTTATGGTGTGATATTTTCGAATGAAACCTTTTCAGTCTTAAAAAATGTGTAACATTCAATTTTCGTCTTTCAGTTGTTTATTTATTCAGATTAGACGTAAAATATGAATATGTAGGATAAATATAAAATATACTATTTGACTATACAGCTTATATTAAGTTTATTTGGATAGGGATTATTTCTATGCCTGTTTTGGTCCATGTTGACTACTTGGACCGAAACAGACAATTGTAATTTTGTTACTTTATATAACGAAAATATTCATAGAAAAAATACAGACAAAAATGTATATATTAGTATATGTAATAATATCTCAGTAGTGTAGGTAATTATGCATTATTATAAAGTAAATGTCGGGTAGGCTGAATCAACAATAAAGGCAGTCCCAACTAGCAACTGGTCTTTGAGGCACGTCCTCCTTGCATCCTATATTATTATATACATAAAAACATACATAACAAGTAGTTTACTACCCATACAACAACTTCATTTATTTTGTAATAACAACTAGATAAACTAGATAAGAAGTGTATGATTAGTAGAATTATTATTTTTCATTATATTTATTTAAATTAAATTTTATACATATATTATATTAATACAAATGATATAACTGACCTGTTTAGCGGCGTCTCCGGTAAGCGCGTGTATGGTGGGCGTGTTGCCACCGGCACCTTTAACGTTGGTGATGCAGAAGTCTTCAATAATTCCGGTAGAGGGCACGTGTGTTCCACAGCATAGTTCTCTATACATATAACATACTAATTGTTCTTATGACATCTTAGAATTACTAATTAAATTATTGACGGCCTCGCTGGTCTAGCGGTTTAACACACCAACTTACCTCCGATAGTCGCGTGTTCAATTCCTAACACGGTAAAAGAAATTGTATTCATGAGTATGATTGTTTGTATCGGTCTGGGTGATGTCTATCTTATATATAAAATTCTCGTGTCACAGTTTTCGTTCCCATACTCCTCCAAACGGCTTGAACGATTCTCATGAAGTATTGTAAATTGTGTATATGTATTTATTTTATTTTTTAGACAAAATTTTTAGTTTCTTTTGATACAACATACAAAAATACATACAATCCTAAATTTTCACCCTTCTATCATCAACCCCTATTTTTTTATAGCGTTATTAATTTATATGGCAAAACAACGTTTGCCGGGACAGCTAGTGTTATATATATATTTGTCAGTTGTTTAGTAACACAAGCTCAGTTTAGCTTGGAGTTGGTCACACTAGATACACAATTAGTCCATAAGAATTTTGGATGGGGTATGGCCCTAAAAAAGCTAAAAAGCTTGGGAAACACTAAGTTAGGCCGTCAGCTTCTCTACCCTTCTAATTCTGTAAAGAAAATGTAACAGTATCTCGCAAAAGCATTTATTACCATGACTTACTTGGAGAGCAGCGGCGCCTTCACTCCCACCAGCCGCAGCCCACTCTCAGGGTACACCTGTCCGGGCACCGTGGTCACCAGCTCCGTCTCCACCACTTGAGGGTCCTCCACTAGCCTGGTTTCCACATGAGCATTCGCCTGGATCGATTGCCTGTTAATGAAATTAAAAGTCATTATATAAAAAAAATTAAGTTCATAAACTGGTAAAAAGTCCTAATAATGATTTTTATAGGACATTTTAGCCTAAATGATATTTGAATTTGGATAATAATGAATATTTTACGCCCTCTGTGGTTTAGGATACCGGCTTAGTTCCGATCGCCGCGGGTTCAATTCCTCGCACAATATATTTCTATTCATGAGTATTATTGTTTGTAGCGGTCGAGTGTTTATATGTATGTATTTATATATGTATCCGTTATATAATACCCATAACACAAGCTTTAGGTTACTTGGGTCTAGAGCGCTGTGTGAATTGTTCTGAGATTATTTATTATTTAATATAATAAATTAGATAAATTGAAGTGATGGTTATAACACACTAGGCGGAATTTCAGCCATTGCTAAACAACATTGCTAAACATACCTTATTAATTCTTGTGCCTGCAACACTACATCTTGCGACAATTTCTCGCCGTAAACCGACAAATTTAAATACAGCCCTTTCTCGGTTACACCAGAACCAATTTGACACACCACACTATTTGGTAGGACTTGTTTTATAGCCGCATTCAACAAGTGAACACCGGTATGATTTCTCATTATATTCAGTCTTCTAGCACTATCTATTTCTAAACTTACATCACTTTTATAATTTATATAATTACAATCTCCACCTTTGTTCGCTTCGAAATAACCCTTATGAAATACGAAGCCTCGAATCTTGAAAACGCTATCTACTTTTAAGGCCACATCTTTATTTAGTCGTATAATACCACGGTCAGCGATTTGACCTCCTTCTTCGCAATAGAAATTTGTGTCTTTTGTTACTAAATAATAAGGTCTGCTTTCACATGGTTCTAAATAGTCTATCCATTCGCAGTCTTCATTCAAAATTGCTACTACATTAGTCTTCAACGGTTCGAATTGAATTTTGTTGTCTATGACTAAGTACTCATATTTGTGCGAGTCGTTCGTTGATGTCGTACCACTTTTAATAAGTTTCTCTATGGTTTGATCAAACAATAAGCCTTTGTTAGAACTCTGTTCTTTAAAGGCTGTCTTATGTCTAGATTTGTGCTGTGACAGAAGTTTCCAGAATTCCTTTTTGTCTATTTCCAAGCTGTTTAATTTAGCTATCCTCTCAATTAGTTCCTCTTGGAAACCATGTGTGTCATACAATTTGAAAACTAAATCCCCTGGTATTACTGTTGCATTTTGTTTAGACACCGTCTGTAAAAACAAATATAATTACATGAAATAAATAAAAGTGAGTTACAGTACCAAAGATGTGAGCATCTACACGGGATTTCAGAGAATCTTACTAATTCAAATCCAAAATCATTTATTGTAGGACTTTTTAGCTATTAATAAACGTTAAGTTTGTAAAAATTCAATTAAGAAGAACTAGCAAGAAACTCAAACTGAATTTCTTTTATTTAAATGTTTATTTTTATTGTTTACTTATATTGGTGTCTATGTCCAACAATAAATTAAAATCCACGTTTGCCATGCACATTAACACAGCGCCATCTAGTACCAGGGTAAGCAGAGTTTGTGTTATGGATACTAGAAAACTGATATAAATACTTTGATATTTTTTATGTATACATAGAAAACACTCAGACTGATACAATCAATCATACTCATGAATACAAAAGTTTGTACCGTGCGAGAAATCGAACCCGCGACCATCGGCAGTAAAGTGATATGCCCAACCGCTAGACCACTGAGGTCTTTTACACTCACCTCTTTAAACTCCTTATAACCCAACGCAAAACCACCTAATTCCACGTCACTCAACACTTCAACTTCCGGATATTGCTTGACCAGGTCCCTCCACTTCTTCGCGAGGCCGGCCCTCATCTTCTCGTACGCTTGCATCTCATGTTCGATGATCACTTTGGCATCCTTCTCTTTGGTTTCCAGTTCTGGATATGTTGTGCCAAGAGTATTCATTACTTCGTCATACAGACAGGCAAGTAAGCGAGGGTTATGGAATACATCTGTTGATATTTTGAATGATTTCCGCATGACCTGTTTTAGATTTAAGCTGAAAAGCAAAACAGTTTTAAACGTTTGGAATGGAAAATTAACTACAAAAAAACTGTATTTATTTAGAATAGAATAGAATAGAATAGAATAGAATAGAAAATCATTTATTCAAATAAACTTACATTGAAGCACTTTTGAATAGTCATTACATTTTTTAATCTACCGCTCGTTCGGAAAGCTGTCTCATCACAAGAAGAACGAGCAAGAAACTTGCGTGTTGCTCTTTTAAATAATTTTATTGTTACTTTACATTTTTAAGTTTAAGTGTGTGAATACAAACCACCAATTAGCACTAATTCTATTAAATACTCAAATAGAAATAATATTGAATATATAACAAACTGGTTAAACAATTAATAAGAGGAAATCAGTCATAGTGATTAGAGCAGACCAGTCCCTACAAGCAGCACCCGTTCACGAGTATGACGGATGAGCCAGCCATCACTGCGCTCGACCATATTTTAGGGAGCCCAATGACCCGGCCCACCACGCCGCCACAAGTCTGGACATTTTAGTGAGCATGACTACTCAAAACACTAGACTACGTCAAAGCTTTACAATTGCTATCTGATAGTTATAGTTTACATTTTACATAAGAATGCATGCGGCAATCAATACAAAAACCGCTACTCTTTCATATTTCTAAAATCAATCAATTAAATCAAGAAAGCAATGAGAAAATTAAATTATAACGTTGTATGCTAATAAACTAGTTATTTACTTGATATGTTGTCGTCTATGAATTCGTCTATCCTGTAATAGGCTTTCTTACACAAAAATTGTTTAATATAAGATTTGAATTGCCTCTCTGTCAGATTTAGTGCAGATTCTGGCAGTTTATTATAAAATCTTACGCAATTACCATAGAATGAATTACTGACTTTGTGCAGGCGGCATTTAGGTAAAATTAGCTTATTTTTATTGCGTAAGTTTCTATTTGTACAGTCTTTAAGTTTTCTAAAACTCTCTAAATTCTTCCGTGTATACATGATATTCTCATAAATGTATTGTGAAGTAACGGTGAGGATATTTGAATCTTTAAAACACTGACGTAATGACTCTCTTGAACCCATACCATAAATAGAACGTATGGCTCTTTTGTAAAATAAATATAGTATTTATATCGGCTGCTTTACCCCACAGTAGTATACCATATGACATAATGCTATGTAACTAAAGTATACAAGTTTAGCCGTCGCCACGTCTGTTAATTGCCTAATTCTTCTAATTGCATATGCAGCTGAACTGAGTCTATTGGCCAATTTTGAAATATGGGGCCCCCATTGTAATTTCGAGTCCACTGTTATACCTAAAAAAACTGTATCATTAACAAAATTTACTATTTCATCATTAAGCAATAACTGTGTATTTATTGGTCTTACATTAGGAAGTGTAAATTTTATACACTTTGTTTTGCTGGAATTTAATAATAGGTTATTACATGTAAACCAATTTAATATAGCAGACATAGCACAATTTACATCGTCTAATTGATTAGTTTGACGTCCAATTTTAAACACTAACGAAGTATCATCCGCAAACAGCACTATATCTGCAATTTTCTCTACCATAAAGGGAAGGTCATTTATGTAAATTAAAAAGAGAAAGGGGCCTAAGATTGACCCCTGTGGAACGCCCATCCCAATATTAGCTCCCTTAGATTTTATACCGTCAATATCTACAGTTTGGACCCTAAAATAAGTTCTCATTAATTTTAGATCATTATCTTTTATACCATAATGTTCGAGCTTGTACAAAAGTGTTTTATGATCCACGCAATCAAATGCCTTTGATAGGTCACAAAAAACTCCGAGTGCATCCTGTGACTTCTCCCATGATTGGAAAATATGTGTTATCAGCGCTACACCTGCGTCAGTGGTAGACTTGCCGGCGGTGAAACCATATTGTTGACTGTGAAGCAGTCGGTTATCCCTAAAGTGTTGTAACATTTGATTTAACATTATCTTTTCAAACACCTTACTTAGAACTGGCAAAATAGATATAGGTCTATAGTTCCCTGGCTCAAATTTATCACCTGATTTAAATAGTGGGATTAATTTGCTAAATTTCATTAATTGTGGAAAAGTGCCATTATCAATACATTTATTAAAAATAATAGCTAGATATGGAGCAACAATATCTATGAAAGAACTAACTACTTTTACAGACATGCCCCAAAGGTCTTCTGTATTTTTTAAATTTAGATGTTTGAATATTTTTATGATATGAACGGGGCTAACATGTGAAAATTTAAATCTTAAAGCACAACAACCGATATTAGACTCTAGTAATATTTTTGCTCGAGATGGAGATGAGTCCAGAGAAGATGTAATGTTAATCGGAATGTTAGCAAAAAAATCTTCAAAAACATTAACTACATCTTTTGTTGCTGTTATTAATTTATTATCATAATTTAATGCAAATTGATTATAGGCTAATTTAGATCTTCCGGTTTCTTTATTTATAATGCCCCAGATGGTTTTAATTTTGTCAGAAGACTGGTTAATTTGTTTATTAATATAATTAGATTTAGCCGTAATACAAACTTTTTTAAAAATTTTTGAATAATTTTTCACATAAGTGGTGAATTTGTCATCAAATCGATATTTTTTTTGATCGTATAAATCAAACAAAATATTTCTACTTTTAAGTATACCTACTGTTGCCCATTCCGTGAATTTAGATTTAACATAAACTTCTTTTTTCTTGAAAAATTGTTCATATTCTCCTGATAGAATAGTAATTAGCTTGGTGTAAAGATAATCAGGATTATTACTAGATTGTAACAGCAAATCCAATTTATTTTTAATCGCTGCTAAATAGATGATTTTCTTTCACACTTTAATAAATACTAGTGGGTACAACTAGTATTAACTAAAGCAACTTCATCCACATGGAATTTATCTTTATTTTATTGAAATAATTTAAAATCTTATATTAAAAGTGGGCTAAGTGATTCTTTCTAACATTAGCTATCTGTGAGTGAAAGTCCCGTCAAAATCGATCATGCAATTTCAGAGACATATTTATGTATGTAAGTACTTTGTATATACTTTCATACGCATTTAGTGAAAATCTGTTAATATGCAATTACAAACGGACACTACAATTGTATTTACGTATATGTTATTAATATTATAAACGCGAAACTTTGTGAGTATGGATGGATGTTTGTTAGTCTTTCACGCAAAAACTAATGAACGGATCTTGATGAAACTTTACAGTAATATAGCTTATACATCAGAATAACACATAGGCTAAAATTTAAAAATATATTATGTAAATTAGGCGTAATATAATAAATATCAAGTAAGTATGATGCAAACATTGCGCGGTTCAATTAGTGATTCATAAATAAAAATGGCGACTGCCAGGGAGTTAATGATATAAATAATAGTTTTAATAATTACTTGGCAGCAGGGAACGCGCCGTCCGCCAAACAAACAGCCACCATGCGTGCGTGGTCGGCCAACCGTCTGTAAGCGGTGTCTAAAGTAGCCTCTGGTCCGTACCGATGGCTGTATGCCGGTGTACCTTTGCTGTTCTAAATAAAAAAAGTAAAATATAAGTAAAAAATTAAAAATATATAATAAAAAAAAACAAACACTATGATAATGTGCATGCTATTACAATATGTACAATATTGTAATGTGCATGCTATTACAATATTGTACATATTGTAATAGCATGCACATTATCATAGTATTTGTTATTTTATAGCATAGGGCTTAAACGAGCTTGCGGCTCAGCTGATGCTAAGTGATTATCGTGCTATAAGGGGCGGCAAACATGTTATAAGAGACACTGATCCGTATGTGCTATACGTCAATAAGGTGTTATATCTAATTTAGGTTTAGAGCATCCTCATAATGGATTACTCAACTTTCTGCTGTTTGATGTATGTATTAAGTAGTATATTAACATTGATTATAAGAATAAACGAAGCACTATATACACTCAAATGTTGTACCTATCATTTGCCTAACAAGCACCACCCTTATAAATAAATTAGTTTTGATTTATAATAATATAATAATAATAATATTTCAGAATAATTCACACAGCGCCATCTATTCCCAAGCTAAGCAGAGTTTGTGTTATCGGTACTAGACAACTGATATAAATACATGGATACATTTTTTTTGTAAATAAATACATATTATACATAGAAAACACCCAGACCGATACAAACAACCATACTCATGAATATAAATGTTTGTACCGTGCGAGGAATCGAACCCACGACCATTGAATAGTAAAGCGGTGTGCTAAACCACTAGACCACCGAGGCTGTTTTGAATGACATTAGAATTTGATTTGATTGACATTATAGTGTATCAAACAGTATATTATACCTTGTGTATGGCTTGTATGATGGGCTGGAACAGGTCGGTGTGGTAGTTGGTGGGCACGCCCTGCAGCAGCGCGGCGGCCCGCTCCAGGCCCAGGCCAGTGTCAACGTGCTGCCGCCGCAACGCAGACACACTGCCGTTCGATTCTCTGGCGGGACACAGTACTTATCAATACTGCCTTTACACATACACTCTTTTACTTAATTTCATACGCTCTTCAGCTAACCTAAAATAACTTTTTATATAAAGATATACAGGGTTTTTTTTATGGATGATAATGGATTGGTGCACCCGTCTGCGCTAACGGTTTACGCTGGCGGGGCACTAGTGGAGGATTATAAGATGAGCATGAGGTCAGGTCAATTAGCTTATCGCTACAAATTCAACAAGAATTTATCACGATGGTTTCCAAGGGGAACCGCGTGGAGGTCAACCTGACATGGTACATTGCTAGCAATAAGATCATTAGTCCACATTACTAACAATCTCCTTTCCCCTAGATATTTAGGATTAGTCTAGAAAGAAAGAAAGAAAGAAAGAAAGAAAGAAAAATATTTTATTCAGTGTAATGTAAAAAATGTAAAAGGGTATACCAAACTAGACATGACTAAAGGGAAATAACACATACCTAACTTCACGGCTGTAATCTTACAAAGGGTAGTCAGATCCTTTATTAACTGTCGACGCCATAAAAAGAGCACTTGGAATGATCTTGATTTCTGAATGATTCTTCAGTGATGTAAATACAGATATCAAACGTAATATGTATAATGTATGTGTTTACAAAAACCTAAGTAGTTATCTATATCAGTTGCCTGCTTGTGTTTAGCCATAACACAAGCTCTGCTTAGTCTGGAATAGATAGCGCTATGTGAAATGTCCATAGATATTACTATTTATATTAACGGAGCGCGAAACGCGGAGGGATCTTAGAGATCAGATTTTCATTCTTTATAACGATACTCCTCCAAAATGGCTTAACCGACCGAAACCAAAATTTCATCATATTTCGATCATCGGGCGTCCATCGTTTACCACTTAAAAGAATTCAGATCGGTCATGTCCTTGAGGAATGGTCGCTGATAAAAGTTACCACAGACTTAGCATGGCAGAAAATATTCACGCGCTACTGAAAATAATTTAATTTTAAAGGCCGATTTTTAAGAATATCTGACCTGGTATGTACGCAACAAACCGGTAACAAACTTAGTTATATTTCTAATGTACCTGTTGCATTGTATAAACACTAGATTCCAGATCTCCGTGAGAGTCCCGTCTGGGTGCACGTAGTGTATCTCCGTACACGGCCCGCAGGGTCCGGTGACGCCCATCTCCCAAAAGTTATCGGCGGCACCCAGTCCACGTAGCCTGCTTTCGGGGACACTGCAAAAAAAAACACGTAACCGGAGTGCCAAAATTGTGGCCTTTGTGGGATCAAAAATCCACTGTCTGACATTGGCGAAAATGACCGATAAAAAATGGGTGGCAGCCATTTAAAATAAAGAAGAAAAACTGGAATGCCAAAGAAACAAATGGCCCACCTGTTGGAAAGTTGTAAGCTTCGCCTCGCATAGAATGAAATTAATTCTATACATGGATAATTCTTGGTGAATCTACCATAATGCGCTAACTTGACTTTATGTCATACCGCTAGCACAGGCGGGACAGAATTACATTATCATGCACAAACAATGTACGTCCCATACGTACTAGATATTTTATGGTAAGTATTATATTAGCAGGTTGTTTATACCAAAGAGGACCAATGACGTTGCGGCTCACCTGATGAAATTGCAAGTACGTTGCCGGCCTTTTAAGAAGGAACAAGCTCTTTTCTTAAAGATTTGAATATCGTATCGGTTCGGAAATATCATTGCTGGATGGTGTTTCAATAATGTGGTTGTGCGTGGCAAAAAGTTTCTGGAAAAACGCACGGTGGAGGACCGCCATTCATCCAGATGATCAGGATGGTATTTGGTACCAGTGTACTTTACCAAATAATAAAAATAAAGTTCTAAATTAGTAATTATAAATTTAGCAAAATAATTTCTTCCAATTCCTTACCCAATTTGTTTCCAAATATCCCTGCATTCTTTATCTTCAGGGAGTCCAATAACAGCGTCACCAGAAAAGTATGTGACAACTAAATTCTCAGGTTTTAGCCTGTACGGACCTAGTAGTAAGTCCCACGCCATCTGACAAGCTTCTTTCTGAAATAATTAAATAATCACCATATTAACTGGAATGTATACATGATTAAAATGTTACTCATCCTCGGTGGTCTAGCGGTTTAGCTTTACTATCGATGGTCGCGGGTTCGATTCCTCGAACGGTACAAACATTTGTATTCATGAATATGATTGTTTTTATTGGTCAGGTTGTTTTCTGTATACTATGTATGTATCTATAATAACATATCTAAGTATTTATATCAGTTGTCTAGTACCCGTAACAAAACGTCTGGTTGCCGTGTGATGACGCTGTGTTAATTGTCCACTATTTCCAGTTGCGCTCATTGGGATTTTCTTATCTGTTTCTTATATTCATTATTATAGTACTATCTAATACTATCCTGATGTATATATTAATGGTATTTGTAATTTTTAGTTTGACGCCACTTTGTCAGTATGATAATTAATTTATGTAACTGTTATATCTTTCTGTGACAGGAACAATAAAGTGTTTTTCATTTTCATTCATAATGGTAGACTAATTCCTACCCTTTGAAAATAATAAAGATCTCTGTGAGAAAAGAAACATTTTTTTCACTGTCATTAACCAAAAATATTTACTAATATACTTTATTTATTTAATCATAACAAAAATTTAACTATTAACAATAAATAAATTTTAAACATATATTGGTAACCAAGAAAATTCTTCAATTGTTTCATTAAAAACCCATTTGCTGTTTTTTTCTTACATTTCCTCATACTTTTATACTTTTAAAGCAATCAATGTATTATCTAGTAAATTATCATAGTTATGTATATCATTAACATTATTCTAGGCCAGACTGAGAACAACATAAAACGTAATAACGGTCAGTGTTATTCCTAAGGTTAAAAAACAAGGTCAGCCTGATCTGTTTATGAACATTTATACAGTTAAAATTAGTTATCTATGAAAGATTCTGATTTCTGGAAGGAACTACATTTTACTGTCTTTGTGTAAGTATTGTGATAGTGATAATGAAAATTTTGAAAATGCAGATTATCCTTTGAAGAAATAACATTTATACACAAAAATATTCTTTATTCATTTGTGCATAATTGAATAAAGAATATAAAGTAGCTTCTACCAATTAAAAAGGAGACTAAATTTCTTCTGCATGCTATGTTCAATGGAGCATATAATTGGCCTGCTAAATATAAATTTTATATGCAATGTAACAACTGCTGGAATGTAATCTTTCCATACTCTAAAATGAAGTTACTTCCACTGTCTGTTGTCTTAGATCTACTAAAGTATGCAACAGATTTTAATGCAGTTTTTAGTAACAGATAAAGTAATTCATGCAAATGTTTATATGTATAATAATACACATACACTTGTATGAAGCTGGTGCAAATAGCTATTATTATATAAAGTATGTCTATTAGTTATCTTTTCACAATAAAAATACTGAACAAATTTTGATGATTTTGATAGTTGGACTTGGAGAACAAATATTTTTGTTGTGAACATAGCACAATCAGGGATTGAAACTGAGAAAGTAATGATATGGAATTTCAATAATTACCAAGTGATATAAAATACACTAATTGAGGCACTTATTAGTGGATAAATTTAAAATAAAATATCATTTTGAAAAACCCCTTTATAATATTCCGGAATATATAAACTAAAATGGAATTAGAACATAATTATGATTTTAGAAACATATTATATTGTGTATCTATGGAAACTGTATTGTGTATCTATTGAATTTGTTTTATTTAGTTCATTAATATAATTTTAAATAAATTGAAATTGACTTGCCATATATGTAACAAAGTTTCTTACATAATATAAAAAAAGATAAATAAATACCTTGTAATAATCACCAAAGGACCAATTGCCAAGCATCTCGAAGAATGTGTGATGGTGTCCATCGGTCCCGACAACATCAAGATCATTATGTTTGCCTCCGACACGGACACACTTTTGTGAGTTCACTACTCGAGGATATGGAGGGTCTACATTACCAAGGAATACACCTTTGAACTGAAAACCATAAAGAATTGCCCATATTAAATGTCTCAAACTAAAAATTATATAAACTATAATTATATTTTCAAATTTGAAATTATGAGCCAGTAGCTATCTTCTAGTCTAAAAGATGAGAGGACACTCTTGCTTAGAAGCAAGCAGACAACCAAGAAATTTTATATATATATAAATTTTGCTTGTTAGCTCTTAGCTAGTATATACAACAAAAAATAACCAAAAACTGTTACATCTGAATAGAAGGCTATACATAAAAAATAAATAAATATATTACGTTTTAGCAATGTAAATTTTATACACCTAAAGACTTTTAATTTTGTAAAAATTTTTGTCGGAGAGGCTCAGGTATCTCGGAGTCTCCAATTTCAATTGTCAAGCAGCTTTCTTAAAAAGCCTTGTTTTGGTTTTAAGATGAGCGAAATTTATGGTAAAATGACAGGATAAGAGGTATGACAGCTTAGTCCTAAAAGAATAGCAATACAGTGGAACACATGAGTGGCATCACTACTACTTTTCCATAACCAATTAACATGAAATAACCTATTTAACTTTAATACCAATCCTATTACATACAAAAATTGTTAACATTTTTTATTATAGTAAGTTTATTTAAATACAAAACTTTCTGCATCTAAAATTAAGGATATAAATTCTATAGGAAAAGAATTGGATATAACTCATAATAAAAAAATACTGTAATTAACATACAAATAAGAAGAACATGGAGTTTCAGTCAATGGACAATAAGGATGGTACTTCAAAACAAAAAACACTTCATAACTCTATTCTTATTATTATAATTAATAATATACTTTTTATACTGTTATTAGTTTAATGAATAAAATTCGGAGATATTATTTTTCTGTTATATTTATTTCGTTTGAACATGAATTGTGGGTAGTTTTAGGAGCGGTAAAAGTTCACTTGGTAATCTTACCTGATTCATACCAGCATTTACAAAGGGCACAGTGGGATCAAATAGCGGCAAAACAGAACTGGACTTTACATGTTTATGGCCGTGTTGGCTCACAAAGTAATCTATAAAAGTGCTTCTTATGAAACTACTAGAACTTTTGAAACGTATCCAAGAACTGTGCATTCTACATTTAACCGGTAACCGAAACATAGTTTTAGGTTAGTATTCACTTTTTGTATTTTTGATAATTCTACTCAGCCACGGAAGGAGTTACTTCAAAATTAACAATACGATGTATGTAATAAATTCGTTTTAAATAAGAAATACAAAAATAAAATATTCCAATTGTAAACTTCTCGAATGGTTTTTGCAATTTTTTGCAATGTCAATGTCAAAAAATCAGCTGTATACTTTTTTTTTAATTTATTGGTATATGGATATACTGTATTTGGATATACAAACTCTATTCTCTTCTTTTACTTTTATTTAATATGCGGCCAATTGAAAGTGCAATCGTATTATTATATCCATTAAAATAAAATAATATCGACTATTATAGATATTTAAATCTTTTTTATTGTCTATTTCATAATTAGAAAATGTTGTGCTAATTTAAATAGCTTAAATAATATACAAGTGAACAATTTCCGAACTCGTTTTAATCCCAATTATGCAACTTATAAGGAATATTAGAGTTATATAAATTCTGACAAACATAGCGTTAATTAATATTAATATGATAAGCAAATATTTAAAATTTACTATCATACCACTAAACTCAGTACAATGAGTTTATAAGATACTACTACAAATGTAAATCTCGTTCTCAGGATCTCTAATCTGTGATAACATAATACTCTAAAGATATTAAGTCTGTGATCTGTGCTCTGAGAGTAATATTTTACTATCGAGTATCGGTCACTTTACATTTTCAACTTTCAATCGGAAATTAAATATTATAATAATATTTTTATTAAACAAAATAAAAATAAATTAATTTATAAATGTAACCCTATACACGTGTTTCTTTATTATTGGTCATAAAAAATTAATACCGGTCGGTTCGTTATCGTATGCAAGTGTCATGTCAATTCGGTACACGTAATCTTTACTAATTTATATTGTTTTTGTTTTTATTTGATAAATATGGGACGAAAAGAATTGTGTATATTGTGGTTGTGTGTCTGTATCGTGGCCTGTGAATTACTGGGCCCAGATACTCGCAAGGAAAACAAAAAATCCGAGGACGAAGATGATATTGTCGAAACATTGGATACGAACTCTCAGGCGGACCCAGATTACATGAAACAGTTAACAGAGGCGGTAAATAAAGAGATTCGTGCACTTCAGGACTATGCGGAAGCCTTTAAAAAAAGCAAGACAGACTCCAAGGATGAAGATAGCAATAAAGGTAAATTTCTAGAATTTACTTGAATAAAAATATTTGTAGACTATTCTAGAACTTTCAAATCTGATAGGAGCCTGCTTTTGCATTTTTAGGTACATGTTCTAATATAGAACCCACTGCAGTTCTAGACAGGATCTTTTAGAAGGTTGTAGAGAGATGCTAGTACACTTCTCGCTTCCACTGTAACCACATATAAATTAACCTCATAGCCATTTTTGTTAATTAATTTATTGATTCATAATATTTATGTTTTTATTGCATGTTCTTTAGATGTATTTGTCTTTGTCCAGTACCAAGATTTTTGTCAAATGTAAACACTGAACTTTAAATTCTGTCCAAGTTAATATGTTTTTTTTTAATCCATGAATATGAATTGGGTGGATAGAGTGCCCAGTGAATTATTATAGGCTAACTCACTGATACTGGTGCCCTGCCAGTATATACTGGTAGTGCAAGTGGGTGTACCAATTCATTGATGCTCAGAAATAAAAATAATATCAGGCCAGAAAATGCAAATACTGTTTAATTTCCATATTTTGTTTTAATAATATTGCTATAGATTAGATACAATTCATACACTATATATTACCATATTTCTTATTTTAATACATGCTTATTATCCCACCAGATACAGAAAACAATTAGAATAATAAATATTCATGAACTCAGTAGAGAAAGTAAAGATAAGAAAATACATTGTCTGTTTTATTTATTTATCAGAAAGCCATTTGGAGCAAATGGAGTATACATTGAAGCTCCTGAAGAAGAGTCTACTCAGGCACACAGAGCCAAGCTGGATACATGACCCTAAAGATGCTGACTCCACAACCAGTGATGTTGAGGTAATATTATTATTTAACACCCATGCAACTTTGTCAGCTCACATGAGAAGAGGAAGAAATTTCCAATTGGTGTTCCATTATGTTATATCGCTTCCTCAATAAATGGACTTTAAAATACTGAAATATTTTTCAACTTGAACAAGCCATTCCTTAGATTGGCATATTAAACCAAACAGATTGGCTTTAGAATATTCTCTTCTTAATCGTTCCCTCACTGCTGAGGATCGTGACTCTATACTATCTTGTCGACTAGCTGGCGCCATCTGCTGCGCTCAGATGCCTGATGTACACAGTAATGTTCAGTTGAAATATTTTTCAACCTTCTATCTTGCCTGTTACCATCAGTCTCTCCATATTGTCTACATCCCTCCGAGCGATGTGTCCGAAGTATCGCACAATTGCAGACATAGAAGACAGCCGCTTAAACCAAACAGATTGGCTTTAGAATATTAATATAGGTATAAATGTCAGCAAAGAGGCCCCTTAAACCTACACACAGGTCACAAGTTCCAGGCTCTGAGTTTCCCTCTCTGCCACACAATGGACCCGGCACCCACACATTGGAAGTCATGGAATGCTTAGAGTTTGCCTCTTTTTATTAAGATATATATATGCAAAAGATAGAAACACATGGCAATTGTCAGGGGAGACCTTTTTGTCTAAAGGATATGTTGACTCGGAGACTAATGTGCAGAATAGGTGATAACATATATGTGATTAATATTCACTGTTTCTATTCAAAATCATAGTAATTTTTTTAAACTTTCACATTTGGTACATATTGTAAGTAAATGAATTTTACACAAATAATTTAATGGTAAATAAAGGTATTTATCTCTCGATGTTTCTACTAAGTTGCACTAGCCCTGGTCACAAGCTGACTCAACTGAGTGAGCTCATTCAAGACCATGGCTAGAAAATATTTCTGTTTTTTAAAATTATGAAATTTTTTATAGTTAATGAATGAATTTTATTATTGTTTACTACATATTGTAGTAAACAATAATAAAATTCATCAAATAAATGTTTTCCAGAAATTAGGTGAGAACCCCCAGGACATTCTAGATACATTACCACCATTACCTGTGGAAGAGGAGGGTGAACTGACTCCGGAGTTGAAAGAAGGTAAATACACAATTCTTATAGATTTTTTTTTATTTTCTGAATGTAATCTGAGGTGTTTTATTTTTAATAATTTACTGATTCCGATCTGAACCAAAAAGTAGTCAAGGAAAAACTAGTTGTCTGGTACCCTTAACACGAGCTCTGCTTACCTTGGGACTAGATGGCGCTTTGTGAATTGTTTGGAAATATTATTATTAATTCATATAATAAAAAAACTTCTTTCTCAGCTAAAAAACTATATGACGAAGCCACAGCGAAACTTCGACGCCGTTCCCCCGACATACACTCGGCTATTATGCAAGTGAAGCAGGCTGCTGACCGTGGCTACATCCCGGCCAGAATCAAGATGGCGTCATGCTACATCTTTGGAGAGGGTGTAGATGTCGACATTGGGACAGCTAAAGCTATATTCGAGGAATTGGCTGAACAGGGCAATGGAGAAGCTCATGCGGTAAGCATTCTACATGTATATACTAGCTGTTATCCACGCTTTCGCTTACGATTTATTTGTCTAAAAAGGCCTATCCTCGTATAAGTGTATTGTAGTACTCTGCTTTCCTCATTTGGGCTGTTGTATATATTAAAATTGTCATACATACAATCTATGTTTAAGTCAATTTCATTAAATAACAAACAGACAGACATACTTTCGACCGCTTGCCGTAACGTTATATAGACGGCCTCAGTGGGCCTATACTGTTATGGAATGGTGCACTCGCCTGCCAGTGGAGGAGATAAGAGGAGTATGAGGTCAGGTCAGGTCAGTTGGTCCATCGTAACAAATTCCCAAGAAACTTGTCATCATGGCTTCCAGGTGGAAGTTCCGCATAGAGTCCATCTGACAAGGTACATTGCTGGTCATGGGGTCAACAGTCCACAGAACTAACAATCCCTTTCCCCCTATTATTGTGCGTTGGCGACCAATGGAGTTAGAACACGACAAATTCACCAGAAATTAACGACGTCTGTTAGGCGGGATTGCGTGGTATGGTACTCTCTATATTTCTAATTTCTTCCCTCCTTTGTGTACAGGGTCTGGGCTTTCTATACGCAACTGGGACGGGTGTCCCAGTGTCCCAGGCAAAGGCGCTAGTACATTATACGTTGGGCGCACTGGGCGACAGTGATTACGCGCAAATGGCACTCGCATACCGATATTGGGCCGGAGTCACCGTGCCCAGTTCTTGTCCTAAAGCCATGGATCTGTACATGAAAGTTGCTGCTAAAGGTTTGTTATAAATTGTATACATACCTTCCATGTGACATTATTTGTCAAAATGTTTTTTATATATTTACTTTTGAAACAAAATATGTACCTATTATTTCTTTATAAAAAATCAGCAACCCTTTCGGCGGCAAATCCTTTGGTACTTAATCAAAAACAGCCGAGGATTGTTGATTTGTGGCGTGGTATGTCGGAGACGTAACAAAAAAAGGCCTAGAAATTTAATCTTAAAAACTAACAATGTCCATTAGACATTTTGCTATTAAGATACAGCTTAAGATAATGACAGCTGATGTTAGGGCTGTGTCCTTTGTTATTATTATATTTTTTATATAACATTGAACCCTCGACCTTGGCCTCAATAAAAAGTCGTGTCAACTGGTGGTAAAAAAATCCTGTATAAAATGGTGTTTGTCGTGGTCGTGGTACGACGCGTGCAGGCGCAGGTGACACACACACACACACTCACACATACCTCATCGAGTACTACCAGCTGCTGGCGGAGAAGGGCGACGTGCAGGCGCAGGTGACACACACACACACACTCACACAGACCTCATCGAGTACTACCAGCTGCTGGCGGAGAAGGGCGACGTGCAGGCGCAGGTGACACACACACACACACTCACACAGACCTCATCGAGTACTACCAGCTGCTGGCGGAGAAGGGCGACGTGCAGGCGCAGGTGACACACACACACACACTCACACAGACCTCATCGAGTATTACCAGCTGCTGGCGGAGAAGGGCGACGTGCAGGCGCAGGTGACACACACACACACACACACTCACACAGACCTCATCGAGTACTACCAGCTGCTGGCGGAGAAGGGCGACGTGCAGGCGCAGGTGACACACACACACACACACACACACACACACACACACACACACACTCACACACACACACACACACACACACACACACACACACTCACACAGACCTCATCGAGTACTACCAGCTGCTGGCGGAGAAGGGCGACGTGCAGCTTCACACAGACCTCTCGTAACACAACCAGACCAGGAGAACCAGAAGACAGGGGACAAACGAGTATGTTTTACCGCCGCCCATGAGGCAACACCAGGGGAATTAAGTGTTTTCCAAACTAAGCTTTTCTTGAAGGTTTCAATATTTGATTCCACAATGTCGTTGTATAGTGATAGGTATAGTATATGTAGAGGAGAACACAATTATTATAATAAAAATAATGTTGGGATGATGCAGGTGGGGCTGGGCCAGCTGCACTTCCAGGGCGGGCGCGGCGTCACCCTCGACCTGAACAAGGCGCTGCACTACTTCCAGCAGGCCGCCAAGACCGGCAACGCCGTGGCCAATGCCTTCCTGGGGAAGGTACGGTATATATATGTAGTATTTGTAATAGTATTTTATATATATAAGTATTTATATCAGTTGTCTACTACCCATACAATAAGCTCTGCTTACCTTGAGATTTTTTTTCACTCAGAGGAGAACCTAGTTTGGTTCACAGACGGATCCAAAATAGGAGATGATGTAGGATGTAGATTATGCGGTGTAAAATCCAAAATCTGCAACTATATAGGCTTAGGACAATACGCCTCAATCTTCCTAAAAGCATCGCTTCTAAGAATATTCTTCAATTCTTGTTCCTGATTGGTCTTAGTTTGTTAAACTCTGAAAAAGGACAAGCACAATTGATCTATGTAAGTCGCAGTACAGGTCCAAGCTCCTGACAATAGCGCAAACAACCCAATAAATAAAAATACCTTGGGATTGATGGCATTGTGTGAATTATCCAGGATTATTACTTTATAACTTTTTTAGTACTTTCCCTGTAATGGGATGACAACAAAGATGATTATCATTAATATTTTTTAAACATTTAATATTATTATTGTAAAATATAATTAATTCTTTACTTTTTTCAGATATATTTGGAAGGTGGCGATGGTATCAAAGCAGACAACGAGACTGCACTGCGATACTTCAAAAAGGCAGCCGAACTGAACAACCCCGTCGGTCAGAGTGGACTGGGCATTATGTACTTACAGGTATGTTTAAACGCCTGCTCCTCAGTCACATAATAAAATTTACGATGCATACTGGCATAATTAACTGGCACAATATTTATATCTCGTAGCTACCATTACATTTACACGCTTTCACGCGCGAATCGACTTTCGCACAGGAAATAATGTGCAGGTAAATGTAGACAAAGAGAACGAGATAATTGCACGCGCCGCAAAGTCTTCGCATCGAAACAATCATACTCATGAACACAAATGTTTGCACAAATTGGAACCTTTTGGATGTAAAACGGTTTACCGTTAGGTCATAATAAAGTCTGACTTTTGGTCATGTATTTGGTATGAACGTTTTTTTTAATGTTAAATGGTTTTATTTAAAATATACAGGGACGCGGAGTACCAAAGGATACAACAGCGGCATTCAAGTATTTCACGATGGCAGCCAACCAGGGCTGGGTAGAGGGACAGTTGCATTTAGGATTCATGCATTTTGGTAAGTCGGTTTGTTTATAAAATTGAATTTTTCATTGAATTTTGCATAGTTAAGATCGATTCAGTGGAAAATTCGTATAATTAAAGAAAACCCTTTATTTACAATACTTTACTTGGAGAATAGTGGATAAAATCTGTTGCTAAAAGTACATCAATAACACCGTGTGTAATTTCACTGGTTTTTTATCATTCTAAAGCAATACATCTAAAGCATTTTTATAATATGTGAAAGGCGAATTAAAATGAGATTATTAGTATAGTGAATTAATTACTCTATTACTAGTAATATGCCATATCAGGTTGAACTCCATGCGGTTCCCCCTGGAAACCATCATGATAAATCCCTGGTGAATTTGTCACAAACTAACTGACCTGATCTCAAGTTCAATAAAAATTCCACCGTGACCCGCCACCTTAAACGTTAGCGCAGGAGAGTACAACATTCTATTGTCATCCATTTAAAAAAATTGTGTGTATGTTTGGTGGTAGGAGGGGTGGGCGTGCGGCGCGACTTCAAGCAAGCCAACAAGTACTTCTCGCTGGCGTCGCAGTCCGGACACGTGCTCGCGCTCTACCACCTCGCGTACATGCATGCGCAGGGGCTCGGCGTGCTGCGCTCCTGCACCACCGCCGTCGAGGTACTGGCCACCATCACCACCCGTACCACATGCCACCACCCGTGGTTTTATTTCTTTAAATCGACGAGCTGCCACCGCGGTTTGATAAGTCTTAAATTAAAAAAAAAAGCTAATAGTTCGGTTATGGAATATAATTTCACTATTTGCGTTTATAAAATACGCTTGTTTTATATATTGAAAACCGGTAAAATTAGATCCACGAGCAAGTATAAAGTACATTCTGATGCTTAAAATTTTCTTATGCGTTGCCATTTCTAAAGATTACGGTATGATTTCCATAACCTGTAATTTCACTGCACTTCGAACCGAACTTACGCGCGAAATAAGCGCGCTAACCGAAAGGGCTCACTTTCAATGAGAAATATTTTAGACGCAAAGTTTCGCTCCACTCCAGCTGTTCAAGAATGTTTGCGAGCGTGGACCGTGGAGTTCACGCCTGATGCTGGCCCACGCGGCGTGGCGGGCGCGGTCCACGTCGTCGTCGCTGCTGCAGTACCTGGCGCTGGCCGAGCGCGGGCTGGAGGTGGCGCAGTCGAACGCCGCGTACCTGCTGGACGAGGGCGCGGCGGGCCCGTACGCGGCCGGGGAGCGCCTGCCGCGCGCGCTGCAGCTGTGGGCCCGCGCCGCCGCGCAGGGCTCCGCCACCGCCCGCGTCAAGCTCGGCGACTACCACTACTACGGCCTCGGCACCCCCCGGGACCTCGACGCGGCCGCCCACCACTACAGGATCGCCTCCGAGCAGCTGCACAACGCGCAGGTGATTGCGCCGATACCCGTCAAATTAAAATCATGCGATACGATATGTATTACGACCCGACACACCGAAGCAGCGTATCCATGATACTGGCAGTGTTTCCCTTTTAGCTATATTTTATTCTATGCAAAGTAGCTACAGCATGTATGTTACTTTACAAACTTTAGGTTCACGTGCAGTTCTCATAAATACAGGTCTATAGATGAAAATGTTGACATGTCTGAAAACAAAAACCCCAAAATAAATCTAGATAAAAAAAAAAAAAAAAGTCTATAGATATTTTGTTGTGGCGGCATACATTTTTATTTTTATCTTATTTCGATATCGGTTTAGTTGTGTAAATTGTCCTGGGTTATTATTAATATTACATTGACATTCATTAGGTATGTAGGTCACAGCAGAAAATACTGTAAAACTGGTTGGTTTATCTGCATAGTGTTATCACTAATTTAATACGGATTATAAGGGAATGATGCACCCGTCTGTGCTAACAATGACATTGCTAGCTATAGGGTGATCAGTCTACATTACAACCAATCCTCTTTCCCCCCACATAATGATAATGAGTGATGGTTATCTGGTTGTGTGCAGGCGATGTTCAACCTGGGCTACATGCACGAGCGCGGGCTGGGGCTGGCGCAGGACGTTCACCTCGCCAAGCGATGCTACGACCTCGCGGCAGACACCGCGCCAGAGGCTCGCCTCCCGGCCGCGCTCGCACTTGCCCGCCTCAATGCGCTCGGAGCACTAAACCAGCTGTACGAGGTGAGTAGGCCGACACCAGGTGTTCAGTACCAGTCGCATCATAGACGTGTATTCGTGATGATCTCGGTAGTTTAATAGTTTAGCACGTCGCCTTACTTCAGATGGTAAGCTAATTGACTCTATTATCTATCTTTAGGCTCTCATTTTTGCATGTAGAGCCGAGACTACTAAAGTAGCCAGCTAAGCTCCTCCCAGAAGCGCAGCCTCCTGGTGTCTTCACAGGCTTCACGGAGACCTCACCGTTCCGAGGATTAGACTGAATAAAAATAGCAACTACAGTGGCATAATCGGTCGCCTTATTCAGGTCTTCCTTCTTGCAAGACTGTACACAAAGGAAACGAGATGGGACATGGTTTGGGACGGACCCCCTTGTCCCAACTGCAGCAAGTTGTGCCTGCAGTGAATCACCCACCGAACCCATAAATCTGTTAATGTGCTTATGTATTTCTTGCAGTCAGTATTCGAGAGTCCGCTGGGTATGATCTTCCTATCGGGTGATTCCATGTTTCTGTCCAACTGGGACCTGTACCTCATCACGTTACTGGTGGGCGCGCTCGGGATCGTACTATATCTGCGTCGGCCGCGCCCGCAGCCGCAACCCGCGAACTGAGTTCTAGTGCGTGTAATAAATATGTGATAAGTGACAAGATGGTATAAGACTTGAACTATCTGAGTATTTGATACTCAAATGAACATGACCGGGGTCTCACTATGCAATTGTAAGTCAGTGGTATGTAAAACTGTGTAAATAAGGGCTATGAATTTACATTCACGTCACATGTTAAGGAGTAGTTACGTCACATGTTATAGGGGGCGGGCCCCTTTCGTTACACTTTGTCGACATAATGTGACAAAAGGGGGCGAGATTGAATTTCGTAACCTCGCATTTCAATATCTAATGTAAAGTACTGAATAACAAAATTTGAATTAACAAATAGTAAAAAATCAAAATATGTCACGTCACACTACCCCCTAGTGTCTCACAAATGTGAATAACTGTGACAAGGATGGGGGATGGGACAAAAATCGAGAAATGCATGTGACGTAATTTATCGAAGGCCAAGGATGTAGTTACTGTGGAAATAAATTAGATTTGTGCAATAATTTCTCATGTCTTATTGAAGCGACTGTTGAAAATAGTGATTTAATAAATTATACTTATAAATAATACCATTTAAGATATTAATCTATCTTTCTATAAAATTTTTGTAATCACACTAAAGTTTTGTTTTAGCAGAATTAAACAATATAAATACATTAAGTAAAGAAATGGACTTCCGCAAAATAACACCTAATTCAATAAAATGTATAAATAAAGGAAATCAAACATTGTTCATAACTCAATCGAAAGTGATTAAATTAAAGGTGATTTAGTTTTAAAATAAAGTAAATAATTGTCTATTTTATTCTATTCGAATTCATAGTTCGACATGACTATAATTTTCGTCTGTTTTAGTCTGTTGTATAATTTTTAATCAAGACATAAAAAACCAATGGCTCTTATAGAAATCACCTACTTTTAATACATCGTAAGATTTTCGTGTGTTTATTAAGACCCCAATTGTACATAGATTATTCTGTTTGTGAATATTATAATTTATTTTGCACTTATTAATTTACTTTATATATATATAAGTGTTGTTGTAATTATATAAAATTATGTATAACAAATACACTGTTTGTAAAATTGTTTAGTGTAAAAATTTAAGACTATTATGAGAGTGATATTTTATAAACATTAATATTAATTAAATTTATGTGTAAACTATGGCTTTGTCCATGTGAATTGGGATACAAGTGTTAGAATGTAATCTATCTATGTACCAAATTTGATTGAATTCTGCCCAGCCATTCAAACAGTACCGCGTATAATAGTAAAATTAAATGGAATTAAACAGGTTTATTACATGACACTTGTACAGTTTTTTTGTTTCAATAAATTTGACGATTATTTGCGTCATCCGTGTCTAGTATCTCTTTCTGTAAGCTGCTCTGCTGTTACACATTAAGTGAACAGAATTATGTTTTATAGAATTAAAAATAAGAAGCATACGACCCGCTGTATGATAGATTACAAACCAAAGTATAAGTCTACAAACAGATACAATTAAATCAAGATTATAACTTATTAGAGAAAATAATGGAATAAAAATTGTGATTTCATAATAAATATTTGTATTTTTTACATGCTTTCTTATCGTCTTGCGTGTTTTAATTTTTTCTAATAGTACAGTAGTTATTATTATATCTATTCTGTTGATTATTTCAAACGAACATACATACTCTTTCGATACAATACGTTAAAAAAATTAATAATATTAATAAATAACCCAGGACAATTCACACAGTTCCATTTAGTCTCAAGCTAGTGTTAAGGTTAATAAACAACTGATAGAAATACTTAAATATTCTTTTGTATATACACGGACCGGAAGACGCAGCGTGGGAAGGCCTCCAGCAAGGTGGACCGACGATCTGGTCAAGATCGCTGGAAGGCATTGGATGCGAGCAGCGCAGGACCGATCGTCGTGGAGATCTTTGGGGGAGGCCTATGTCCAGCAGTGGACGTCTTCCGAGCTGCGATGATGATGATGATGACACAGATAATATATAGAACCCGTTACCATCGGATGGCGGTGTTACCGCTGTTACCGCTGTTAACTTTGACCCTCGTAGGGTCAAAGTTCAACTCGACATGTATATAATGCATTAAGATGGATGCTATACTCGAATAATCTTCATTCAAATAACTATAGTCACTTCACTAACATTCAATTGATCTATACAAACTGACATATCTCACCTTACAGCAAGCAAGCTTGGTGGCAGAAATAATAAACATTTAAAGGTGTAACTTCATTTAATTTTGTACTTAGGTACATGGATATAATAGAACCACTAGGATCCAATAATAAACATTCGAAGTTATGAATACATTTACTTTGTATTTAGATACAATAGGCATACTAGGATCCCTGATGCATCTCAATCTTCCTTGCGATATCAGAAAGCAAGCTCCTTGGTGGCAGAAATAGTAAACATTTTAAGTTATTAACCCTATTTACTTTTGTACTTCGGTACATACATAGGTACAGTAGGGATACTAGGATCCCTGACGCTCCAGCATCTCAATCTTCCTTGCGATGTCGTCAGCTGAGAAGGCGTAGTCTGTAGCATCTTGTTTTGAATCTGGTACGGTGCCATTCTGTAAAAATTAAAATTTATACCTACAACATTTGTGACTATTGTTAACAACATACAATATGCTACTGTGCTTACACTTGTAATATTTCTGTCAATACTCGGCATACTCCCATTGGTTTTCCTCTTCAGACAACATAGATTTAAGTTGAGTATAAATTGAGTCTACGTCTCGACTCTGCGTCGAATATACTCGTTACTAATAAGCCATGTAGCACACTACCAAATAAACTTACTAATGTACAACAAGTAGTATCATTATTTTACCGGTATACTCACTATCTACATACTACAACAAACAAAATATGTAGCGACACCTCATCACATCATATAACGCTACAGTGGTAAGGTAATAACCACCGCGCTACAATTTCATTACCGGAGAATTGGTCAATATAAATATTTACAGACACGTAGTTTTCTTAATGCCAGTATTGAATTCACGACCTTTGGAGACTTAAACCGATAGGGAACGACACTTCCAAAATATTTGTTCAAGATCTTACCCAAAACTGTGCGTACTCTGGTGATATGGTTTGCAAATGTGCAATCTTGTCCTCCACTTCCTTAAGTCGTCGATATATATCGGGAGCTACGGGTCCAATATTCAGATATTTCTCAACAGTAAGCACCCTCTCGGCGATGTATGGAGGCAGGCCGCTGTCAGCCTTCGATTCATGATGGGTGTCCATGTATTGGACGGTTTGCGGGCCCCATTCGTTATGGACTTTTCGTACTGAAAGTAAATTATACTATTTTTTATTTTATTTTTAGGGACTTTTGCACAAACTAAAAGCATATGTCAGTCCCATTGTACCCTAAAACTAATAGCTACATCACTTCACCAGTGAGCAAATTGCCTTAACTACACTATCCGAAGCGAGCGATAGGACAATTAGACCAATAACCTCTCAGTTTAAAACTTCTATAACGGTTAAGGTGTTTTTTACCAGCATAAGCTTTTACAATAGCATATGCTGATGGTCACTCGATTCTCCCAAATTTGAATTTATAATGAATCTGTATTATTGTAAACATGTACAACATTTATTTGAAAACGTACGAGATGAATTTCTTCTCAGTTCTTCTCATCTCGAAATCATTCCGAACTGGCGGTAGATTTGACATTATGATATGTCAAATCGAGTCTGTAATAAACCTACAGAATAAAGATATTTTGAATTTGAATTGAATTTTATTATGATGACGTGAGCTGCAGTTCCGAAGGTATGATTTCTAGTATTTTAGTATTTTTTTACATGAATTAACAAGTCAAGAAGTTACTCTTAAATTATATGAACTAATTGTAAAAAATCTTACTCTTCAAATGCCCTTTAGAATCGCTGCGCTTCACAAACTGCGTTCTCACTCTTGCACACGTATCCGTTTCTTCTGTCTCGTTCACTCCTTGCGACGGTATGAAGTCTTGTATGTTGCTTATGTTAACCTGTTGTCTCTTTCGCTCTATGAAGTTTTGCATTCGCCGTTCCAACTCTTCACTTGTGACATTTATTTGTACTAAGTTTGGGTCTATGGTATCTGTTTTGACTGATGGTCTTCTAGGAACCATTTCGGTTGGACCTGGAAGGATATTATGAGGTTCAGAGATGATTCAATGATGTACCACATTCGTATCAGTTATGAGAGCTTACTGTCTTGCCTGATGACTGACCTCGGTGACCTAGTGGTTAGGCACCGCCTTACCACCTATGGGGGTTAAATTCCTCGCATGTTACAAAAAATTTTATGAGTACGATTGTTTGTATGCTTGTATGTGTATAGCATAACGCATTTACATACATGTGTTTTCAAGTAAATATTACAAAAGAAAATTGTAATAAAAAAATATATAGAATGCTTTTACTTCATTCATGATTTTTTTAATGTATGACTAATATTGTAGCACAATTTGGAAATTATTATTGTTATTATAATTATTATCTTTATGAATACTTGGCCATTATATAGATTTAGTTAATAATTGTCTAAATCTATTATTGTTAAATTCGACGCTACTTATTATTGAGAATTAATAAATATATGAAAGTATTATTCTAGGTGGCATTTGACTGAGTGCATCTGGTATGTCAGAGGCTGTTAGGAATGAAGAATTTCTTGTTATCATAGATCATTGTCTTATTGTACAAAAAGAAAACATAATAACCCTGCACAACCCACATAGCGCCATCTAGTCACAAACTAAATAATACTTGATCTATGGGTACTAGAGGACTGATAGACATACGTGTATACCATTTTAGTCAATTATTTTTGTTCAAATAAAAAACAAACTGTAAAACAAACCATTTATTTCTATTATTGCAACATTTTTCTATTCTTACATCTAATAGTGCTACCCTGATCCAACCAAGTTCTTACTAAAATAACAACATTTATATATAGTGTAAAACAAAAGTATCTTAAAATAATAATAAAAACAACCCAGGACATATCAAACAGCGCCATCTAGTGAAACAATCGCAAACTATGCGCAACTTGTACTGTAAGTACCAAACGACTGATAGAAACACTTAAAAACATTATTTTTTTGTGAATACACACTTAATTAATAATATATAATTAAGTGTGTATTATATACATATATAGTTATACCAGCTCAATACAAACAATCATACTCGTAAATACCAATTCTTGTATCGTGTAAGAATCTAACCTGCGAATATCGAAAGTCCGTGCTAAACCGCTAGACTACCAAGGCCAGCTTTTTATGAAGGTATATGTTATTGAATGATGTCTCGAAGGTTTCAACATTATTAAATATATATTTATAAAAATATCATCTAAAAAGGTAGAATTCATTGTACTTAATTATATTGTGTAAATAAATCTAAAATATTTTATTATGCATTTAATGCTTTACGATTTTGTTCTTAGCATATATTACTGTAACATTGTTTCTCAACCATTTTTATGTAGCGACCCACGGTAATGCCATAAAGTTAAGTAAATAGTCTGCAACCCCTCTACTACTATACAACTATCATATGTCCATAGCACGCTATTTCTATCGAAATAAAATAAACTTATAGTTTATTTTTTCATTTCATTTATTACATCTTAATATTTAGTTTTATAACACTACAAGATTAATTCCTTTATTAAACGAATCTTTTGTACCTATATGTAGTTTCTATTTATTATTTTTCAACAGATCGCGACCCGTTTTAGAACTAATTACTTGAGAAACGACATACCATTGTTTATAAGTAGTATCACAACAATTGTTATTGAAATATTATTGGAGGTATTGCATTGTTATTAATTACTAGCTGTGCCTGCGACTTCCTCCGTGTGGAATTTTGCAACAATACTTTATTTTTCTAAAAGAAACTCGATTATTTGAATATTACATTCCAATTTTATATATATGTATAGATTACATTGCCCCCATTCATTGGGTATACATTCAAAGCACTAGCCAGAAACCACTCGTACTTACACTATGAAGTAACATTAATTCCCTTTTTATTGTAATTAAAATATCTTTGCTAGTGTTTTATCTCTTTTTGTCAAATGACGAACATACTTGATGGAAAAGGACAAAACAGTAAAATAGGTTAGAGACGTTTGTCATTTTTATAGATACGAGATTAATAATATTTCTGCACTATTCGTCAACATTTTTTTAGTAATTCCTAAACATAACGAAATTTTTAAACAATAGTAATATAGTTTCTTTCGTAAAATGTGAAAAGAACAAATGGCAAGTATGGTTAGCAACATATTCCAATTCTAAGGTTATTTACCTGGGGAGGAGAATTTTGGACATGGATTTAGAAATGGGTGTAGTGAGCCCATAGTTAATAATATACATAATACATACAGTCAAATCAACCACATGATTTGTCTGAAAACCATTGTCTAATTCCTCATGAATTTGCCATGATGTCCTAACTAGACAGTATTCGCCTTCATAGCCTTTCTCTTACTCTCTCTTAAGGTAAGAAGTTAAATCTCTCTATAACTCTCGTTCACATTACGTTTAAAATTGTAGAACTTTTAAATTAGATGATGATAATGCCGATTAAATTATGAATTAAGTCCTATCACTTTGAATATGTCAATATTGCCAAAGGAATTTAAACTCTCTGTCTATTAGCTCTATTTGTACTTGACCACGCACATTCAGCATTCTCCTTCCAGACGGGCGCATCTCCCTCGTAAACCTCCTTCTTCCAGATGGGCACAGTGGCCTTCAGCTGGTCGATGCAGTACGCTACGGCGTCAAGGGAGTCCCGGCGGTGCGGGCTGCTGACTGCTATCACTACTGATGCCTCGCGACATGGAACATTACCTAACCTGAAAAAAAAAGAACTCTGAATAATAACACAGCGTCATCTAGTCCTACGGTCAGCAGAGCTTGTGTTGTGGGTACCAGACAATTAATAGACCTATACAAATAATCATAGTCATGAATACAAATGAACCAGCGACCATCGGAAGTTAAGCGGTGTGCTAGTCCGCTATACCACGGAGGCCGTCCGATGCATATAATATATTTAAACTGGAGGGAAGGGGATTGTATGTAATATGACTGATGACTCCATTATTAGCAATGTACCATGTCAGGTTGAATGCCGTTGGCTCGTCCAGAAAACTATTGAGATAAATTCCTGGTGAATTCACTACGATGGGTTAGCTGACCTAACCTAATGCTCATCTTATAATTCTGCACTGGTGCTATACCAGTGTAAACCGTTAGTGCAAGCTGACAAATCATTCCATTATCATTCTTTAAAAAAAATATAAACTGGGTGGAGGGGTTAATAGTATTAGGGACTATTATATTTATAGACCACCAGACATTACAAACACATACATAACAATAGAAAAATTTTATCTTACAGGAATTGAACGTGTGCCAATCGAAATATAATCTCGCTGAGGCCCAAAAATTAGACACCTACAACCAAATACTAGAATAAAAGGAGAAAACAGTAACTAAAAAATATATATAATAGGAATATTCTTTATTCAAATAAACACTTTATAATATGTATTATTTAGGATTTTAGTCTACGGCCACAATGAAGATTAAGTTTTATTATGTATATATACCACTGACCACTTCTCAAGTTTATAAACCGGAATCGGCCGAAGAATAGAATCCTAAATAAATATTACACAAGTGTGGAAGTGTTTATTTTAATTAGTGTACTGTTTTTTTATCGAGTGATTCAAAGGCAGAGTGATGAACTAAAAAAAAAACAAGGCTGATGTGTGTGACTGTAGCAGATTGTATAGTAACGTTTGTCGACCTTGGTTGTCTCATTATAAGCAGTTACGTCTGTTTCGAAACAGTAATACTGTATTTCCGCCGAATGTATTGGATACTAAGTATACACTTACAACTTGCAAATTTTTATATTTAGGACATGTTATTGATTCAATCACTTGTAACAATTTCACACAACGCTATCTAGTCCCAGACTAAGCAGTTTGTATTATGGGTATCAACTGATATTAATATAATACTCAGATATTTTTTTTGTAAATACATATTATATGTAGCAAACATCCAGACAGATTTTCAAACAATCATACTTATGAATACAAATATTTGTACCGTGCGAGGAATCGAACCCGCGACCATCGGATGAAGTGGTGTGCTAAACCGCTATACCACCATCAATAAATGTGTTTCATACAATTTTCACCAGTGTAATAGTAGGTTGAGGGGGGAAGTGTATTATAAGTAATGTGAACTAATAATCTCATTGCTAGAAATGTACCAGGTCAGGTTGACCTCCAAGCGGTTCCTCTGGTGTCCATCACGCTATATTCCTGGCATTTGTCATGATGGGCAAATTAACCTGACTGTATGGTCATCTTATCATCCTCCACCGGTGGCGTAGCGTAGCACTAGCGTATACCGTTAGCACGGATGGGTGCACCATTCCATTATCCTCCATTAAAAAAATACTTGGTTCTACACTAATAATTTTATATACATTTTATGATATAATCATGGACAGCATCTAGGATATTAAGTTGTCTTGACGCTCATGGCAACACTCATGTACTGCCATTCCAGAGTTCCATTCTGTACATTCACTGTACTATCTCAGCCTTTAACCGAAACACATCATATTGAGTGCGGAAATAGGTGGCACAGATGTACCTATGCAGACAACTTTGTACAAAGTGTATCACAGAAAATAACATTAACAAAGACTACTTAACTTAATTTATATAGAAATAACTAACCTGTGGTATATTGCTATACTATGAACAGGTGGCCATTTGCTTCTGACATCATCACATATAGCTTTCATGGCTTTTAAAGCCATAGACTCGTACGCTTCATACTCCAACCTCACCACCTGGACATACAAACAATCTTGGAATGTAGTGTGACTAACATCAATAAGTTAAATGTTTCTAGACTTTATCTGGTTATTGTTGTACATGTTTTTACTACACTACTCTTATTTGCTACTGGTTTATAAGGGTAGTACACGATAGGCAAGACTTTTGAGTTTATAGTGACTCTTTATTATTTTAATCCATAGTTTTTTTATTTATTTATTTAAACTCTTTATTGCACCAGATAAAGAAAACACACAAAATGATATATTACATAAACTGATACAAAAGACTTTTGAGTTTATAGTGACTGTTTATTATTTTATATCATATAGTTTATATCTATATATATATTATTATTATATATATACATATCTTCATATGAAGGGAACTATGATAAATATGAATAATATAAGAGACTTAAACTAAAACTTACTTTATATTATTATTACATACATTTATTCAGAGATCTACATTTACACAGAGAGAGAGAGAGAGAGAGAGAGTGAGAGAGAGAGAGAGTTATATAACTCTATTTTGTCTAAACAAAATAATATATAGGCCAGTCAAGACTTGTTTTTTATTCATTATGTGACTTTTGACAGTATTTAATTAATGTACAATTATGTATGGACCTATTTACACAACAATTCTAATTAATATTTATAAAAAAATAATATAAAATAATAATTCTCAGTAAAACTTTTCGATAATTATATGAAAGTATCATAATAATTATTTAGAAGTTTTACTGAGAATTTCAACAATATATTAGGTATTTATGTAATGTTTTTTTAAATACTTCAACTAAAAATTAAAATGTTTTATTTATGCCACAAAATAATGGGCAAATATTTACTGTTAGCCTTTCCAAATATTTATACATTTTTACAAGTTTCAATAAGCTTTAATTACAAATTACAAATACAGTAAATAATAAGGAGTAACATATACAAAACTCACCAACCTTTTTACCATCAAAATTGTCTCTGGTAGTCCCCACAAAGATGGAGACAGCTCCGCAGCTATCATCTACTACGAGTTCACTTATGGCATCAACTGACAATATGTCAACAGTTAATTTGAGGTGATCCATTTTCAGTCTTATCCTCCACTCAGTGGTGGTATCACAGCTATGCTATCTCTGTCACTCACCACTATATCCACTGTTTCCTCACACACAACCTCGTTTTTCGCGAGCAAAATATTATTTTTTATTGTTTCAAGGTTGTACTTCTTCGCAATAATGTTTAATAGTTGCTTATATGAGATCTTTTTAGGAATAGATAGTGTTGTTTCTTTAAATCCAGAGAGTTCTTTGGACTTTGCAAAAAATAATAGTTTCACCGTAACACTATGCTCTATGTCCATATTTCATTCTGTAAAATATAAATTTATTTATTAATTTATTTCAAGCAACTAGGCCCATATCATAAATACCTTATAGACTAACATATGAATTATTAATATTATAAAACTAATATATTGATATTGTCTGTGTGGTCACGGTACTGACAATGGCAATCTGCCATGGTAGCGCTTTTCATGAAGGTTGGCAGCGTGTTGGTGAGGACACAGGCCAATTATGATGCATAAGTAAGAGTACCAATTAATTAATTTTAGAGTATAGTTTTGCTACATCACTTTTATTGTACAAAAGGATTCTGGGAACAGTAATAAAATTTCAGGATGTGGCACTAAGATAGAGACATTATTGCAATTAAATATGTACTTTAAATAATAGATAGTCCCCAGTAGATACGGTAACAGTATGCTCTGTTGGGATCATTAAAACATTGATTCATAAATAAATAAAAAATATAATTTGTTTAAATCACGTGCAAGATGCACTCTAGCCGTGATTTTCGAACCGGCTTCCGTTTAACCAATAATATGACTTATCGTTCTTTATTTAAACTGTATGAAATTGATAGCGTCACATGTCAATTACGTGTCACTCACTGTAAGTTCAGCAACTGAATAGTTAACCACCATTTGAACGTACAATAACTCGGATATAGTAATTACTCGCTATACCGGTATGGTCAACGATTAGTGCACTCGAGTGGAACAAATATCAATTATGAATTATATTACATACATTATATATAAACGATAATGTTGCAGTATATCCTACACTATACTAAATAAGAAGTTAGATTACGTAATCATTTTTTTTATTTATAAATAAATAGCAACAAATTAACCTCAAGGTTATCAATGTTTTTATCATATTATTTTTGAGTAGTTACAATTTTTACCTACTTGATTTTTTATTGAACAATGTCATTAGCACTGTATGTATATACATGTAATAGAAAAAAAAAGAAATAAATAGTACTTTTGCCAAATAATTAGAACTTTAACGAAGAGAATGTGATAAAAGCCATGTTTATTTTGACGTTCAAATGTCAAAATAATACGATCACAGAGCACTGATACAATACGATAGTAGCATTCATAGATTAAGAATTTATGTTAGAATATTATACACATGAGTGTCAGTTTTCAAGTAAGCAAAATATTTCTAATTATAAAATTGTTTTAAATATTTATTGTTGAAATTTTAATTTAAAAACTATCACCATTTCAATTACATGTATATCATAGCACAGAGTAGATTTTAATGTAGACGTTTGTCTAGTCATATGTGTGAACTACGGCTGACTATATAGTACGTGATGTATGAGCAAGTCTAGTGTAAATCTACATTAGGGAACTTTGACGTACTTGACAGTTAAAAAGTTTGTAATTCAAACGGTTTCGTTCGTTCGAACCAAACAAACAGTGTATATTGCTCTTGGATTTCCTTGCAACACTATTTTTTGGCAAGATTCCCTCGGGCGCGCGAGCTATACAAAATAACCGTCCTCTATCGAGCTTCAAGTCAAAAAGGATAAAAATAGAATTTCAGAGTGAGTTGCGTGTTCAGTTCAGTAACATTTTTGTTTGTAAATGACATACATACCGCGCCGCTGATTAGATTACGTGCTAGAAATCTAAGTGAAACTTATTGTAATCGACTAACTGTAAACATTGGACTGATTTTTTTCTTTATTTTACTGCAGATTGATTTTGAGAAGAATATATTGCTGACGGCCGTTGGTTGTGACGCATATAAAAGTGCACGGACGCATTCTGATGTAAATTTGCTGCGTAGCGAAGTGAAATAAATCAGTGAAATGGCTCACGAAATAGAGCCGATGGATATTGACAATATTGAGAGTGACTTTGACAATAAAGAGAACAGTTTTCATCATAGCAATGTTTTGCCAAGGACTCCATGTACGGAGAAGGGGTACGAGGAACTGGATGTGTCGGAGCTCAATATGAAACTCAGGTATTCAATGACACCAGCTTCTTCTCCAATGTCTAAAAGTTATACGGCAAATTGTGCTGACAGTAAAAATGTAGAATCAATTAGCGACCTCGGTGGCAATAATAATTTGACCCGCTCATACAATTCTATGATAAAATCTGAAAATATGTCTAAATCATTGAAACTACATCCCCTGCAAGTGCACTCATCTGACCAGTCATCGGATAACAATAGAAATGTATCAGTGTTGAGACAATTGGATACCACCGTAACATTGATAGACAAGAATGTAACTGTAACAGTAACTGGTACAGCAGATATAGATGAAAATATATCACTACCAAGTTCATCATCTTCTACCATAGAGACACCTGAAGCAACAACTCCGACAAAGGAAATTCCAAAACATGATGGTGGTTCTCCAATTATGCGTGGTTTGAAAAGTGTTCTGAATATGTTTAGATCTTCCCAGAGTCCTATATCAACTGAGGGGGATAATACTGCAATGAATAGAGATATACTTAGCCCAGTAGATGGAAGTCAAACTGATAGTGCAACCTGTACACAAAAGGTAGCTTTGGCTTCAACACCAATAGCTACCAAAAGAAACAAGGATGGATCATCAAAAAGAAGCAGCCCCCTTAAGGACAGCATAGTTTTTAATGATGATCTTGAAAAAGAACTATTGTGGAAGGATGAAACTACAATTTTATTTAGTGAAGAAAAGATTCCTATCCATAAATTATTTTATCAACAGTCTCAACAATTACCTAGTTTACAACTAAAAACTTCTGATGTTACAAAAGCTAGTACAGTAATTGAAGACGAAGGAGATAATATTAATTCTACTGTAGAGTATATGGATGTGTCATGTGCAGATTCATTAATTGATAACAAAACAATGGCTGATTTTACAACTGAGCCAATTGGTAATCAAACAGAATCTGATAATGAATTTGTGGATTGTGAAACATCTTACCCAAATAATGAAAGTGAACTACTGAATGATACAGATTTAAATAAAACATTAGACAATTTAAACATAAAATATGGTGTATCAAGTAACAATACCAATATACATATAAATACACAGATGGATTTGAATCTTGCAAAGGAATTGACTACAAATGTATTAAAAGAATCTATTGAAAGATTGACAAGTAATGACTATACTGAGAATATTGAAATGTTTACTGATAATAACATTATAGTTACAGATATTTCAAACTCAGATGAAATAGATAAAGAAACATTAACAGAAGAAGATTATGAAAATCAGTCTAGGCCAATAGAACTTAAGTTTAATACAGAAATGGGAAATAGTTCATATAAAAATTTACCTTCAGAAAACATCAATGACAACATCAACCCTGGAAATCTAGATTCACCCAGTAAAATGTTTGAAAATAACATAAACCATCAAAATGATAGTCACATGGCAGCAAAAGACATGGGACAGTCGGAGGAACAGTTTAATAATAAAATTTCAAATGACTCTGTAAGTTATGCAGTTTCATTAGAATCTGAAGATGGAATAATTACATCAATTACAGCAGCCAAAAATACTTCATTAAATTCACAGCCTACACAACTTCAGGAAAACATATCTTCGAATGGTAACACTTTATCTGAAAGATTACATGATTGTGAAGTTAATGTGGACATTGAGCCAAATATATCTAAAGATGATATTCATTCAATTTCAAATATGCATGTTCCTGTTGGTTGTAGTTTAAAAGTTGTATCTGAAAATGTCTTGTCAGATATCACTGTTGATAATCTAGGTCCAGATACTGTACTACAAAATGTTGCAGCCTGTACAGTTACAGAAAACATTTTAAAGTCTATGCCCCTTGGTGTTGAAGATAATGTATCTATTAACATAATTAATGCTGACACTAATTTACCAGTAGACATTCCATTACCAGAGGATGATCTTGAGACTGAAGAATCTTTTTCTGATCAAACATTAAATGAAAATATTGCTTTACAGTCTAATCTTCCTCCTGATGTCATAAGTGACTTAAATACTAATACTAAAATAGAAAATGCAGTTAAATTTGAGGGATTACCAACGGAATCTGTAAATAAAAGTTTATCAACAGCCAATTTTATTAAATGTGATGACAATGAACAACAAAATATATTACAAAAGAATGAACCAGTCCATAAAGAAATATCAACTATATATAATTCTGAAAATGAAAATGAATTAGTGGAATCATTTGCTAAAAAAAGTAATGAATTAAACAGTTTAAAAGAGAATGAAGTTATTAAGGAAATTAAAGAAGATGAACCTGATTTAATAGAAATCAAAAAAGATGCTAATGATGAATTTGTTACACTAAATTCAACTTCTATTTTCCAAAATACTACATATACACAAGAAGAGGAAAACCTAACTGATATCCACATTGCTGATCAATCCCAAGGACAAATTACACAAAATATAGGACCCATTATGTCCAGTGAGCACATATCACAAGAAGTAATGCAAAAAGAAAAAATATTACGATGTAATACCTCTATTACTGATAACAATGAATCTGTCAACTGTGAAATTAATGTACAATCTCAAGACGTTAATGTAACTAAAGAAAAAGAATCACCTGATCAAAAATATACAAATTCCAATATTAATTCGGAACCTGAGTCTATAGATATAGTAAACACGTCGATTGATAAAAAATATACTATTGTTGAAAACTCGATGACAGTTTGTGAAGGCGACATTAAAAATGGTGTTAAACGATGTTCTTTCATAGCAGAAAAGGATATTGAAACATTAGATGAAAAATACATAAAAGGAATAGAAGAAACAAAGGACACATTTCTTCCTACACCAGATAAACATGTAAGTATGTCAGACACCATCGTTCACGAAGAATTACTGGTTTCTGAAAATAATAGTCCTTATGTTTTGATATCAGTTGATAATGATTTAGAAATAATGTCTGCATGTAAAATTGATGAATTAGATAAAATCGAAAATCCTTTTACAATTAACACTAAAGTAGCATCTCCACCAATTTCTCCCAAAATAACTTCAAATGGCTATAATTTAAATTTTGATGATATGGATGATCCATTTGCCACTAAGACTAAAATTAGAGTATCTCCTCCTTTGGACTCTCCAAAAGAGCTTGTGAAACAAACAATTATAGACGTATCGAAAAACAAAATTGATACCAAAGGTAAAATAAAATTCCAACCCGAAAATCACAATCAGGGTCTGACAAAGATGCTTTGTAATTTAGCTGGCGATAATGCTACTAGTTCATTAGATAATCAAGAAAATTTGATAACTTCTGTAAACATTGACAACAGTAATGATATAAAAAATTTTAACAGTACAATATGCACTGTTGATATGGCTAAATCATTTAAAAATGAAATTGTAATGGAACAAGCCACTAATGATAAACCATTAACTGTAAAAATTGAAGATAATTTAATAAAGAAATCTGAAGTTGGGAATGATTTGGATAATTTGTCTAAAACACCTGATCCTTCAACAGTAGGTATTGATAGTAAATCACCAGGTGAATTGAATAAGACATCAAATGAATGCAAAGACACATCGTCCTCAGAGCAGTCTATTTATCTTTCTGCTGCGACTTCATCTGGTGAAAGCATCACATCTCGAAATGTTTTTAACATTCCTGAAATTGACAGTATCAATCCATTTGTTACCAAGATAAAAATGTGTCAATCCCCACAATCAGATACAAAAATGGATAAATTGTTTGAGAATAACGAAAATGTTGCATCTATAGAGTCTAGTTCCAAGGAGAATGCAGAATCGCAAAATTATAATCTCGATGATGAATCTAAAACTCCGAATGTTTCGTCAAACATCGAAGAAAAAGAGCATATAGATGTAAGTAATACTACGTGCTCTTCAAAAACAACAGATGATAAAAATATCACTGTACGTGAAGTTCACACTGATGAAGAAGATACAATTGAAGGTCCCTTCCTGGAAGCAGACGATTTAAATAATGATAAATTATCAGATTTTATTTATGACAATGCTGATATGATACACTTTACGGAGTTGCCACCTCAAGCCAATGATGATTTAGAATCTGGAGAACTTTTTATTGATGCAGAAGCGTTTGAATTTCTTCTAAATCAAAACAAACGCAATGTTGTGTCTGACAGTGGTAAAGAAAGTTTATTCTTAAAATTCGACCCCTTGTTTGCCAAGAGAATGTCTTCAGATGGAATGTTAGCAGCATTAAATAAAATACAAAAAAGGCAAAGTACACCCAAAAAGATGTGTAAGCCAGTGACTACACCAGCTGGTGACATTCCCATAGCAGGACCTTCTACTTTGAATGTTAAGCAGAGTAGCATATCGGAAGATGTTGAGGATGTTAATATAACAACGTCGAAACCAATGATGGTTGTAACACCTGCTGTCAATTCAATTGTATCTCCTAGAAAATCTGCAACCCCCACTATTTCTAATCGTCGTTCTCTCACATTCACATCTCCTGCCATTGCTGTTATTGACAGACTATTGTCTTTGAGCGCAAACAATTCATTAAATGATCACGATACTTCAGCTGTGCAAATTGGTAGAGAGCAGAATGAAGCAGATTTAGTGCTCACTCAACTAAGAGAGCTGTTGGCTGAAAAAGAAATAAGCGTGTACAATTTAAGATCTGAGAGTAAAGAGTTGAAGAATAGGTTGTCCAATCTGGAAACTCACATGCAAACTTTAGAATCTGAATGTGACGAAAGACTAAAGAAAATTAATGATTTAACGGATAAACTTTCTGAAAAAACGAAAATCAATAGAAGTATGGCATCAGTTGTAGAAGAATATGAGAGAACGATTGCTAGTCTTATAGCAGAAACAGAACAAGATAAAAAAAATCATAATGAGGAACGACTTAAACTTATAAAAGAAAGGGATGAACAAACTGCACACTTGGCAAGTATGGAGGTTTCGTTTAGCGACTTACATAGCAAATACGAGAAGAGTAAACAAATTATTTTGACTTGTAAAGCTAATGAAGATACATACAAGAAGTCTATTAAAGAATTTGAAGAGAACCTGATTAAAATGCAGAATAATTATGAGTTATTAAAGCAACACGCAACTTCAAAACTAAATCACGCCAATCAAGAATTAGAAAAGATGAATAGAGCACATGAGGCGGAGGTTTTGAAGTTAAACGCCATGATCAAGAGAAAGGAGTTGCATATTACATCTTTAGAGGAAACTCTCACACAAAAAACAAAAGCGAACGAGGAATTGACGGCGATATGCGATGAACTCATCAATAAAGTCGGCTGATCTAATTTGAGATAAATCCAAATATTTACTTTGTTATGTGTCTGTGATCTAAACTGATGATATATCGGACATGTTGCTTTTGTACTTATCCAATGATAAGTTTCATAAAGTGTAGAAGGTTAAACACCAAAAGCATGTGCCAAAAAACCTTGTTAGTGCCTATTGAATACTGAAAATTTCCATTCAATGGTAAGACTGTTACTTGTGATATAAATTCTTGTAGTAATAATGTCAAAATTTCTTCCTCCTATATTTAGAACACCGCACATTTTTTATTATGCCGGACATAATAAAAATGTGCCGTCTGATGTCTTAAATTAATATGTCAAAAAGAAATGTGTACGGGGACTGGGAAAGCTCCAAATTAAGATATTTTAAATAATTTATTTTGTGAAATACAATTTACAATTTGATTATTTTTGTTATCATGTATGGCGAACAATTGAATAGTTAAGTAGTATTTTTGTATATAATTTATTTAAAGAATATATATTTTATGAATGATGTAAATAACAATTCATTGTAATTCATTCTGATATTGCATGTGACTGACATATTCTTCAATACACTCGGTCGGGATTGAATAAACATTGTAGTCATATATAAGAATGCACATACAAAATCCTGAATGGCAGTGAAACCCGTATCAAAATACTAATTGCGTGATTTAGAAGTAGGCGAAGAAATATATGCTGACAGCGATTTTACTTTATGCTATTGAGACATGTTTCACAAATTTCATGTAAGTATGGTTATATTTATGTTAAACCATGTACATTTTTTTTTCTATTGATTAATACATTTTTCATAATCTTACCGTTTGTAAAAAAAATTGTTCCGAGTAGAATAGCAACTTGAGAAAGTATATTGCCACGGTACAGATATGCATATACCATATCGTATAAAACATAACTTACATTATTTGAATTGTTAATGTTTTAGTCATCTAATTGTACTTCTGGCCACTCAAGATACGCATGTATAATTTACAATTTGAAAAAATGTGCATATATAGATATTTTTTCCAAGTGTTACATTTCCCAGAGTTTGAATATAGAATTAGATATTTTTTATAATCTGTATTAATTATTTATTATAAGTTTGAGTATCTCTAATTTTATTCTATTTTTTTAAACTATAAATTGTGATGTTTCTATTCTCATTGTATTAGTCATGTTTTAAAACTTTGTAATGGGATGACAATTGTTTCCAATTGTAATGTGTCTATTATCCCTTTTAGATCTAAGTTTTTTTATTATTTTAGATTGATTCCACTTGTATGCCTGAGAGTTACTAATTAAGATTACGAATTTATTGGCTGTTTTGGAAAATCATGTTATCTCAGTTTCATATCTAAAAGGGAATTGCTCACTCCTTGAATCTCTTATCACCCGTATGATATATACAATTTAAATCTAATTAACTCGTAAAGTAACCAGTGTAGTTTTCTTACTGAAATCTTACTGATTGTGTGACTACACGTATGTGAGCTGTTAAAGCCCTTTAAAAGAGTAGGTAGACAAAATTTTACGCGCAATCGAACTGAAAAATTGTCGAATATTTTTTATTACAGTCAATTTAAACTGAAGTTATTTGAACTGAACTTGTATCTGTAAAATATATTTATAGAGCTGTAAAAGGATAATACTATGGAATATTTTTTATAAATTGGACATAATTTTAATATGATTATATTGACATTTTAGCAGTTGTGTATGTTGCATTAAATACAATAAAAAATTGTGTTTATATATATGTCTTAAAATGTTGTAATAAAATATAGTAGGTATATTTGTATATAATTTAGTATTTAATATGATTTCTTTATGGTTTAATATTGAATATAACGATATTCTCGATTTAATATCGAACCATTCAAATCAAAAGCCAGTCGTAAATTGTTGGACTGTTTTTGTAATAGTTAAGTGTGTGATGTAATTAATAGCCGTATTATAACTTGTTATGTGAAAAGTATAAGATTTAAAGATAATTCTTAAAAGACATTTCACACGTTCGTTCACGGATCGCCGTGAGAACACAAAAAACTATTTTCACTTAATAAAACGGTTTAACAAAAGCAGTTCGTTGCATCACCAATGTATAGAGTAATTAGATATTTTAGATAAATAAAGTTGATTTTTTTTTTCATCTTTGTTTCTATTTACATCCTTCTGCACTTTTCGTTGAACTTTCTGTTTATATTTTTGTTTGTTTATTGGATGATAATGGAATGCATCCGCCTGCGTTAACGATTTACGTTGGCGGGGCACCGGTGGAGGATGATAAGATGAGCATGATGGTCAGGTCAGTTAGTCCATCGTAACAAATTCACCAGGTATTTATCATTATGGTTCAGTAGGGACCGCTTTTTTACGGACTACTCTAATGCTGTTGGCCGCAGCTGGCCTTTACAGCTTCACCGGACGTTAAGGGGCGAGTGCAGATGGCACTCCAAACCCGCGGAAGGACTTATGGAGCGGCTGAAGACCAACTCCTGCCTGGCGGATACGACTTTAGTCTGAGGGCACCACTAGGGGTTCGAACCTCGTCCGCCGTTGTAATTTCGATCCCCGTTTGAATTGGACGGGGATCGATCGGAGGGGACAGGAGACCGCGTGGAGAACAACCTGACATGATACATTGCTAGCAATGGGGTCATCAGTACACATTACTGACAACCCCCTTTCCCCATTCTATTTTTATTAAACTAGTAGGCGTTATGACTTCACACTGGTGGAACATATATAAAACATTTTCTTGCCTTCATTCCGTAATTTGGGGACGGCGTAGTATGTCATCTTCCACCGGGCCCTATCGACCGATAAATCTATATAGATAGATAGAGTGTATTCATATCCATTGAAACACATTTATCCTACAAACAAATATGTGTATGAATGTTATAAAACTAATAAATAAATAACACTGGACATTGAACACAGCGTCATCTAGTTCCACAGTAAGCAGAGCTTGTATTATGGGTACTGGACAACTGATATAAATACTTAGATTTTTTTGTAAATAGGTATATAATAAATACACATAGAAAACACCCGGACCGATACAAACAATCATACTCATGAATGTAAATGATTGCATCGTGCGAGGAATCGAACTCGGGAGATCATCGGAAGTAAAGAGTCGTACTAAACCGCTAGACCACCGAGACCGTCAGAAAACAATACACTTTAAATTATGCACGTAAAATTTCAATAAATATGAGCTTACTCTCCTTTTCAGCATTATTTACTTATATATTAATATGTCTAATAGTTAATTCTAGATATAGCAACACTAACTGGTACCCGCGCCATTGTCTGTTTTTTCCTGGAAGATGTTCTATACCCGTCCTCGTCATATAAATCTATTTTCACGTTAAATTTTATTAACATCCGTTCAACTTTTTTTCGTGACATGGTAACAGTTATCATCATCTGCTTTTTCCTTATATTATTCCTTATATTTGGTCGTTGTAATATGTTTTTCTCTTCCAATCATCCCTGTTTACAGTCATCGCGTTATTTACTCCCTTTCTTACCATATCATCTTTCACACAGTCCATCCATCTTTTTTTTGGCCTTCCTCTACCCTTATAACCATCCACATTCATATGTAACACCTTCTTTAAAATATTAATAGTATCTTACAATTAGTCTTTCAATTCTAGTACATTAGTTACTTATTTTATGATAGTAGCAGTCAAATTCATAGGATCTGTTAAAAAAGATCTGTTCAAACAATTAGTTGTGAATAAGTAACATTGCTAGTAATTGGAACAATAGTTCCCATTACTGATAACCGTTTCTAAATAAATTATAAATATTTTGAACCCCAAAATTGTGGTAGGTATATATTTATAATGTGCACAATAAACGGAACCTCCTTAGCCTGGGGGAAGAGGATTGTAGTAATGTGGATTAATAATCCCATTGCTAGAAATATACCATGTTAGGTTGACCTCCACGCGGTTCCCCCTGGAAACGATCACGTTAAATTCCTATTGAATTTGCCACGATGGCCTAACTGACCTGACCTCATACTCATCTTATAATCCTCTACTGGTGCTTCACCGGAGTATACTGTTAACGCACGCGAGTGCACTATTCTATTGTCATTCCTCCAAAAAATACCCTCTTTAGCCAAATCAGTTAAAGAATAACAAATTGTAATCAAAGATATTTTTAGTTTGCCAGAGTGTACCGTTAACGCAGGCGAGTGCACTATTCTATTATCATTCCTTAAAAAAACCCTCCTTAGCCAAATAGGTTAAAGAATAACAGATTGTAATCGAAGATGTCTTTAGTTCTCTACTCTTTATGTCCATATAGTAAACAGTGCCAGCCTGTGCCACGTGTGTTTACCGTAAAAAAACATAGCGCGGGGGCGACGACCTCATCCAATATTATTCTGGCCCGGCTCTCGTGTCTTTTCACCGAGGAGTTCCAACGAAGTAGGATACGTGGTCTTGACGCGTTGCTATGGCAACCAGCGATAAACACTGCCAAACACTGTCAGTTAGTACGGAGAAAAAGCAAATAGTTGACCTCGAGGAGTATGCCCGAGTGATGTACGATGAGACAGTGGTGGTGAATGGTAGAGAAATCGAAAGTCCTAGCTCTGAAGAGGAAGTGGAGGCAGCAATGTCCAAGTTCAATCCCCCGGTGAGGCACACGGCGCGCCATGACTTCGACTCGGACAGCGAAACTGAATCCGAGCCGGAAAAATTTTTGGATAACGTGTCGGAGGATGAACGGGTAAGTAATTGTTATTTATTATATTATCCGCTAGTAATATAATACCTAAGTATAGTAATTATTTGTCTATAATTAGGTACATATTATATTATTATATTAGCGGATATTACATATTAGTATAAATCTAGATAAAAATTATAATTAGATCAATTCCAATGTGCAGAAGTTGAAGCACATTCTTGGATATCAACTAACTAGTTGGTACTCCCGACTTCGTTCGGGTTTAGTTGAACGATTCTTTAATTTTTAAACTGAAAGTAGCGTAAGTCACTCTTTATAACATTAGCTATCTGCGAGTGAAAGTCCCGTCTAAATCGATCGAGCCGTTTCAGAGATTAGCAAGATTTTATTTAATTTTTTTGTGTTACTACCGTATAAAGTACATAACATTCATACGCATGAAAACCCGTCAATTTGAAATTACAAATAGATACTTCAATGTTATTTATTTGACAAACCATATTTAAGCAGTAAATTTATAATCAATTAATTTAATATTGGTACTACATGTAAGTAGCTTTAATTTCAATTAATTTGATATTGATTTCCTTGAATACCAGGTGGAGGTCTGGTTCCCATTATTAAACTCCATAGAATCGGTTGCCTATAACTATTTAATTGACCTTTAGTCTCCAGGAAGGAAGATTCCTTCGCCCTCTGAGAAGTCCGTTGAAGCTCCGAAGGTGAAACCCAGAGAAACAAAAAACGCAAGAGCTCCGTTGAAAAAACCGGAATCTTCAAATTCGGGTAAGACTTAAAAATTATTGATTATTATACACCTTACATATTTTTTTCTTTTTCATTTTAGGTCCATTCGCACAACTCCATCTAGTCTCAAGCAAAGCACAGCTTGTCTTATGGGTATACTAAACAACTGATATTAATACGTAGATATTTTTTTGTTAATACATATATATAGAAAACATCTACACCGATACAAACATATATATGAATACAATTGCGCGAGCAATCGACACCAATGAAAATAACTCGGTTTCCTGAACCGCTAGATCACCAAGACCTTTTTAATTTGTGATATCACATTTCTATTTTTACATTATATTAATTTAAAATGTCCTCGATGGTCTGGAGGTTTATCATATTAATTTACGACTGTCGCAGGTTCGATCTCCACATAATTCAATGGGTATACTAAACAACTGATATTAATACGTAGATATTTTTTTGTTAATACATATATATAGAAAACATCTACACCGATACAAACAGTCATACTAATGAATACAACTGCCCGAGCAATCGAACCTGCGACCAATGAAAGTAACTCGGTTTCCTGAACCGCTAGATCACCAAGACCTTTTTAATTTGTGATATCACATTTCTATTTTTACATTATATTAATTTAAAATGTCCTCGATGGTCTGGAGGTTTATCATACTAATTTACGACTGTCGCAGGTTCGATCTCCACATAATTCAAACATTTGTATTCGTCATGAGTGTTATTGTTTGCATACATCTCATGTTTAACGGTTATGTAAAAAAGACTAGCGATCCGTTCTGTTTCGCACGGAATAAATGATATTCCTGGAATATCACTTAAAAGGAAGGAAAAGGACACATCCAAACAAGACATCATTAAAAACTGCATTTAGTTCCATGCATTGTTTTTACGTGGCGCGTGTACAAACATGCAGCCTGACAAACAGACAAAAAGTTAAAAAATTCTGACGTTTGCTCTAATAAAGCCTTAATAGCTAGTTTTTTCTTTAATATATATTATTAATATTATAAACGCGAAAGTTTGTGAGTAGGGTTTGTGTGTGATGTTTGTTGCTCTTTCACGCGAAAACTATTGAATGGATTTTGATGAAACTGTACAATAATATAGCTTATACATCAAAATAACATATAGGCTATAAATTTCACGCGAGTGAAACCGCGGGCACAGCTAGTCTAAAGGTCTATTAAAATTTTATTACATGTAAAGAAGACATAAAGATAAATGAATAATGTATGTCCATATTTATTTTAGTTAGTAAGGAATTGAACTTTTGTCTGAAACCAAAGGAAATTCCTGGTCTATTTTTGAGTTTATAGCTCATTGAATCATGCGCTTTTATTACTATGATTGAACTGTCATGTGTAATGATGAAAGGAATGGACGAAACACCGTTCTACTTATATTCACGGCTTCTAAAATGAGGCGACTAATTTGTGTTTACCGTTCTTGTACCATATATAATCTATTTCCCGGTATCACGCTGCTCTTGTTTTATTTTTTGTCATTTTTAAACGCAAACTAGGTACCTGACAGTCCATGTAAGTAACGTAACGTCGTCGTCTTACGTGAGTTCTTATTTTACTGTATTTAAATATGAATTTAAATAAAATGAATGTAATGTAAATGAATTTAAATGAAACAATTGTCGCAATCGTTTCAGTAGTTTCTGAGTTAACTCGTTACAAACATACAAAATTTTTTCCTATTTCCTTTGTCAATGTTGTATGTTTATACATGTTTATATATTAATAGTGAATATAAATGTCTGTATGTGTTCTGTGATGAGAACAATAAAGAATTTTAATTTCATTTCATTTCAATAATAGGTACCAATATTTCTTCCTTCTAATATTAGCGTAGATAAAGCCATTGACAACTTAAAAATAACAATAGTAAAGTGATAAAGTGTTACGTATTTACAGAATCAGATAGTGCTGATTTGGAAGCTGAGAAGCCAGAGCCGGTTGCTGGAAGTGGAAGGAAGCGCGGCGGAGCTGGCGTTGTCATTCCAGCCGAGGGCGCTTATGACCCTAAGCAGTTCCAGGATTTGAAGGTGCCACCAGAGATTGAAAACATATTCCAGTACATCATGAAGTAAGTTTTGACATATACTTTTTTTTTATTAATTTTATTTGTTTCTCTGTGTTTATTATCACATTTTTTGGATATTACCTACTTCAGTCGAGATTTGATACGGCCAAAGTTTTAATTGTTTAATGTGTTCCTCTGGAGGGGATGCTAAATTATGAAATGATAAATATATATTTTATATACATTAGTTAGTAGTTAATACTTAGATATAAACATATACTACACTATGTTTAATTTCAGTACATATACTAGAATTAAATATTTACTTTAGTGATAAATCTAGTTTACAGACCTATATATATAGGTGCTTGTTCTCTGGGCACTTCGTGTTATGGTGTAAAATTATAGTAATTTATTATCCACTAGCTTTTACCCGCGGCTTCACTCGCATTGAATCCATTAATTTTTTTTAATAAAAAATATCCTATATGAAAATATCAATATAATTTAGTATTTAATTTGATCTATAAATCGTGGTTATTTATTGCAATACGTGTTATGAAATAATTGATAATATGATATTATATTTAATAATATAATTAGATATTATTTTCATATACATTTTAATAAAACGTTATTAGCATTAATAAATTTAAGTAGTTAAACAGAATAAGTTGTTAAATGACTCGATGGTTAGATAAGTGTTCAGAATTGCGACTTTGGAATATTACAGTCTCAATTTTTTTTATAGTTGTTATATATATACAAATAAATAAAATCGAGTGTCTGTTAAAAAATTCCAAATCGAAACGTTTTCACTAAATGCATATGAAAGGATAATATGAATTTATGAAATAAAATATGAAAGAAAAGAATGTCTATTCTTGCTGATCTCTTGATCTCAGAAACGTTTGCACCAATTTTGATGGGAATTTTGCACGCAAATAACTAAAGTTGTAAGGAGCGACTTAGGCTACTTTTGTTTAGAAATTTATTATAATTAAACTCGAACAAAGTCGAAGGTCCCATCTAGTTGGCTAATATGTACGTATAAGGTGCAACTTCTGCACATCAGAATTGGTTTAATTATAATTTTTATCTAGATTTGTACCTTGTACCCTAGTATCGTTGCATAGTGGGTGTCCCTCCCACGCGCAACCTTGTCTGAACTGAGCTGGTGTCGTTCCAGTAATTTACCTATTTGCAGTAATTGTATTACATACTACAGGTACCAAGTAGTTTTATTTCATTTATATTATCTGTGATATATATATTACATCATTATCATTACATAGTATAAAATAAAGTCGCTGTCGCAATCTGTGCCGTCCCTATGTATGCTTAAATTTTTAAAATTACGCAACGCATTTTTGAAGCGGTTTTTTTAAATAGATGGAGTGATTCGATAGAGTTCGTCTACACAATCTTCAGCTAGCTTAACTTGGGTATAGATGGCGCTGTGTGAATTGTCCTGAGATTATTATTATTATTATATTGGAGAACTTTCTTTTCTTAAACTAATAGATGTTAGGGCTCTTTGCTACGATGCATCCGTTACGCGGTATGTGAGTAAGTATAAATATCCATTGTTTATGTGACCCGGTTTTTTCAGATACACCCCACAGAAAATAGACATAGAGTTCAAATTGCAACCGTTCGTCCCGGAGTACGTGCCGGCAGTAGGCGATATCGATGCATTCCTCAAGGTATCCACGCCCGCGGCCAACGTGCGCGCCGCGCCGCTCGCCGAACATGTTCTCGAGCATATAGACAACCTAGGTATATTATTATACAAAATCTACATAAGGTTTAATTATAAACGCGAAAGTTTGTGAGTATGGATTGATGTTTGTTACTCTTTTACGCAAAAACTAATGAACGGATTTTAATGAAACTTTATAATATAGCTTATACATCAGAATAACACATAGGCTATAAATTAAAAAAATATATTATGTAAATTGGACGTATAATGATAAATATCAAGTAAGTGGAATGCAGACGAAGTTGCGCGGGACAGCTAGTTTTACAACGCAATACCAGTCACCGCGGTTGTCTGGGCCCTGAAATATAATCTAGAAACAAAAAAATTAACTTTTATAAAAATTATGTGAAAGGTAAAACATTAATTCTGAAAATTTAATTTAAACACAAAACATTAATTCTGGAATAAAGATATACATATCATGCATCCATCCAATAATAACAAAATATGGAGCGATAAGAGTATATGATATGTCAAATCTACCGGCAGTTCGAAGTGCTTTCGAGCCAAGAACCAACAAGAAACTCAGGTTCTTTTCAAATGAGTTTTTATATAACTTATACATAAACATAGATATATATTTTTTTGTAAATATATACATATTATACATAGAAAACACCCAGACCGATACAAACAATCACACTCATGAATACAAATGTTTGTGCCGTGCGCGGAATCGAACCCGCGACCATCGGTCGTAATGCAAGTCGTAATGCTAGACCGCTAGACCACCGAGGTCATCTGAGAGACGGACGGACGGACGGACGGACGGTAGGAAAAAAAATAAAATTAGAATGTAAAAATTTGACGTTCATAAGCGGCTAAAATGTCCTACATGAATAAATGATTTTTGAATTTGAATTTGAGTATATAGTGATAACCAATATACAACACATAACATAACATACAACAACAACATTTTAAATTTAAAATATGCGTGTTGATGGCAGGTTTAACAGTATTGGACGAACCTGCCTCGGAGCAGAGCGAATCTGCCCTCCTACATTTGCAACTACGAGCCATATCGAAGATCAGCAGCGCCAAGTCCAATGTGGTACGTTAATTATTCACTGGCCATAATACTCTATTATATATTGTACACACAGACAAAACAAAAACATTTTTTATAACTTATTATAAAATCTATAAGTTGTATTTGATATTCAAATTTACTTTTTTTATTTAAATTTGATTATTATTTAGACAAAAAAATGTTCTCTACAGAAAACAAATGTTTGCATTATACGGGAATTATATCAGAAGTTAAACACGCTAAACCTTATTAGTGTCATGATTTCTATGTTAAATGACAATAATTACTAATTGTGAATGGACTGTATATATATGGGGCTGGTAGATATAATTATGCAAACACAGGTTTTAGGAAGCAATAATATAATATTATGTACAAAAATAAAATAGCAGAACAAGAAGGACAATTACATATATTTTTCTATATAAAATAATAATATACAAAGAGGTGCGTCGTGCACACTAATAATGAATCGTAATTGTCATTTGACAGGTAACGAAGAAAATCGAGAATGCGGAGAAGAATACGAAGGCAATAGATCGGTGGATCAAGGATGTGAGCGAGCTACATCTCTCAAAACCGGCGCCCACCGTTACGTACACCGCGTGAGTTTTTGTTTTTTTATGTTAACATTAGGTGGTGTTTTGCCATATAAATTAATATCGCTATAAAAAAATAGGGGTTGATGGTAGAAGGCAGAATTCAATCATAAAGTAATTGAAATAAATAATTTTGTTCATAAACATTTATTTTGATTAGTAATCTGCATAGATATATAATAATAATAATGATCCTTCACAATTCACACAGCGCTATCTAGTTCCAAGCTAAGCAGATCTTGTGTTAAGGGTACTGGACAACTGATATAAATATATTTTTTTTGTAATCAAACTCATTAATACAAATGTTTGTACTGTAGGAATTTTACCCGCGACCATCGGAAAGTAAAGCGAAGTGCAAACGGCTAGAGCACCGAGGCTTCAATATAAATAAACTACCAATATAAATAAACCGTTACCGTAGGCAGATTCACCATTAACAACCATTAAATGTTACAGTAAAACACCAGATATCGATACACTAATGGAGGAATGGCCAGAATCCATGGAGGACACCCTGAACGAAGTCGGTTTCCCGGCAGCGAACCTCGACTGCTCGTTATCACAGTATGTGGACCTGGTGTGCGGTATATTCGATATACCAATAGTAGGTGATACGTTGAATGCTAGGATACAAGCCCTACATCTGTTATTCAGTTTGTACTCGGCTGTGAAGAATTCACAGTTGTACGCGGAGAGACAGAAGGAGAAGGAAGATAATGTAGCTGGATAAGGGGGAAAGTGGATTGTTAGTAATGACCCCATTGCTAGCAATGTGCCATGTCAGGTTGACCTCCACGCGGTTCTCCCTGGAAACCATCATGACAAATTCATAGAGAATTTGTTGTGATAAACTGACTGACTTGACTTCATGCTCGTGTTATCATCATCCTACACTGCTGCCTCGTAAATTGTTAACGTACCTAGGTTGGGGTATATTTCCATTATCATCCATAAAAATGTGGTTGGATATATAATAAGGTTGGATAATAATAAGGACAGTTTCAAGTCAGAGTGAATAAATTCATATAAATAGTTATTTTAGTCAGATAATATGTATTGTATTAAAAAAGCTTTAAAGTGTGAGCAATTATTAGCACTCATAAAGAGAAGTAATATTATATCAACTATGAAGTTAACCCAAACAATTAATAATATGCCTCGTCCAAGAACATTACCATTGATTGGTACAAAATTGGATTTTTTTATTGGTGGAAGCGGAAAATGTTTCATGAATAAAATGTATATTTTATATAAATTTAACGTTTTATTCACTAACTGTGTCTGTGACATCGAATTAGCACCTAAAAACAAAAACCTTTCTAGAATGAGAGATCATGTTACAGTAATGTTTAAGATGAAAGTACGATTTCTAAATATATGTGACTAACCCTTAATGCAGATTAATAAATAATGAATTATTATAAATAAAAAAAAATCGTAAAAACTCTACGAAGATTTGTCAGCAAAAATATAACAATTGGATTCTGGAATTCAGAAAGTTGTAAATTATTATTATATTTCTGTGTTTATTGGACAAAGACAGTTTTTCACGATATGTACCCAAGATATTAACAAATAAGCAATCTTCATTTGTGAGCTAAAGTAATTAAAAAGCTTATTTATATTAATAGAAGGTATACCACAAATACACGACGCATCGTGATGAGGCATGGACTCTTACAATATTATGTTAATTTATTTATGGCTTTAGAATTTATATTGGTTTTCCTAACTAATAAAGCTATTACGTCAGGGATATTACACTGTAATATTTATAGACCGTAGATTAAAGTTTGTGTCTAATAATTCTCTGTTATTATTACAGAGACTGACCTACATGAATAAACTTATTTTGTTACAAAACATAGGAGAACCTCAGTACACAATTAGACATATCACGTCTGGGTGCTGTTTATGTATAATTATGTATTAAAAAAAAATGATTCCAAATATTTGTATCAATTGTCTAAAAACCATAACACAAGCTTTGCATAGCTTGGGACTAGATGGCACTGTGTGAATTGTCCATTATTACTAAGATTTCATTCATATGAATAACCCTCACATAAGGGTTATTGTTTAATATTAATTCTTAAAGCCGTTATATTGGGGTTATCATTACTGCTACGTTATCCATTCATAAAAAAAAAAACATACATAACCGAGGTTATTTATAAGACGAGGAGTAAGAAATAAAAAAGAAGTCAGTTTTTAAATAATTTTATTAGTAAACCGGGCAGGTGACCGCATGAGATCTATGTCTTTTGTTAGGTTACATTGGAAGACTACACTGTTGACAATAATTTACACACTAAATAACGTGGACCTAGTTGCACTACCTGATGCCCGCCGGTCCCTTCACACACTACCATCGCAGACTATATATTTTATAACCGTAAATATCCCGTTAAAGCCTCTCATGACAGACCTAGAATGCGTTTCAAGAGAAGAATTGATAAAATGCAAGATCTTAGCAAGTATACTCAATAATCGAATCGCACTGCTTTCAATTGAATAACATAAAAAAATTACCACTTGAGTATCTCGCCAGTTCTTCTGTCTCTAGCAGCCGGCCGAATTGGGCGGTAGGGATAAATATAACGTGCACAAGAGCTTCAAAGTATTTAGAATAATTATCACCTAGTGGTAAGTGCTTACCGGCGCCCATGAGTACCTGCAACACTAAGACAAGTGTGTTGCCGGCCTTGTAAGACAGAATAAACTAACCATTTGAAAATTATATTAAATAATTCACTATAGTAGTCTTTACGGTACTAAAATATATAGTCTCTGCTTCTACTATAATCCATTCCAATAAAACGTTTTGCCATAGATGCAGTAATCAACCTTGGTCAAACGACTAGATATCTTTGCCTTGATGTATATAAAATAAATAAAAAAAAAATATAAGTTTTATTCTATATAACAATAAAAGGTGAATCCATACAGACAGGAACCAGACGCCAACATATAGAGTAACTTATTTATAATAGTATTAGCTACATTACATACAATAAATAATAAGAAAATGTATGTAAAAGGTGGCCTGCATGTTGTCCTCATTTGGTATTATCGGTTACAAAAGAGAAAAACATATACCAAAAATCCACCAAAACCGTTGCTTTAAAATTGCTATATTTTGCGTCTCATTTTGTCTGCATTTCTGTCTGAGTATTTTGGATCAATTTTCCGCTATTGTATTGTGCAGTGTTCCTGATTTTGTCTGACTCTGACTCTAACTGATCCGCTTTATTTCACTCTGAGAAAATGTTGGTAATGAACTCAAAAATATATAATCATATTGTAAGATTACAAATTGGGCCGTTGGGCCAACTTTGCGGTGTGAATAGTGCTCTCGTAATGTCAGATAGGGCGCATATGCAATGATTGTTTGAGTGCAATTTTGTATCTGGAAACTATATGGTTTATTATATCGAAAATTCTGAATATATTTTTTGTCGAAAGTGAATGTGTCTTTTGTGTATGAATGAGGATAATATTCAAATGGTTTGCAATTATACCTCAATTTAAAAAATTCAACTAATTTCAGTAGTATATAAGCTATTCCTATTATGACTTGCTTGATGCCACAATAGTAAATTTAAAAAAAATACAGTCATCGATCAATAGAAACGCACTCTTATAAAAAAACTCTCAAATAAACATGTCACAACAAACAATCCAAATCTGAATAACACTGACATAGTAATGTCGTCCAGTTTATCTTTATATAGTTAGACAGAGTTATATATATATTTCACAACATTTCATTCAGACGCATCAGAAGCAAATTGCGAATAAAATATAACTTGTATTGTTTAAAATAAAGCTTATAATTCAATAGCATTATGAATGCATAAAATTAATAAAAAAAAAAACAAAGAGTAATGAATATGTCAAAACTGCTACTAACCGGTTAGTAAAGGTTAATACAAGCATTTTCAATTTATATCGAAGAAAAATTTATTTTGGCGTGATTTGACAGTGTGTGTGTGTGTGAGTGCATTTCCCAGTATTGTACAGTATGAAACTAAAAGGACATTATTACATATGCATCGGAATTCTTGGAATGGATTCTAATTTAACTCTAATACGATTCATTATTGCTAAATTGCTGGACAAACCTCTAGAACATTACTAATAATAACTATTAATGTAACATACAATCTGTTTTATTACACTTGGTATATTTAGTAAATCATCATTACTTAGTGAACAATTTCGAAATATCCTTATATCACAATTACACTTTTTAATAAAAATAATACTATTTTTTTTAATGTTTACAGTTGACCATTCCTCTGCCTCTTAGTATATTTTACATATAAAACGTCTCTAAAACAAATGTGATACCCATATCAAAATTCGTTACGTGGTTTAGAATATGCAAGCGAAAATAGATGTAGATAGATTCAAACAGCAACGTTGGATATTGTACAAGCAGTATTACTCTGTCTTCTTGTTTAATAGAGTAATTTCTATAAAAAGATACACTAAGTTTGTTTACTAAATATGCCAAGTTACAATTTGTATATAAAGTAAGCAAAATAGTATTTAATATTTTCTGAGGTCAATTCATACAGAGCCTCAAGCCTCAATCTAGTCCCAAATTAAACAGAGTTTGTCGATACCAAATAAGTGATTGAAGCACTTAAATTTTTTTTCATAAATAGACACATCTTTATATATAAAAATTATGTGTCACGTTGTTTATCCGCGAAACTACTGAACCGATTGCAATTTTTTTTGCATACTGTGTGCAACTTGTAAGATAGGATAGCTTACATCTCAATTTATAGTCGCAATTTTATTTTATTCAAGAACCTTAGCCACAGCAATACCTGGCCGGGTCTGCTAGTTAACAGAAGGAACCATGACAATCATATACAATACAAATCTTTGTATCGTGTGAGAATCGAATCTAACATCGGAGGTAAGGTGTTGCTGGCAGCTAGCCTACCATTCTTTTTATAAATATTGTATTATTTTTATTTCTCTGTTCTCTCTGTTTATATCTCTGTTCTTTATATATCAGTTTTGACTACTTTTTTTAACTCTATACACATATTACACAATTATTAAAGTGTTTCAATAAACAGTTGTTATCGTCACATAAATCGATAGACTACTGACAGTCTATCGATTTAACTCATATATAGTTATGTTTATTTTATATTCTAATTATTAAGTTGGTTTTTCATTGCTAATACAATAATATAGATTGTATGTTGTTGTATAAAAAAAAATTAGAATCATCCTCGTTGACGCATCACCCATTATAACGGATATGACGTAGTTATTAAACACTATTTTGGTTACACAATATATAGTCTACAATCGTATGACATAGAATAAATACGCGCTAATAGAAATACTGACTATTCATTGTAACCTACACATCATAAAGAGCCACATCAAATTAGTCTTAGCCCGTGGCCACACCGTTGTTCAGTATATTACTAAAGTCACAGTGTGACCGCGGCCTTACGTTCACTTCTTAAGTAACGCTTAATTTAAATAAATCTATTATGTACAAGCAAATTCACAAAGCATACTTTATCACAGTTCAAAATTCTGCACCCACTCAAATTGTTTTAATTAAATATCTATCCTATTTGTTTATTAATAGAATCTAAAGTCCTGTAAACAATGATTTACTGGTTCAAGTAAGACTGCTAATATACAGTATACGGTGAGTTATCAGGTTACCCTAATACAATGAACGTTGCGATAGACATCGATTCACGCATTTGGTTGCTACGTCCTGCTCGCTTAGGAACATTAGTAACATTCGGGCAACCTGATGAAAAACCGACTGTATATCAGCAGCCTAAATAACCTTGTCTTGTAACACGAACACAAACATCTGCTTTTATATATGCTTTAGATTCTATTAATAATTATAAATCAGAATCATTTTACAATAATTCCCATATTATAATATAAGTCGACGCCTAACAAATATTTTATACTTGGCGCTTAACACAATGGCGCCACCTAGACACTTTAATTTAACAAAGTTCATTTTATTAAACCGCATCAAGCTATAACGTTCGGTATATATTTTATATATATTTTGTCTCTTCCTTTTGAATTATATCTTTATTCAGAAAGAAAGAGATAAAACACAAAGATATAATTAATTATAACATTTCGAACTAGGTTTTCGGGGGAATCGTACAGACCGTTCCCCAATTTCTTCTTTTATTTAATTTAATCGAGCCATCGTAGACTGAACTATATATTCAATTATACTTCTAGAATGTTCTATAATGTCCGTGAATATTTCATATTCTGAACGTGCCAGCTAACACATGCTACGTTTTAAATCACATATATTCTGTCTCGCAGTACTATTACACATACACTAGTTATTTTTTTATATGACTGACTTGAAATATTTCGAAGTGCTGAGTGAACTATGTATCGATGTTTCATCCTGAAAAAAAGAGAAAAAAGATATTACAAATATATAATATATATTATATATGACATTTTTTATATAGATATTTTTGTTGGTTATTTTATCACATATTACTCGTAACAGTATTATAACTTGCGCTGCTCATTGCCAAACACTTAGTATGGTTCCAACCCCCCGCAAAAAACATAGAACCAACAAAACTGTCTGGCAATTTGGGAAACAGTTTAATAGTTCTCTGAATAATATATATAAACTTCAGTTTTAATAAAATAACGTATGTATATTTATAAAATAATATAGTTTAGGGGTGTCAGGCGGGGGCCAGCGTAAACTGTTAGCTGCACTATACTATTATCATCCATAATATTACCGTCCTTTGTTGGCAGTAGAAATAATAAGTGATACTCACTAGATCTAGCGCTAGTGGTAGTGGAACAGATTGAGCAGCCGCCGGTTGAAGAACGTCTGCTGCTTCAGCTCTCCTATTGGTTCATCATCGTTCCGGATGCAGAAGTAACTCGTGATCACGCTCCGACATATCGGACACTTGTCCAGTTTAGCTGTAATCACAAATAGAATAATAATAATAAACTCAGGACTATTCACACAGTGTCACCTAGACCCAAGTTAAGCTAGCTAAAGCTTGTGTTATGGGTACTAGATAACTTATACAAATACATAGATACAGTTTTTTCGTAAATACATATTATACATAATAATACAATATAACGATACAAACAATCATACTCATTAATACAAATGTTTGTGCCGTGAGAGGAATGGAACTCGCGACCATCGGAAGTAAGTCGGTATTAAACTGCAATACCACGAAGGTTGTCAAATATAATATGAGTGTCATAGCTCATTCGAACTAGCCCCTAGGGAGCTAGGGGGGAGAAGGTTAGGGACTCGGGGCGAATCCCTTTGCCCCAGCATCTACTGCAGGGGCTACAATTCCCGGGTTGTTACCCTTTTAGTGCGGAATTACCATGTGAAGAAATCTAATTAAATAAACTTAATAACACAAAGCTATAAATTTCATGTAGGTAAAACCAGGGGCCCAGCTAGTTTCATATAATTTTTTCATACATTCAATGCTTATTAATAAAATCTACGAAATCAATCAAATTAAAATATCTTGACTCATGTAGGTCTATTACAGACTCTTGAGCATTTAAACTAAGAAGAACGGACAAGAAACTCAGCCCGCATTCTTTTCAAATAAGTTTATATACGTTTAAAATACAGATTCATTTATAAATTCAAATTTAGGCAGTATAGAGTGACCACCAGCATAAGCTATTTCAAATTTATATAAAAGAAATGTTCTAATCAGTGACCGTAACCAGAAAAGACTAGTCTCCACAAGCAGCACCCGTTCACGAGTATGACGGATGAGCCATCATTGCACACTGCTATCATAGTGACAAGAGGATAATGAAGATGTATCAGTATTAGGCAACAGTAAAGGTCGCGGCAATGTTAGTGGCATTGGGTCCGAATAGAATTAGTTATTGGATCCGTTTATGCGTTGATCGTGTGATGCATAACAATGGCTGTGATGTAGTGAGTGCGCGTCGAATTAAGGTATTGCCACACAAACAACGCTATATATACCAGGCTTGTTAGGGAGCTCCATAACCGTAAGCGAAACTATCCGATAACCGATATAAAAAACCGTAACCGAATCCGAGAAAAAAGCGTCGAATAATATCGGATAGGGGCCTAATTGAGACACGTTATGTAACCATTTTATTAGCTATTTGTATTTTACTTTTGAAATTCTTTAAAAAATACTATCCGTAACCAAAATTATCCTAAAAAAATTCATATCCGCATCCGTATCCGGTATAATAATCATTCCTATATCCAAAACCTATCTGTATTCGAAATAGTATATCTATAACATCCCTGATAAATACTATAACAATGCTATACATAAGAATAGAATAGTATTTAAATAACAAAAATTAATAAAAATTACAAATGTAAATTGTATTTCCTTTACAAACAATTGTTGACATTATGCACGTGCACTAGCACCTTGTAACACAGTTTTTACTAAAAAACTGTGTAATGATAAGAGATAATGCTATGCATAGTAGGTATATTTATATATATAATATCCCTCGACAATTCACACAGCGCCATCTAGTCCCAAGCTGAGCAGAGCTTGCATTATGGGAACTAGACAACTTAATAACAACGTATAAATATACAAATACATTTGTATATTTATACGTTGTTATTCTTTGTACATCCATAATTATGTAATATACATAGAAAATACCTAAACCATTACATAAAATCAATCATACTCTTGAATAAAATATTTTTACTGCAAGAAATCGAACCCGCGACCATCGGAAGTATAGCGGCGTCTAAACGATTAGACCCTTGATGGCGCAAGTTAGTTTTTCATCAACCATGAAATATGGTCAAATCTATATTTTGTAGTTAGTGAAAGAATTAATTATAAATGTTATATACATTAGCAAAATTTTTATTAATTTGTATATTAATATATAATTTAAGAGTACGAAAAGGCATACATAATCGCGATCCAATATCATTGGATTGGAATTAGATTCTACAGTAGCCAACTGTTCCGTCGTTTGGCCGTATCACAAAAAAAAACAATAAATTAAAAACCTACACTATTCGTTTTTGGTTACAAATTATAGCATTTGTGGCCTAGTGTAGCGCCGCCCTAATTCCTCTTGATGCATCTCGCGGTCAGTCCGTGAAGAGAATAAGTAATCATATCGGACGCGATAAGAAAGAATCAAAACAATAGGATACATAATGGGTATGAATTGTCAATAAACTATAAATAACAATACAACCCTTATTTTAGTCGATTCAAGGCAGAAAGTCTGGTACAAGGAAGGACGCGGACACATTGTTTGACATGATGCCCACGGCTAACTTTTACCATCGCACCGCTCGCCATCGACAGGGAATTTAGTCCCACACGCTGGAATCTAAGTGGTCTCGAACAGTGCGGTTCTAGAGGAGTTTCCTCCCGCGTACACTTAGATTGTGAAATACCACTTGCCGAGGTTTTCTCGAGAAACTACAATATACGTTGTAATGTAAGGTGGACTCCATTTTGTGTAATCAGCCTCACATTTGGGCCGTTGTACCTGTGGTACATTGTGGGGTTTTCCAAGAAGGTTACATTAAGGTTTCTTAAGGGTCGGCAACGAGCACCATACCCCTGGTGTTTCAGGCGTTCATAAGCTACCGTATACATATGGGCCATCTGCACTGAATATCTCCCTCACATCAGTCATTCACTATTGTCTATCAGGTGGATTATGAACTTGCTAATTCTAGAATTAAGAAAAAAGGTAAAAACAAACTCACGGAAACATCTGGCGCATAGACAAGCGTGCCGGCAGGGCAGCAGCGCCCGTGACAGCGGCCTCGCGGCACACACGCAGCACAGAGCCTCCAGAGGTCCCGCGGACACCCCCTCCGCGTCCTCCCCCACCCCGTCAGCACCCTCGTACTCCGCCTCGCTCACCGCGTCGCCACTCACGTACAGTTGCTGTCGAGAATATCACATCTTCTTAGTTTTTTTTCAAACTATCTTAATGTTCTTGGCTGTAGGGGGTCTATTCTACATTACAACAATTTCAGGAATCTTTATGACAAATGCCACAGCTGGTTATATTTTAAATTAAATTTCACTGGATAACAACTATGAGTAATTATGGTCCAGTAATTGTTGAGTTATTCGTTAGAAACGAATCATACAAAAATATAAATAAAATGATATGTATTTATTTGCATGAAATATGGTATACATATTAAAAGAATGGCAGTATTAATTAAATAGTCCACATGACCATTGTTTTGGCATTCAAATTTTTACATAAAAATTACATTATATTTTTCTCCTTCATAATATTAGCGTAAAGGGGACTTCTATCAGTATTGTCCTAGACAGAACGACCTCTTCTCCTGGTTCAGGGAGAAAAAGAAATTAATATTTATTATCATATAACAAATTTAGACTATACTATTAGAGATATTTCTATAAGTATACACATTATCGAGTAAAAAATAAAACTATAAATTGGTAATTATTTTGTTTCTTCTTAGTATTTAAAAACAAACTTGTTTTCCACTTCATGATTACATTCTGTGATTAGGTTGTTAAGACTAGTTGTTTTCTACGACTTGATGTGTTTTTCTTTAGATAGAGATAACCTATGTTCTTATGTATAATTTATCTTTACATAATGATTAATCTTTAAATAATTTTAAATTTTACATGCCTAATGAGGCAAACATAATGGGACATTATATTCTACAATAACAACGTAAATTTATGTTTCTTGCAAATAAATTTGATTTGATTTGATATTTAAAATTTCCATCAAGGTCTGTTTAGCCATATAGTCGCAAAATGGTAACTGACGCATATAGCTAAATTCTTTATTCATCAATTATAAACACATATAAAGAATTCGAGGTGACTTTAAGTGCCGTAAAGGTGAAGAGGCAACCAACTCAGCATAAAGGTACAGATAAATCTGCAGCGCCGATGTTCTGTTGGCTCGTTTTTTTATAGTACTAATTAGGGGTACTAGGGCTTGATGGTAGAATGGTGAAAATCTAGACTTACAAAATATTGTCCAAAAATATAATATATAATTTCCTGTGGTTACTGGAAATATTAATGACAATGTCTGCCAATTAACACTATGATACAAGAATTTAATATATAAACTTGCTACTCGCCCCGGCTTCGCACGGGTGTACATGTATTAAATATAACCTTTCTCTGGAACCACTCTATTTAATAAAAAAAACACCGCGTTAAAATCTGATGAGTAGTTTTAAAAAAGATTTAAGCATACATAGGGACGGAAAGACAGCGACAGCGACTTTATTTTATACTATGTAATGATATAAATAATACTGATAATTACTTCAATAGTCATTTAAAACTAGGACAAATCAGCCGTAACCTGAACATTCTAATAAATATAGTTTTATCAATAAGGTTCAGTTAATGAGATGTGGAGCAAGGGTCTTATAAGGTCGTCATACATCAGTTGCATAACAGTAGATAAAGTTGCACAAGAGAGTACAAATAAGACTGGTAACATACAGTCGGTTAGTTAGAAGTAAATAGTCACAAAAGAGTACAAATAAGACTGGTAATAAATATACAGTCGGTTAGTAGTCAGGTTGTTTTTTGATGGTTGATGGTGGAATGGTGCACCGGTATGCGCTAATTGCAATTAATACCTCTTTTATTATACTAGGTACCCGTTACGTCTTCTCGGTCTAGCACACCGCTTTACTTCCGATCGTCACGGGTTCGATTCCTCGCACAGTGCAGACATTTGTATTCATAAATATGATTGTTTGTAACGGTCTGGGTGTTTTCAATGTATATTATGTATGTATTAATAAAAAATATATATCTAAGTATTTATATCAGTTTTCTAGTACCCATAACACAAGCTTTGTTTACCGTGGGACTAGATGGCGCTGTGTTAATTGTCCAGGGTTATTTATTTATTATTTATTTCATCATGCTTTTTAAATGTCGATTCGACACTGCTCTAATTTACATTAAATTTGCTTGTTCATCATCTACTTCTTCCTTATCCCATTTATTTGGGGTCGTCGTAATATGTTTTTCTCTTCCATTCATCCCTGTTCGCAATCATCTCGTTATTTACTCCCTTTCTTACCATATCATCTTTCACACGGTCCATCCATCTCTTTTTCGGCCTTCCTCTGCCCTTATACCCATCCACATTCACATGTAACACCTTCCTTTGCTTGATGTAGCTATGTAATAATAATTCTCATAAATTCATCAAACGAATATATTTATTATTAACAGTGTAAAAACGAACGGTCTGGTTGGTAAGTGAAACATACATCAGTGCGGATCACGTTTCAATACACTTCAAATAAATACTAAACTTGTTACACACGCTAACCACACTTATATAAACTTACATTTACATTACATGTTTTGTTAAATAATTATAACTGTACCAAATATAACAAACATACCTAAAGATTATGAAATAATAATAATAATTTCAGGACAATTCACACAGCGCCATATAGACCTAAGTTAAGATAGCTAAAGCTTGTGTTATGGGTACTAGACAACTGATATAAATACATATATATAATTTTTTTTTCGTAAATACATACTTATTATATATAGAAAACACCCAGAAATCACAAATGTTTGTGCCGTGCGACACCATCGGTCGTAAAGTATAAACCTAGTTGAGTTTTTTGTCCGTTCTTAAAATTCCAATGCCTTTCACATTTTTTCAAATTCGTATATTGCTTTGTATAGTTCATATTAGATACAAACAATCATTATGTATAATCTAAAACAAAACTTGTTTAATACAAATGATATTGTGGACAAAATTTAATCGAGTTTAATGAGTTATTATAGAAAAAATTGATAGTACCACGTTTTGTATGCAAAAGGGTCCGGTCATACACTGCGACCGCGCCGTCGGAATTAAGGCGGTGTGCTAAACCGCTAGACCACCGAGGTCGTCAAATAAATAAAATAAAAACAAAACAAATAAATATTACGAACTAATAAATGAAGTAACTATAAATATCTATGTGGTTAATTTAGACACGGTCGAAGTTGGTGCGAGAGGTATACCTGCGAAATCTCTGTGCAATCTTCTAAAAGGTCTGTTTAGAACTGCAGTAAGTTGCATACTAGATCCAGCATATGCTGGTTGTCACTTTATTCTATCAAATTTGAATTTAAAAATGAATCAGAATGACATGAAGAATACGAGCTGAGTTTCTTGTCAGTTCTCATCTCGAAATCATTCCGAACTGACGGTAGGTTTGATGCATCATAAGAGTCTGTAATAGACCTACATGAATAAATGTTACTTTGAACGTATACAAATACAACTTCTCACCCATCTGATGGTGAATAGTATCGCCTATTTTTATTTATTTATAAACTCTTTATTGCACCAAGCATTTCACACAAGAATTATACAGTAAAGAGATATAGATGTACAAAAGGCGGTCTCATCGAAAGAAGCAATTTTTTCCAGACAACCTTTAGGTAGAGTAAAACAACAAAAGGTAGGTGGCGCTATTGTTATTAGAGGTAGAATAATAATACAAATATATAGAAAATAACACACATTATACTATATATAAAATGTGTATCTATAGCTTGTAATTTCCTCCATTTTCAAACGAATCACATTACAAAGCAAGCTGCTTAGTGGCTGAAATAGGTGAGACTAAGTTACACAAACAAAGGCTGATGTACAAAGTTTAACTCGGTAAAATTCTGATAGTATATATATATAAACAAAACAAAAAATATAAACAATAAGCCGCAAAACTGCTCAGCAGTTTGTCTGCAGCAAAAGCGCTTAACTTAATACTTATTTCTAATCTATATATACACACATACATATATTTACATAAACACATTACTGTAGAACCAGGTATCTTATGCCACAAAATATGCTAATTTGTTTACAAAAAAGTTTAATAATTTCTTTTTGAATGATTTTTTGGATACATTATCTAATAATCTTATATTTTTTGGTAACATATTATAATTAAAAATTCCAAGATATTATACAATATTTTGGAAGTAAATATTTTCTAGTTCTTGATCCGTATATATCATATACAGGTCACTCGATAAATAGTTGGAAGGTACGCAAAAAAAATCTGATGCATAAATTTTTCGTGTCACATGTTAAGTTACTATAAAAAGAAGGTTTAGAAAATCTTAAAATTTTTCGTGTCACAATTTACAATAGAATTAGTTACCATACTCTTCTGAAAGGGCATGACCGATATTTATGAATTTTTATATGCATATTAAAAATAAATCTGAGAATCGATTACAATCTATTTTTCATACCCCTAAGTGATAAGGTTTCTCCACCCCTAACATTAATAATTTTTTGGACATTTTTTTTATAATGTGGCATAATACATACAACCCTAAATTTTCACCCTTCTATCTCTTTCTTCCATCACTAATCCCTATTATATATATTTAATAGCGATTTTAATTTAAATGGTAAAACAACGTTTGCGGTATCAGTTAGCAATTTATAAAACACGCGATACTAATTCAATCAGGAGTTGCTACCGTAACATGAGTAGTAATAACAATGCGTAGAACAACGTTGATTGGTTATAAAGTTAAAATAATAAAAAAATATAATTCGATAACAGGTTATTATGAAACGTGTATATTGTTATGAAAGTTTAGCATCGCATTATACTTCTATGCAACCAACATGTTCGCCTTGAAGGAATCGAATTACAGTCAATAGTTGTTATTATTATGTTCATTATTTCATTACATAGTATAAAACAAAGTCGCTGTCGCTGTCTGTCCATCCCTATGTATGGTTAAATCTTTAAAACTGCGCAACGGATTTTGAAGCGGTTTTCTTTGATAGAGTGATTCCATAGGAAGGTTTATATGTATAATGCATGTAGGTAAACCCGGGCGAGTAGCTAGTAATTAACAAAAATAACCCATGACAATTCACACAGCGAAATCTAGTCCCAAGCTAAGCAGAGCTTGTATTATGGACACTAGACAACTGACATAAATACTAAAATACATTATTTTGTAACTACGTACATAATCATAAAAATGGGGGGGAAAGGGGATTGAGCTTGTATTATGGATACTGTCAGACAACTGACCATCGTGACAATACTAAAATACATTATTTGCCCTGCCAGCGTAAACCGTTAGCGCAGGTGGGTGCACCATTCCATTATCATACAAAAAAAAAATCATAAAAATGTGTTTTGAAGTACATTTCAAAGTTAGAGAGTAATAGAAAGGCGATCTAAATCATATATAAATATGAAACGAAATTATAAGTAACTAGCGGTTTCCCGCATGAAAATTATAGTCAATAATAAGTTATTCTGATGTATAAGCTATATCATCAAAATCCGTTCAGCAGTTTTTGCGTGAAAGAGTAACAAACATCCATCTATACTCACAAACTTTCGCATTTATAATATAAATAAGAGAGTAAATAATAACCATGGATAATTCATACAACGTCATCTGGTCCCAATTGAAGCAGAGCTAATATATAGTGTATACATTTTATATTGACTCGAGCTGTTTTAGATACTACTAGTCAATTCTCTGAAATGTATATTTAATAAGAATGTTTATGAGAACAACTATGTAAAATTGGTATCAATAAAATCACTATTATAATTATAACAGCCCGCGGTTTCACCCGCGTGTATTTATAGATAGATAGATAATTGATTTATTGCCAACATAACACAAATAATACAATTTACAATAAGACACAAAATAAGAAATAAATAATAACATAGAAAGTTGGCAATAGGAGCTGCCTCAGCTGTTGCTAATATAAGCACAACCTTAATGAGGTGCACCTATACAGCGCTGGGTCTCAGGCAGCCCCCAATACTCATTAAAATAACTAAGATGCGGGTTTTTTTACTATATACAGATACATAGAAATTAAACAAAAACAAAATATATATTAAATACGATCTAGGATACACAAATATACATACATATATAAAATGAATTACAATATTATTTAATTACATTCAATGCTCACAAAAACCAAAATCAGTTACAATAACAGTATCAAAAGGAAAAAAAATACAAAGATAAAAGAAAAGCCAATCCGTGTCACCTCTCACAATCACAGTATGTAATAATATATAGGAGTACAAGCCCATAGGCACCCATGAGACTATGATACCCGTGTAGCCTATGTGTTATTCTAATATATAAACTATTTTACTGTAAGGTCTCTTAAAAATCCGTTCAATAGTTTCCTGTAACAATTCATCCATCCTCCACATACTTCACAATTTTGTGTATTGCTTTTTTTCATCAGGTATGCAAACTTTGCCGATGGATAATGTCCGTTCTGGACATTATCCATCGGCAAAGTTTGCAATTTTGTGAACTGCTTTTTTTCATTAGGTATGCAAACTTACAAAGTCTGCAATTTTGTGAATTGCTTTTTTTTCATACCTGCTGGACATTATCCATCGGCAAAGTTTGCAATTTAGTGAATTGCTTTTTATCATCAGGTATGAAAAAAAAGCAATTCATAAAATTGTGAAGTATGTGGTACAACGGAGGATGTATATCATTTGCTGATGGAGTGTGTCAGGAACGAGAGTCTACGACATGGAATAACGTGAGACCATGGAATAAATATATTAGATGTTGGTGCCATACAAACTGTTTTAGCCGATCCTTCGGGCGGTGCGGTGCGGCTAAGGCAATTTGTTCACTGGTGAGGTAATGGAGCGATTGGTTTTAGGGTACAATGGGACTGACATGTACTTAGATGGTACAAAAGTCCTTAAATTTAAAAAAAAATCCTATATCTATCCATATTCACAAACTTTCGCGGTTATAATATTAATATATTTTATGTTACCTTTAAGCATGATAGGTGGCCGTTGGCCTGTTTCAAATACTGGGCGATAACTCCGCTGGGTAGCGGACACTGATCGTCCCTTATGTGGACCACGCTTACCAGCGCCACCTGCAAGTAATGGAGATTTAAGTAAAATATTTAGTTGAAATCTTGCTGTTAATGTGGAAAAAAGGTAGCCCATAATCATCCTCATGATGAGATCTTGATGGAGATCATGATAGAATATACTTTATTTGTAACACACAGTAAAGAAAAAGACATAAACAATATATTAAAGGACATGTATAGTTACAATATGGCGGCCTTATTGCTGGAAGCAATCTTTTCAAGGCAACCTTAGTGAAACGGATTGAAAAATGAACAGGTAGATAATATGCATACAGGAGAAAACTAAACAAAATAACAAACATATAGTGATGAAGGAAATTAATAACATGTTTTTAATTAATAATAATAAATTTATTTCATTAACCAAAATGTGTTAGAAATAGAAATAGAAATAGAAATAATCTTTATTCAAATAAACTCATTACAAGCACTTTTGAATAGTCATATTTTGATTCTACCACTCATTCGGAATGCAGATTCATCACAAGAAGAATGAGCAAGAAACTTGTGTGTTGCTCTTTTTAATAGATGTTTTTTTTTATATAAATAATTACAGTATAACAAGTAAGAGGCATGCGATAATCAACATAGAAGTCGCTACGCACTCATTATTAATGTAATCAGATAATATTGTCAGTGCTATAGATTTAAAGTTTTTCTATAAAAACATTATTATCGTTAACGAATTCTTCAATTTTATAGTAAGCTTTTTTGCAAAGGAACTGTTTTATTTGACATTTAAATCTTTTTTCTGGCAGATTTATAACAGACTCTGGTATTTTATTGTAAAACCTTACGCAATTGCCATAAAACGAATTACTAACTTTAGCCAAACGACATTTAGGTAAAATCAGTTTGTTATTGTTACGTAAGCTTTTATTAGTGCAATCACTAACTCTTTTGAAACTGTCTATATTCCTTCTGGCATAGATGATATTTTCATAAATGTATTGAGAAGCAACGGTGAGGATATTTGATTCCTTAAAACACTCTCGCAATGACTCCCTGGAACCCATACCATAAATGGAGCGAATGGCCCTCTTTTGTAAAGTAAATATTGTATTTATATCAGCTGCTTTGCCCCATAACAAAATACCATACGACATAATGCTATGGAAATAGCTAAAATAGACAAGTTTAGCCGTTGCCACGTCTGTTAATTGTCTAATTCTTCTTACCGCGTAAGCGGCAGAACTAAGTACTCGCCAATTTAGTAATATGAGCACCCCATTGCAACTTGGAATCTAATGTGATACCTAGAAATACAGTATCGTCAACAAAATTAATAGATTTATTGCCCAATACGATTTTTGAATCTACACATTGGGGAGAGTAAATTTGATACATTTAGTTTTATTTGCATTTAGTAGCTTTAGCTCTAGTTGCATTTAGTAGTAGTGTTTTTTTAGTATTACATTAAATAACAATATTAAACGCCAGCTGATAGCACGAATATGTAAAAATAAACAGCGATGACTTATCAGTACAAATATGCTATTTTAGTTTAAGTAAAGTCAGCTAACAGTTAGTTAATCATTCCACTAAAAATAAAATATCATAAACAAAGGACTGGAATGATTTCTTCTTGCCATAAAATGCAGCGCATAAAATGCTTTTTAGGGTAGGTAACTGGCACGTGACACCCCTGGTGTCTCAAGCGTCCATAGGCTACGGTAATCATTTAACATCAGATGGGCCGTATGCTTGCCACCATCGTAGTATAAAAAAAGGCGCAACCAAATTCATATTTTGTTAGCCCATGAGACCTCATTTTGTTGATAAAAACTATAAAATAGTTGTAATTAACAGAAATAAAAAACTTCTTTTCTATTTGTCAGCAAAGTATTTGTATTTATTATTTATTTTAAATACTTTAAAAAGGTAAAACGGATCGAAACACAAATTTTAAATCTAAATTACTCCAATATCTTTCCCAAAATCAGAGTAATTCTTTTTCTTATTTCAAAGTTAAATAGTAATTTATATAGTTACTTTATTATATATACATAGGAACGGGAAGACCAATACACAGCTATATCAAGCAAGTTAAAGAAAAAGTTGGAGTCGTGTCGTATCAACAGCTAAAAGGACTGATAGAAGATCGTGGAAGGTGGCGGGAGATCCACCGACAAGAGCACAGCTCTTAAATTATTAAAGAATGAACCTATATTAAATGTACTACCCACATAAAACTCTGACTGGGAGAAAATGCCTCAATGTGATAAGTCCGTCACCTTTATTTGTGTATTCAAAATTACTATATTAATATTATAAAGCTGAAGAGTTTGTTTGTTTGATAGCGCTGTTCTTAGGAACTACTGGTACGAATTGAAAAATCTTTGTTGTGTTGGATAGTCCATATGTCGAGTAAGGCTTTAAGCTATATAACATTACACTACGGCCAATAGGAGCGGAGCTGCAATGAAAAATATTACAAAAGGTGGGGAACTGAAACGCAGACGAAGTTGCGTGCATCAGCTAGTAAATTATATAAATAGTCGCAAATATAAGTTAGTATTTTGCGAGAGTTAATATTACTCACAGTATCATCAGGCCTTAATTCACCAGTGTCTCTCTGGTCCCTGGCCAGTATCACCACTAGGGGGTAGCAGTTCCGCGGCGGAGCGCCCAGTTGGAGGGGCTCCTCTGCTGACAACCTCATCAGTCTCTCGTCGTGGGAGTTGCTCCTGTAATTATATATTTCTGTTAATTTAAAACTAAATAAATACTATTTGTTTTAAATAGTTACTGCGGTCTAGCGGTTTGGTACCGTTTTACTTTCGATGGTCGCCTGTTCGATTCTTCGCACGATGCAATAATTTATATTTATGAGTATGATTGTCTGTATTTGTCTGTGGGGTGGTTTTTATATTTTAATAAAGTTTTTTTACTTTAGTTTAGTACACACAATACAAGCTCTGCTTAGCTTGGAACTAGATGGAGCTGTGTGAGCTGTTCGAATTTATTATTTATTTATTCATAGTTAGTAATAATTAGTATACTAGCTGTACCCGCGATTTTTCTATAATATGTATATATTATACATATAAAATTACTACATCTATTGCTAAAAACTGTATTAAAATCCGTTGAATAGTATAAAAGATTTAACAACGAACAGACAGCGGTAGCGACTTTATTTTATATCATGTAACGTTTATTTATCCTATGGTAACACTCGTGCATTGCCATTTCAGAGGTTAAAGATGTAAATTTCTATAAGGAAATGATAAATATGAAAAAAATATTTATTTATATTAAAACCATTTGAATAGAATAATAATACATTGTTGGGGTGACCTGGAAAGCATAGTAATGCCTGTTTCAGGTATATCCCTTCCTTCCATATCCACTGTCATATCTTATATATAAAATTCTTGTGTCACAGTTTTCGTTCCCATACTCCTCCGAAACGGCTTGACCGATTCTCATGAAATTTTGTGAGCGTATTGAGTATTATATTTATTTTAAGGCAAAACAACGTTTGCCGGGACAGCTAGTATATATATATATATGTTTTTAAAAAGAGAGTTTTGCAAAACATTAATCTTATCAATATTATAAACGCAAAAGTTTGTGAGTATGGATGGATGTTTGTTACTCTTTCACGCAAAAACTACTGAACGGATTTTGATGAAACTTTACAGTAATATAGCTTATACATCAGGATAACATATAGGCTATAAATTTCACGCGGGTGAAGCGGGTACAGCTAGTATCCATGTATATTAATGTATGGGTATTCATGTTTTACAAAACACACTCATCATCATTTTCGTCCATTAAAAAAACAACGTTAATATCTGCAATTAATTTTACGTACGTATAGCGACATCTTTTTTTAATGGCATCTACAGATTATTATGCGAGTAGGTATCTTTACTAATTGTTTAGATGGAGAATCAAGTAAAAAAAAACGTCCCAAGAAAAAAAATCAGCTACCTGTCAATTTAGCTGACATGTTTTTTTTCCATACATTATTCATGCATCGCTCTGTACATAGGTCAAGGTGTACATGATGTACAGTATGTTTAACTATTATAATAAAAATTTGTAATAAATATATATCTTATATATAAAATTCTTGTGTCATAATGTTACCATACTCCTCCGAAATGGCTTGAACGATTTTTATGACATTTTATATGCAGATTCGAAACAGAATCGGCTAATATTTAGTTTTCATATCCCTAAGTGGTAAGGATTGGCCACCTCTAACATTTTATTTAAAATTTTATACATTTTTTATTTTTACTCTTTTATAATGTGGCATTAAACATTACATACAACCCTAAATTTTCACCCATCTACCACCAACCCCTATTTTTAATAGCGACATTAGTACTTAAATGTATATGGCAAAACAAGGTTTACCGGGACAGCTAGTAGATGTATATAAATTAAAATCAACTGTAGAACGTATGTATGCATATTTATCATGTTAGAACATGACAATAGTGGTTCATGCACGGGATTTTCATTTAATGTTAGACATAGACACCTATATTAGAACACAAAGTAATTGACTATAGTTGAGTTTCTTGCCAGTTCTCAATTGAATCTATATACTGAACTGGACGGTAGGGATGAATTATAATACAATACATTTAACGTTCATAAGCGTCTAAAATGTCCTAATATGATGAACAAGATGTAAATCCACTTCTAAGTAACTGGGCTAAATTCATCCGGTCCCCGATAGCGCACGCGGATGAATTTCCATATGAAAAAATGTTTATTTATTTAAAACAATTTGAATGGAATAATACAGTGGTTTCCAAATAGTTTTTGTGTACCACTTCAAACAAAGACCTCAAACCTTGCGTACTTCTTATTGTAGCAATCACATTATTATGTTATAAATGTGAATGTTTGTGAGTGTGTGTGTATGTTTGTTTTATTGATAGCCACACGTACCCCTGGGGTAACGCGTACCCGCGTTCCACTAATTGGGAAACACCGGAATGTAAATAAACTGATTAAAAAAAAATCAGTTGAGTTTCTTGCCAGTTCTTCTCCATTGAATCTCTATACTGGACGGTAGGGAAAAAATATAATACAAATTATTTGACGTTCACAAGCGACTGAAATGGCTTACATGAATAAATGATTTAGGATTTGAACAACTGCAATTGGAAGTGAAGTACACGGTTTATTTGATAAAGATGATCGAAAATCATACCGAATAGCGTTATTTTTTATTAAAATTTAATACAATTGATATATTGACGTTCAAAGTTGTTCATGTTATAAAGAACAGATTTGGTATTCCTTTCTTCATTAGATACTACAGCTACGTAAAGTCAGTTCGAGCGGCTAGTCATAATCATAATAATATTATATACGCGAAAGTTTATGAGTATACCTGACTGTTAATTACTCTTTCACACAATATCTACGGAACGAATTTTAACGACTCTTTATAATAATATAGCTTGTACATCAGAGTAAAACGAAGGCTATAAATTTCACGCGAATGAAACCGCGAGCACAGTATTATAGTCATTACATATTATAAAACAAAGTCGCTGTCGCTGTCTGTCCGTCCCTATGTATGCTTAAATCTTTAAAACTACGCAACGGATTTTGAAGCGGTTTTTTTAATAGATAGAGTGATTCAAGAGGAAGGTTTATATATATAATACATGTACACCCGTGCGAAGCCGGGTCGAGTAGCTAGTGAATGATAAATTACAATAATAACAAAATTAAATTAAGTAGAGTGACGGCGCGGCGGTAGCCTTGCCACGTTGTTTATACATATAAATAAAATTGGAGTATCTGTTTGTAATATTGATATAACCGTTTTCTACTTAGGCTTCTGCTCTTATCACTACGACTGATTTAATCTTATTGTGTTTTTATATTTGCGCCTAAATAAATTAGTGCTGGTTAGTAGTTTGTATTCACACGTTTCGACTTGTAAAATGTGAACTTACAAGGATTATTTAAAAGAGTAACACACAAGTATCTAGCTTATTCTACTTGTGATGAGACAGCTTTCCGAATAAGTGGTAGATTTAAAAAAAAATTTTTGACTATTCAAAAGTGCTTAAATGAAGTTTATTTGAATAAATGATTTTCTATTCTATTCTAATAAATAACTCTCTGGACAATTAACACAGCGCCATCTAGTCCCACAGTAAGCAGAGCTTGTGTTATGGGTGCTAGACAACTGATGTAAACATTTCGATTTTTTTGTAAATACATACATACATAATATATATAGAAGACATCCAGACCTATACAAACAATCATATTCATGAATACAAACGTTTGTGTCGTGCGAGGAATCGAACACGCGACCATCGCGGGTTCGATTCCTCGCCCACTAATATAATTATGTTAGTAAATATCGTTTAAGTGTGTGCAAATGTAAACAATTTTGAAAAAAGTTTAAAACAGTGTATATATTAAAAATTACAAATTAATATATGTAATAATAGATAATAAAAAACTATGGATAAATAGTGACACAATAATAAAGTTATAGTTAAGTTTGGTGTTGTACATAACAAGTTACATGTACATAAATTAACAGCGAACATGCATTCAATATTACAATATCTTCATTATCTATACATATAAATAAAATTGAAGTTTCTGCTTGTAATATTAAAATAACCCTTTTTTACTACATGCATATGAATACAAACACGGTACATATACCAAAATATCGTTTTATACAATTTTTGTCTGTTTGTTTGTTCCGGCTAATCTCTGAAATGGCTTGACCGATTTTGGCGAGACTTTTATTTTCAGATAGTTGATCTAATAAGGAGTAACTTAGACGACTGTTATTTTAAAAAAATCTTTTATTTTAGAAAAATAAACTTTAATTCCACGCGGACGAAGTCGCGTGTACAGCTAGTTTAAAATATAAATAGACAACCAATAGCAGGTATTAACCATTTCAGAATTAAATTTAACTATTTAGTGTAAACCTCATTAATATACATAAACAATTGTTCGTTAAAACAATGGGTTTAAATATTCGTAAACATGTTTTATTGTTACTGCATTGACAAACAAGTTGTATAATATTATCCTCATTCCTTAATAATATTGTAAATACGAAAGTAACTCTGTTTGTCTGTCGCGTTTTCACGCCAAAACTACTGAACCGATTTAAATTAAATCACACAGATAGTCCAGTGATTCCCAAAGTGGTCTATGACAAACTGTAAGGTCTACGACAGCGGACATCTTGTTGTTTTTAACACTAAACTTTACTACAATTACAAATTTACAAAAAATCAATGCCAGGTAAGAATGGGGGGTCTACCCAAAACCAAGGGCTCTACACCACAAAAAAGTTTGGGAACCTCTAGTCTAGACTCTGAGAAAGGATATAAGCTACTTTTTAATGCGATAAAAGGGTTGTCATGTATTGAAAGAGGCGATGAAAGGTTGTATGTAAGTATGGTCATTTTTAAAGGTAGAAGTTTGAAACTTATTTTTTTCGCTGTTGATAAATATAAATAAATATGACATTCACAGTTTGTAAAAAACTTTCAAGGTGGTAAAATAAAATAGGCTATGCAACTTTGTATGTTAGGGATAATGAGATACAGTATAAGTGAGATACAGTATAATTTTATACTAGTTCAGATGGCACAATTACACTTGTATGTTAAAATTATTATTATTATAATGTCCAGTACTACTGAACCGATTTACAAAATTCTTTTTTGTGTTGGATAGCCTATATGTCGAAGAAAACTATAGGTCTAGGTAACATCACGCTACGATCAGAGCTGCAACAAAAAAAGTTGCAAAAACAGAGAGAGTAAATACTAAAACACAAGTTAATTTACAGTGAAATTTAAAACATAAACAGCATGTACACGTGAAAAAGAAACATATTTGTCAAACATATTATTAGGTCACGGCCCCGTAACTGTATTTGGGCTTCACAAGACATTTACAATAATTCTCGCTGAATATGTTCATATGCCGTAAGCTGGTGTATTTAGGTTCAGTATCGACTATTTTGGGAATGGTAAACAGTAACTTTATGTCAAATAGTAACACGTATTTGTTATATTTATATAAATCATTATGAATCAATAGAAGATCAAATTGTCAAACAGCACGAGACCTATTGGTTTGGTTTCTAAAAACCCATTCTTATTACGTTTTTTAGGCAAGATCACGAACTGCTATAGTCAACTTTATATAACAACTTTAGGCATGTATTTAAAATTATCATAAGGCACATAAATCCAATTAGAAATATTATGTCAGAATAAATATTATTGAAAAAAATAATCATAGAAAAAATATGTATCAATTTCAGGTAGGCTCTAAAATATCTAACATTTTTATTATATCTATGATGTTAATATGATTAGATTACAATGTGGGTGTAGACTAACGTGACCACACGTCCCGTTTTGAACGGGACTGTCCCTTTTTATAAATACGAGTTCCGGTCCCCGAAAACACTGGGAACACTGGGACGCAAAATTGTCCTGTTTTTGGAAACCGCGCGTAAATTTGAGTAGTGGAGCCGGTAGGTTGTGATGTTAGGTGAATATTAAACAAAGCGTGCCATGTTTCGTTCTTACTTAAAATATTCTCCAGCTGTATTAAAACAGTATCTCTTATTTTTATTTGTAAGTTTTTAATCTGACTTTTTTTTTTATTTTAGAAAAATAAAGGTTAATTCCACGCGGATGAAGTCGCTTCTACAGTTAGTTAATAATAAATATCCCAGGACAACTCACACAGCGCCATCTGCTCTCAAACTACACAGAGCTTGTGTTACTTAGATGTATGCTTTTTGGAATAAAATATATAATATACATATAAAATACTAACGAAAATATAAGTATATACTAATAAATAACATTTTGTGCAGGGATCAAACTTGCGTCCATCGGAAGCGAGGCGATGTATTAAACCGTTAGATCAGTTGTAGAAAGAAACATATACAAGACGCTGTTACAGCTATTATTACATTGACGCCTGCAAAGAAAATGTTTCATCAAATCATCAAAGGGATGCTTAAGACATAGGTAGGCGTAACCTGGTAGAAAGTTACATGTTTGGTCCGTCAATAGGTACCAACGTTTAAAATCTATTAATGTTATACGTCAGTGTCCCCAAAACTTTTTTTATAGCGTTAAGGCGCTAAACCTAGAGTCTGGCAAAAAGCAAATACGCAAACACCTATTAGCACGAACTCGCAAATGACGTTTTACGACGCTTTTATTTGTAAAGTTAATACACAAGACGATGATATTGATGCAAAATATTTGCAGTCGTTATTCTACTTAATTGTGGCACTTACACTACAGTTCTCTAGTCATGAGTCAGTTACACGCATATATGTATGTCAAATCAAAGTAAAATTTATTTTCAATTACATTAATGACTGGTGTACTTTGATTATACGTACTAAATATTACTATTGTATTATGCTACTACAAAAATAAATAATCCTGGAAATATAAGCTCACGTAGATGGATTATACGCATTGCGATTCGCATTTTTCGTTTTGACAAGGCGTGTATGTGGTTAGTAAAAAATCAACACTGTAATGCCTAATTCAGGAACCTCTCATTTAAATAATTGAATACATGTAAATAAACTGTACCTACAGATTCGGTATAGTCAGCAAAATGAAACAAAAATGCACGGACTCGGCCGAAATGCGAACCTGCTCATAGTTTCTCTACATACCTTTGTACTAATACCTCAATGGTCAAGAAGTTCTGTTTGAAAGGCCCAATAGCATAGTTCAGTAACCGAGTTCCTCGTTGTACCCAGTGTTGATAAAGTAATGTTTATAAGCACAGTGTCAATTCAATGGTGAGAATAATTAATATTTATTGTCCTAACTGTACCGTACCAGTAGGCGCCATGCTTCACTACCTTCCTTGTATTTGTTCATGTATAATTATAACTCGTGATAATTTAGCAATAAGCGATAAAGTTTATTTTTAAATGGGTGGTTTTAGAATCAGATTTTCTTGTTTTCTATTTTCATCCATAATAAATAAATTTAGATTTTTCCTTTTGGAATGAATGCTTAAATTACTTGTAGCGGTAGGTTTAATTTTTAAAACAAGCCGTATGTATACATATGAAAGTATATATAAATAAATAAATAACCCTGGACAATTAACACAGCGCCATCTAGTCCCACGGTAAGCAGAGCTTGTGTTATGGGTCCTAGACAACTGATATAAATACTTAGATTTTTTTTAATACATACAAAATATACCTAGACCACACCCAGACCTAGTATTGAGGAAATCCTCAATAACCTATTTTTGTTAGAAACATAATTAAACATTATATTTGAATGATTGATGAACTGTGGTTAATCAGATCTAATTAGGTACCTGGTAAATTTTAGGTGACTAGAAGCAAGGATTTCTGGCAAGGAACCCCACAGTGTCCTGTGGAGTTCTCTGACCGGCGCCCCCCACCAGCTCGCGTGCCAGTACCGCACTGTCGAGGATACGCAGCAGCTCACCCCTGTAACAAATATCTACGTCAGACTTAAATTTTAAAGCATTTATTGTTGTAGGATATTTAGCACTCTTTCAGTCCATGTTCCCAATATATCTGGGGTCGAGTCTCACTGTACATCTGCGCCAGAGAACTCTGTTCTGGTTTGTCTATAAAGTAAGGTTGTCCTGGTCCACCTGCTTCTTAATATTTCTTGCTCTTATTTGGATGACATAGTCCATTTTAGACGCATTATGAACACATTCTTTTAAAATATCATTCTGATCTTCTTGCCCACAATTAGATGTCACTTCGTAAAACATATGATTGAACTATGTGAAAGATGATATGCTTAAATAGAGAGTAAGTCATCTGACTTACTCTCTATTTAAGCCTCTCTCTACTCTACTTAAACTCTCTATTTACTCTCTATTTTATCCTTTTTTATGTTTAAGCATGACAGCAAATTTTTGAAAAATTTTCACTGATACTTCGTTACTATTTGCTGTAGCATAATATTACATAATTATAGCCTTCTCAGGCTAACACCATGTTTTTTTAAGTACAAGTAGTTTCTGGGATTAATAACGTAAACAAACAAAATTTTCAATTTTGTAAATAGTCCGTTCAAGTATTACGTAAGCACATTTATTACAATTATTTACCCCCCCCCCCCCATCCCCCTTGTCAGCAAAAGTAAGCAAAGCTCTTACCCCCTCCTCCTATGCTTACGTAAACATTTTTCAATTAATGTAAATTTATATTTACTTGGTCATTTGAATATGGCGTAGGGAAAAAAAACAAATTCTTATAAATAATTAAGTTTATTTGAATAAATATTATTCCATTTATAATGAAGAAAAGTATTACAAAAAATATTAAAATTATGTAATTCATTAAGAGTCCAGTTACCGACACTTAATACGACGTTGGATTTGTCGCAATCGAATACAATTATCATTAAAAACATTTTGTAACAACGTACTTGGAATTAATAAATTACCTCTCATCACTTAGTAATAAATTATCTACACTTTATACCTTACTAGCTTTTGCCCGCGGCTCCGCTCGCGTTAATTTATCCCCTTAAGGGTGGAATTTATCAAAATCCTTTCTTAGGGGATGCCTACGTCATAGTAGCTTTATGCATGCAAAGTCTCAGCCCGATCGGTTTAAAATTCACAAAGTTTCATATAAACTTTCATCCCCTATTTTATCCCTTTGGGGGTAGAATTAATCAAATTATTTGATACGAAATCTTCGAAGTTAGGTCTTTATTAGTGGTGGGACTAGTGACTCCATTTCTATCAATGTCCTGTCAAATCTACACCTGATCACATTACTCTACTAAACATTTTCGTGATTAATTCCTGATTAATTTGTCACTATGAGCTAACTGACCTGACCTCATCTCCTGGACTCATGTTATCAACCATCACTCATATCAGCCTACATTAATAACTATATTGTTATATACTATAGATATTATATACTATATATTTATTACTAGCTGTACCCGCGATTTCGTCCGCGTGGAATTTAAGTTTATTTTTCAAAAATAAAAGTATCCTAAGTTACTCCTTATTACATCAGCTACCTGCCAAAAAAAGTCCCGTCAAAATCGGCCCAGCCATTTCAGAGATTAGCCGGAACAAACAGACAGACAATAATTGTAAAAAATGTTATTTTGGTGTATGTACCGTATTTATATTCATATGCATGTAGTAAAAACCGGTTATTTCAATATTATAAACAGACTCAAATTTTATTTATATGTAATTATTTTGGTGTTATAATTAAAAATTAAATTATGTGATAGTATTGTATTATAGATATATCATTAATTTATTTATATACATAATATTTACTCCGTGTATAAGTTGTAAGTACTTCAGGGTTTGAAGATAGCTTCTTAATGTTTGCGGTACGGTACGTTGCGATGCGTTGCGGTGCGATGCGATGCGGTGCGATGCGTTGAAATACGGTATTTCACTAATGCATTTAACATTAGAGAACTAACCACCGTTACCGCAAACATCGAAATGCTACCTTTATTTACATACTACTGTTAACTATCGTGTTACGCACCATTAATTAAAAATGGTAAAGTCAATAATCATGTAACCTGAAACGGAACGTCCGAGGCCAGAGCCAAAGTAATCTATGTGACATTGACAAGTGGATGACGGACGATTGAACGGAGGCAGCGGGAGTTTTGGAGCGAAAGTGTTGATATTATTATAAAAACAAATAAGAGATAGATAATTGTAATATTGTAGGCATTGAGTGTTTCTCTCCTGACTAACCGGCATTACGCCTAAGTCGTCAGGATACTAGTGATTTTAAAAGTTCAGAAGCGGTACCAATCCCGCCTACAAATTCGACTGTAAGGTAATTCTGACTAGAAGTTGTGGTAAGTGAATTTACGTTAATAACACGCATACCATTAAAAGCAGTTTCTCACTTGTTTTATTGAACTTTTGGATGAATTGCTTTCTACATATTAAATAGATTTAGTATGTACGATAACTTGCGAGAATAATGACATGACATGTAACGATATTGAATTATACAATATGCCTAAGAAAGAAGTATTATGAATACATTAAGTATAGAACAACGTGGCTATCTAATTAGTTTAAAATACAGAGTAACTATTGTTATGTTATTAATGCCTATGATAAAATAGGATATCAACAGATTAGAAACAGTTACATTAACTATGTTGACATACAGGTTGAACATGAGAACACATACCATGTTATACATATAAACAGTGTAATGGTATTGCTGAGTTTGTTGCTAATTCACAGTAAATTAGTCAAACTTACTGTTCAGTTTTGTGTGTTTGTTCTACGTGAATTGAATTGAAGAATTGTTATTATTTCTTTACATAGGTACACATATATGTTTGATGATCCCATTTCAGATAAATGACAATCATAGGCATAGTCCAGGTATATGTCTTGATGGTGGTTATATTCCCAAATTGCGACACTGTCATATGTATATATATTATATTGGTTGATACTTTGATATGTGTTTATTAATGAATTAATAAAGCATATTAATATAGATAGACACATTATATTGTTGACATAAACTGATACCAGCAACATAACATGTTATATTTCATAATATTAGATATTAAAGACATTTTAGATGCTATCTCTTGATTAGCTGTGAAGCTCTCAGTAAAATACTACTTAACTCTGATAGTACAATTATTATATTTATTTCTTGCTGTGTTTTGAATTTTATATATATAGCAATGGCTAACAATTGGTAGTAAACTCCAATGTTAAAAAAACCAAATAACTGTAAACTATTATTATTAATAGTTCCTTATTTAATCATTATTTAGTATAAAATCCAATTGAGATCTATTAGGATCCTCAAGGTTATCATAATCATATGATATTGATTATTAATGAGTTGAAAAAGCACCTAGAAATGATATCAATTCCTCAAAGGTGTCATATTATGCTGGAATTATATATTATATGTATGCTCAGATTGAATGTATTATATGTTTGAGCAATTGGTTCACTTCTTTGATGCTTCTCTTGAAATTCATTAGAATGGCCCTTAGCAGCCATTGTTGATCAATAAAGGTACTTAAAGGTCCTGTGCAGGTACCTGTAGCTATGTACATTTGTCATTTGAGACAATGTTTAGTAAGTGAGTGTTGGAATTTATAAGCACCACATTAATATGTGACATGTTAGAAAGTGATAGATTACAGGTAAGACTATTCTTACATGGTTCAGTTTTATAATTTATGAAGTTGTCTTTTAACCTAAAGAAAAGCTTTTGGTAACTCCAGAAATGAATGTTGTTGGCTCTTGATTGTATTATTGATTGTACAAGAAACCTGTTGAATTTTCTAAACAATACTTGACAACAAGCTTTTCTTTAAATTTACTATTAGTGTTATGAATATGAATAAAAGTTTTTGGAAATAAGTTAATATTTGTGTACATACAGAATGTTTGGATATATATATTGAGTCGCAACAGTGAGAGTATTTGCCTTTTGATGAGTTATAACTCTCCATACAGTAAATTGCACAAAATGTCATGATTTTATAATATGAATATGTACAACATACGACAATTGTTATCACAATAATGAAAATAGACTATTGTAATATATTGCAATGTATTGCTATATTGTCCAATCTTGTGTAGTGCATAAGCTAATGAACTGAAGATTTGCTGCAAGGATCTGAGCTTAAGTTATCCATTGAGTTTTATTATTTAGTGTCATTTGTAGAATGACAGTACTAAGAAACTATAAAGTGGACAGATTCATTGTTAAATCTGTATTGGAATTGAAATGTGAACCAAGGAGGAAATCATTGTTTAAATTCAAATTGTATTATATATTTGTGAAGTACAAATAATAAAAAAAAAAAATAAGTAGAATATATTATTGAATATTAATATAAATAAATGTATATCAGAAGATAATAACTGATTTAAAGCATTCATGAGTTAATAATGAACTCATCTTGAAGTTAGCACATGGATTGTGTCAAACAGTGTGGTCTAGAATTGTGAAATTTGGATAATAAACTTTATAATTCAGATATTATGGCAGGAAAATGGAAATAAATGAGTGCATAGCACTCTTTTGTTGTATATAGGTATGGACAGATGGGAGAGAATTAAGTGAATACATGTAAACTGTGATATGGTGAAATAGTAAGGAAAAATTGGATACTATTTTTAAATGGTTTATGTAACTTACCTTCTATGTATTTGTAGACTACAGGATTATAAAATATTTTATGATTTGACTAATGAAGTTTCTGTATATTAATTAGTTATTATTAAATAGTCTCTGTGGGAGGCAATGTTAAGATATTCAAAGTACATAAGCTTTAAAATTATTATAGAGGAAAATTATGAGACACAGACAGACAAGATTGTTAGGAAAGTAAAGAGATATGGATATTCTAGAAAACTTTGCTGATGACCTTGGTAATGTGGTTATTAATAGGCTGCATAATTGTCCATGCATGG